TTCACCTTGGAACCATAAGTTCTCAAAATCCCGCTAAAAGGAACCTTCTTAGCTCCTGCTGTAGAAGGACTTTAAGTGACTCAAGTGTACCGTGATTGGTCTATATGTAAAAGTTAATTGACTGGTCAAACCCAAGAGCCAATCAAGAACCACCAACCATCACTTTTAAATCCTACTGTGAGCATGATCAGAATAACTAGGGAGACCATACGTCCTCTTTTACCCGGACATGTCCTCTTTTGTGGGGACTGTGGCGTTGTCCGGGAAGTTTATAAAATCCTTCAAATGTCCGCGGTTTTCAAGTTTGTGTCACGTTGACTTACTGAGTTAGAAGCGTGTTAAAGACACTCAATCTGATCCAATAAACTCTCAAAATTAACTTCGTGCGACTCTGTGACTCCACCGATACAGAGTCAAGACCTCTTTTTGGGAAGTTAGAATATGGTCACCCTAAAACAACAGTAAATACTAGCCGATTTAAACTCTTCAAAAGGGACCCAAACTCAGCCTACTACCTAACTGGTACACTACATTAAGCTAGCTGCTGGTGTTGCCTGAATTTTGCTATGTAATAGGTCGTTGGTCTACGAATTAGCTTAAAAAAATAGTCAGCTAACTAGTTTATCCACTTTTGAATGAAGTACTGATGGCGACATTTTCAGTGAACACTACTACAAGACAGCAGGCTAATTAGCTTCTTCGCTTAATACATCAACTTAGCTTCTCGCACCGACAATAGCATGTTTGGACTCTGATATACTGTCCCACTAATTATGTAATTTTTTACGTAAGACAGAGACAGGATGTCAAAAAATTTGACATGTGGACATGTTGTGTTTATGGGCGTTTTTAATGCATTTGTGAGTGAAGGAAACGGTGATGGGACGAGAAAGACTGTTACTGCGGGTGAAGACCCCACTGTGCCACACTACTGCTGTCTGACACACTTCTACAAACACACACACACAGACCTGTCAGGCCGTGTTACTGGTTGCTCTGCGTCTCGGGAGCCACACTGAGATGTCAGTTAAAAATAGCTCACTCCTCTTCTTCACAGAATGAACAGCTTTGACACTGATTGAAGAAGGCAGTGTGTGTGTGTGTGTGTGTGTGTGTGACGCTGGCTGTGTTGGTCTTTGCATTTCTTCATAACCAAAGTTACATGCCAGTCGACATGAAATGGTAATAATGTAAACAACAGACAAACACGACATGTGGTTTCACCCTTTCTTATACAACAAACCAAGCTGCTCCAAATTCCAAACTTCTACTCCAAAAGCATGAAACCACAGTTAGATAAGATTCATACACAGCTGTGTACAGTACTTGGTTCTGATTGTTTTTAACAACAATTTCTTGATAGCAGACTGTTGCTATGAAGAACAGACTGTTGCTAGGGATCTGGTCCTTATCACAAACTCTGCAGAGGACTAATGCTGCGTTTGAGTTACCTCGGAAGTCAGATGTTGGAGCTGAAAATGACGTCACACCTGAGTTCCCAGCATTTCAGTTACCAAGTCGGAAAAAAGCAAAATCTGAAGTCTAAAACAAGATGGCTACATCTACGCAAGTTATTTTAGCGCTTGTTCTATATTTGGACAAGGCAAGCGCTAAAATAACTTTCGTAGATGTAACCATCTTGTCTGCCTCCGATTTTGCTTTTTTTCCGATGTTACATCATTTTCAGCTCAGACTTCTGACTTCTGAGGTAACTGGAATGCAGAATAATCCCCAATTTTCACTGCATCTGGAATGGCTCCGATCCAGAACAGCGGCGATTTTCGCTGTCTGCCAATTCCAACTGGGTCAGTCGTGAGGTGAATTTCGTGGCAGATTACGGACAGCGGTAATCACGAGAACTCACAAGAACCCACGGATTCATGTGCAATTGTGCGATAACAAGTCGTCTTTAGCCACATAGGCTAATCATCTAAGCAGTAGATTGTGTCCTTCCAGAGGAGGAAATCTACTTCTAGAAGCTGCTACTAGACTAAATCAGCATCTAGTCATCCATGGTGTCATCGGGGTGAAATGCTGTCTAAAAACCTTTCACTTGTTCATCTCCGCCCGTTTGCATGGTCTGAAATACGATCCACCTAAGATGTATGCAGCATGCTCCAGCGTCCGGAAAAAACAGAACTCTTGCGATCAGCTGTGGAGTCCGGCGATACGCAGCGGAACAGAAAGAAACCTGTGGAAATTGACACATGAACTTGAATGGTTACGATCAGCTGCGATTGGCGGGTACGGCCTTCTTGTAGCCATTCCGGTTGCGGTGGAAATTGGGAGTAACTGTAATCCCATCAAAGTAACAAGAAAAAGGTTTAAAAGGTGCATAAAGTCAAGGCCAGAGAGCAAACGCTCATTTATAACGTTGAATCCCCTTATGGTAAGGGACAAGGCCCTTTGCCATCTATGCACTCATTTTGTTCATATTTATACCCGTGTTCCTTTAGATATGCACCAAATATTCGAGATTATCATGTATTCTTGTCGTTCCCCCGTCATTTTGTTTGGCTTTTGATAAGTGGGCTAAAAGCTAGCTAGTTTTGGCTTCCTTCCTTAGACTGTAAACAGACTTGTTACCGACAAACAGAGGCAACTACATCATCTTCTCGTTATTCATCAGAAATTTTACGAACACACTAAATATCACTTTATTCTCTTGAAACCAAATCTTACGCACTGTTGTCATCTATATTCCAGATTTTACGATAAATAAGTGATTTAAAAACTAGTGTTGCTAAAATAATTTGTAGTCAAATAAGCAACATAATACTATTGATTTAAACGTGTTTATACGACAATTAAATCGCCTCAGATAAAGCAAATTAATTTATTGGCTTCAATTAGATCTTCTTGTAATACTCCAAGCTCTACGTTTGACACCTCACCCCCAGCCATGTGCAAGTATTGATCAGAGCCAATCTGTACAATCAATCGATCCCTCTCTTTGCTGTTAATCAATCTGTCTGATGTGAACCTCCTGCAGCAGCAGCCGTCTATAAAGCCATCGATCCTGAAGGGTTTAAGTCGTAGTTTATCAGTATTAGAGGATTAAACAGCACTTGTTTATATGGACTTGATCGATCTCCTTCTAAATGTCATAAATATTGAATCGATTCACGCAGAATGAAAGTAAAGCTGAACTCTCACCTTGTTTTGTTCTGCCTCCATATTTTACTCATTACCCACGAGTGTGTTGTAAGGTTTGCTTCAGTTTTGCTCATCCGTGTCACACATGCTGTTGTGCACCTACACACACCTTTCAAAACACACACACACACACACACACACAAACAAAACAGTTGCTTCTTGCGTAACGAGCAGCTGTTCCCGTGATGAACTCTGTGCATGAGCGTTTGTTGTTCTGCTTTAATTAGCAACTTTCTCACTCTGCTAATTGGTGTGTGTGAAGCATGGACGTACATGCGACACACACACACACACACCCTACATACACACTATGCTGTAAATGGTTGCGTAACCCAGATTTATCAGATATACAGTACAGGACGGACAGCTACTGCTGGCTCTGATGGTTGTGTAACGCTGAACAGCAGAGATTTGTATTCTTAGCATGAATCTCTGAGCTGTAAAAACAGCTGTCTCTGCATATACAAGGACTTGAGTGATATATGAGAAATGCCTTCATTAGTATGTGAGAGTTGAAGCAACAGAAGCAGCGATTGTGACTCAGCCACTACCAGGCTGCGATAAACACTCTAATACAGAGGGAAAAAGTCACACAAAGACTTTCACTGCGTTCAGCAATGTGCTGTTTTTGTGCGGATGTGGAGCTGCTTCTGTTTTCACCCTCAAAATAGCCACTCTTTGTCGCTTGTGGTTTATTTTGGGGCTTTCCTGCCTGTATTTATGCTGCCTTCCAGTTGTACTCAGAAGTCGCGATTTCCGAGCTCCGAGTCGGAAATTCATTTGGAACGCCCCCTGAAGTCTGATTTTCAACTTGAAAAGTTGGACGATCCTCGGCAACCCCAAATTTAGGTTTTTGCACTAAATAGTATATCGCTGTTTTCTGTATGGACTTTATTGTCATCCAATGAGGGGTGAAAGCATCTATAACCCTGTTAATGCCGCTCGACTGGTCCGCATTTCTAAGCATGGTCGCCCCCTGTTGGAAAAGCCAGACATTTTTTAGTTAGACAGCATGATTTTGAATTTTGTATTTCTTTATAACAAGCCTGTGGCTATAGCGCAAATTTAAATGCTCAGTTTAATTGATCCAAGGTCAAACTGATAACAGTAGATTTAGAGACTCTTCGTTTAAGCTCAACCAGAGGCAGTTGTCAGTAATATTTGCTGAAAAACAACCGTCTGCTGATGCATTAAAAATTGACAGAGCCAAAAGTTCTGCTGAATATCACCTCTTATGTCGGTGATTTGTGTTCAACTGTTGCTTCGTTTCCTCAGTTTGTGCTCTCAGTTAGTGCCCATTAATTAAAATATTGAATTCATGCAAACTGAGTAATGCTTGACAAATGGTTCCAGTGATTTTTCTGTACCTTTCATAACAGCAGAATATCAATAAGAGTATGGATTGCTGTCATGGAGGATCCCTTAGGGGCAGTTCCCTAATGAAAACGACATTACAATACAGTACAAATCAAATGCCACAGCTTGTTGGTTGTAATTGTTCCCCACACATGTAATTGCTTCCTGATTCGTCTCCTGAGGACAGAACAGTATTATTTGTAAATGTTTCTTTTAGCCTCGTTGTTAGAATAAGCCGATCCGAGGACCATGCTTCGTTCCTCAGTTCGGTTTGAGGCTTCAGTAAAGGGACTTTGTGTTTGTTGTGAAACTTACTGCATCTGTATTCAGAACCATTCAGAGAGTATTCTTCTCCTCTGTCTGCCCATAATCACATTAAGGCCTCCATCTTTAAAGTCACGAAGCTCATACCCCACTGGAGCACTAAAGTGGTCCACTGATGGATGACGCGATCCTTAATTTCAATCTTTGCATTTAAAAAGGTTCAGTCAAGTGCTCCGGCACACGATTTCGTTAATCCCAGCAGCTTCAGGGACGCTGTTCGGGTTTTCATTTGCTGCCTGTTCCCTGTAGTGAGAACAGGGAGGACGCCACATTATTGTTAACCCGACAGCTTTTACTCAGTACGAATCATCATTTACCGAGCGCGCCGTATTGTGCGTCAGATCAGGGGAATTACAGTAACTGCTCAGTTTCGTTGGGAGTCATTTAACAACAATGGATGAAGTTTCTGAACGCAGTTTTCTTTTAATCCATTTTCATGAGGGGTACTTTTTCAATCTACTCCACATTTGGCAACTTAAAGACTCTCATCCAGACTTTCTTTCAGTTTATCCGATTGCTTTTTTTTCTCATTCTGTTACTTTAATCTCTTTTATTGTTTCTTAAATATCATAATTGAGTCAATCTTTTACTACTTCTTTGATTTGTTTTGCTTGTATTGGTACCTTTGAATAACATTTTTTTCACTGCTTTCACGAAAAAGAGACCGTATGAACAACTCCCTCTTACCGTAACAGTCGTCGATAATGTTTTCAGAAATGGTAAACTCATGGACTGAAGTTTCAGATCAACACAGTATGTTATTTTGTAGCTGACCGGGTCTGTAGTTTGAGCAGCCGAGCCAGCTAACATTCGTGAAAGCGCAACTTGTACCACACGTATCAAACCAAAAAGGGCCATTGACTCTTGAAATGTAGTTGACAAATGTGTTCTGTGTTTCCTGGTCCATGAAGGCTGCACAACCAACAGTGTTTGGTTTTAACTCAGTAGATGACGCCAGAGTTTATGCTTGTAGCTTTATTTCGCGCCGAACACTCTGTGCTCTCATTGGTGAATATTTCTTCCATCATAGTCTCCAATCCTCAAGATTCTCCATACTCCCGGCCAGCTCTGAAGGGCTTTCAGCTCCCGCATCCTTCTTCAGGACATTCACATACGTTAGCACTGAACGGTGCCCGTGTGTTGGTTCCCATAGGACCAGCCTGCTGGTCGGGAGCTCCTGATGTCTATGGCAGTGGCCGGCCTGCCTCATCCTCCCAGATGCTACCTTCTTGCTGAGCTTCGGCAGTTGCCCATACAGGTCCTTGTTGGTAATGTGGATGTTCTGGTCCACATTCAGAACAGCTATGTGTCTGGAGAGATTCGAGCACCACACTCTTGACATACCGTTCAAGGCCCTTCCCGCTAGTGCCTTCCTAACCTCTCGCAGAGTGTTGCCATCTGAGGTTGTAATGGGCGGATGGTCCACGTGGGAGTTGGAGGTAATTACCTCAGTCTTCTTCGCATTCAGTCTGAGGCCAACCTTAGCACATTCCAGTTCCACTCTGTTCAGTAGTTCCTGTGCCTGCTCCATGTGGTCAGACACCAGGCAGATGTCACCTGTGAAGTCCAGGTCTGCCAGGGCTACAGCAGGACTTCTTCTAGACATCCTTGGTATAATTGTGAAGCTAAGCTCCTGCTCCCACGGGTTGATGGCTTTCTTAAGCACGTAGTCTAGACCTATGATAAAGAGAAAGGGAGCAAGAGTGTCTCCCTGCTGCACCCCTGTTAGGATTTCACACTCCTCGCTGATGCCATCTGAGGTTACCACCTTGGCTCTTGTGCCCTTGTACATGGCCTCTATAAAGGGGGTTTGACAGGCTGAAATCCTTTATTTGTTGTTATTAAAAATCACTCAAATCACTTTTTTGAGATCTTCTTCTTTGATGCTTTTGTCCTTTTCCATCTGTTAAATCACTTGATCTCTCATCTTTGGTCCTCTCAGTCTCATGTCACATTCTGATGTTTGTCTTGTGGCTCACCTGCTGTTGTATTTTCTGCCTCATTACGATGTTGGTTACCTCTGCTATGTCGTTCATATTTGGGTTCTTGCTTTGCCCCCATGTCAGCTTTTGCTTGTACATCAGCGCACTTTGTCAGCCCTTGTATTACGAGATACCTTCAACTGTGTTTTTCATATACATGATTCACTGCTCTGCATGTGTTGTGAATGGAAACAGGATGTTGCTGGTCTTTTTCAGGTTGCCACATGTTCATTCACTCTGTTTCGTTCTCATGGAAACTAATATGGCAAAGAGCCGGGCTCGACACACAAAGACAGACACACACACACAGACAGACAGACACACAGTGCCCTCTTTGATTCGACCACTTGTGCGTCTTTGACCACTCGGCCTTTTGTTTTAGCTGGTTTTCTGAATTGATTGGTCCTGTTGTTCAGCTCTGATACTCAGATACTGACGTGAAGTCTGACACTTGTGGCAGTTCAAAGTCAACCTGATGCATCTGTATCGACGACTTCAAACAGCAGATGACTCAAATGTTCCCCGTGATTGTGATCGACAGTATTTACAGCTCATTTATCATGTGTCTCTGTACATCCTGTACGTCATTTTCTTTCTTTATGCCTCTTTCTCTACTGCATATCTGCTCCTCCATGTATTTGTCCTGTCCTCTCTCATAATAAGGCTTTATTACTCTGTTCCTTTTCACCACTATAGCTCTAATTTTACACAGTGTCTTTATTTTTATCTTGAAGTGTTGTGACGAATCTGAAACCGCCTGTTATTGAACTTTATCCGCTTCAAATGATGTTTTTTATCCAGTTGTTAAAGTCAAGGTCGGTCAGTAAAAGAAACATCATGTAATAAGATTATCTAACGTCTACAATGAAAAGCTTCCAGTTACATAAATTACCTTTAACAGAATGGACAAAAACGCCCAAATTGTCACATTATTCTTCAGTTTTCCAACAAAACCAGCTGAATCTGACCTCATTTGATGAGAATGATACAAAAACAGTAATTTTTGTCAACCATGGGATCATTTTTTCTCTATTTTATTCTTGAAAAAGCAGAAAAATACACATTTTCTGCTTTTGTTTTGTGTATTTTGATAATTAAAAGCATTTAGAGCATCTTTTCCTTCAGTCTCACTGTCTCACCTTTCCTCTCCTCAGGGGACACCTCGTCTCTCTCTGACCCGTCTCACCCCCCCGTCGATGTCTCCCTCTCTAATCCGCTGCTCTGCATCTCTCTTTCCCTCCTCCCCTCGTACGCCTCATTAGCGTTAGCGGAGATTACCCTGGCCTCGCTGATCAAAGGGTGGAGATCGCAGACTCCACTTAATAATTAATGCTCCCAAACAGCTCGTCATTTCACTCCTCTACTGCTTATTGGGCCTCTAATAACTGCTCTCTCGATTCATCCCTCGTTTTCTGCCTTTTCCTATAATTTCCCTCTGGTTTGAGTTTCTGGATAATTTTTTAATGGACGGGTAAATCACTAGGTGGCAGCATAGTTACACAGGGTGCATACATTGACAGAGCAGCAGAGTGGTGCAGAGATGAGCTCCACAGACTGAATCATACAGGCTGCTAACAGCATGAAAAACTGCAGGATCGAGTGCAAAAAGGCTCGATCCCAGATCAGTCTAGATGCTTCACCATTCATCCTTTCATTTGTCTCCTCAATTACCAGATCAATGAGCTCGACACCGGATCAATTGAAATAATGTCCCTTGACCCATTAATGACCTTTTATGGCCTTTAAAAGCACATTAGCTCCCCGCCTGGTCTGTTAACCTTCAGTGTCTCACGGTTAATGAGGAGGTCAATTCTAAAACAATTAGGAGTCCAATCCAAATCTCATCCGGCCACGAGCTCAGAAACTCTATATCTGATCTGCTTCCTGTTAGATTTCAATCAGGATGTCTTTGTTAGCTCAAATAAACTGCAATTCAAACCACCTGCAGCCTGAATATACCGAATATACTGAATATTCTGGCTTTTTGCTGGTATCTGGGGCAGCATCTGGTCACAGTGAGTTCTGGTTCAGCAACAATTTTGACTATTTCGTTGCAGTGTTAATGTTGAAGCATAAAGGCATTAAAGGGGCAATGTCACGTTATTTTGTAGGAAATGACCCCAAAAAACACCACCAGAACAGAAAATTGTGATATTTTCCAGTACAAACTATTGTAACCTCGAAATAGTTTGCGACAATATGGACTTGTTGGTTTTAAATTGAAGTACCGACAACTTTTATGTCCCAACATTGTAGGTATATTTTTACTCAGAGATAAGCTGCCCAAGAGAGACCAGCAGTCAATGAAAAACCTGAAATTTACCATGTTTATTAAACTGGTGACAATCACCTCCCAAAATTACAGATACAATATTGGCTTCTGTTGGAGCAAAATGGGTCAAGTATGCATTATTTTAAAGCATATAGTCATTTAACCTTCCAGTTATACAGTGTTAGTATCTTCATTTTCTGTGGGATTGTCTACAAGTAAAAAAACAATCACAATTTTTTCAATAAAGGAAATATTTTTTACATGTCATTTATCAATTTTAGAAAATTTTCTTCTTAATTTGTAGAAAACAACAGACCTCCTTTTCCTCAAAAGAGAAAATAATTGGGGAAAAGATTTATGGCTCATCCCACTGAGCAACAGACAGCAATTAGATGTTAGACCTGATTTCAACCATCTAGATTCTGTATATTTTTAGATGTTTTATATGTATAAAATTTAGACGTTGCACTTTAACCCATTATTCGATAACTATTTATTCAAAAAGCAACCGTGAGTTACATAACTGATCTCCAAGTACTTAACCAAAATAATTATAATAGCCGTTGAGCAATATATAGTGTAGTATGATATAGCCTTGGTCTAAATTTAGACGTCTAAAAAACTTTCATTTTTAGACCTGTGGTGACCTGATTTTAGACCAGTCGTCTAGGCTACATTTAGACGTCTATTAGACCACTTTTAGATCCAAAAATGCTCAATGGGATATTTGAATATAATTTTGAAACTTCCAAAACAATCTCATCTCTCTGTTTTGAAAGAGAAATGACGTCAAAGTGCAAGACAATAACTTTAATTTACTTTTTTTAGGCCTTTGTGAATTAGGATTAACGGTTGGCTATTACTATTTTTGGGGGCTGATATCATTACAGATTAGTGGCAGTTCAGACCGATATTCGGAACCATACATTTGGAATTGAGAATAAAAATAAAAATCTTTCCATAAAATTTTGAAAGTTGTTGAACCAAAACTGTATTTTATGGTTAACCAGTTACCTAATTCATGGTATTTTATAGGCCATCAGATACAGGTAATCTTCGGAAAGGCTAATATCAGTCCTGTGATCAGTCAATATACACTTTTTCCTGACTTTTTGGTGGTAAAGCCAAAAAAGTTTCATTGGATAAAAGACCAAAAAAATGGCGATGATACAGCTTTTAAATCCTTGAATTTCTAGAGCATGAAAGCAGAAACTGTCTCCAAACATCCAAATTTCTTCACTCTTTTAGTCATCGGATAAAATCTGCCAAGTATGTCAGCAGTGTAAAAACAGAAATGCGTTTGCGTAACGATTGTGTAAATGTAAGGTTATTTTTCCACCACAGAAATAGCTGCAAACCGACAGATCTGTGAATACTCCAAAATACTGACTCATTGTATAATATTTGTGTGTAGGCTTATTTAAAGACCTGATGTAACATCTTTTGTGCAGTTTTGGGCTTTGTGTGGAGGTGTGTGTAGGAGCGAGGTTCAGTTGTAGGTGGTGGGAACTTGAATGACGGTGGGATTAGGACTGGGATTCAGGCATTTCCCGTCTGAGATTTGTGTTGCTTATTAACACCAGAATGAACCCCCCTGAGGACGATGATTAAGAGGGTGAACATCAGGACAGACATCCAGATATGAGTTTTCTTGCTTGTTAAAAGTTAGAAACAAAGAATGACACCACTGTAGTGTCAGTTTGATATGATTTGAATTAGCATTAGCTTAGCTTGGCACAAAAGACCACAAAGAAGTCTTGTACCATACAACCCAACATTATTATTCTTCTCGTTAAAATACCACTTTTAAAGTACTGGTACTCATAGTGACCTTGAACCTAAGTTAAAAGAGATGAAACAATTTTTATAAGTATTACATTTCAGTTTAAAAAAAATCTAAAATGTAGTTTCAAAATTTGGGAAATGTCACATTTTCACGTAACTGAGGAGGTTTTGCTGAGTAGATCGATACCTAACTTGAGCCTTTTCCTTGGATTTTAAAGAAAGGCTAGTAGCTAGCAGCGAACTAACCTTGCATAGAACAGTAGACAGTGGAACAGGCTAGCTCTTTCTTCTTACCTAAGGTTTTTTTTTTTTTTTTTTGCTACACTAAGCAATGGTAAACTCATCATATGCTAGCTGGATGAAGCCCTGAAAGGTACTGCCTTTCTCATCTTAAGTTGACGCCACACCCGAGTTCCCAGCATTTCAGTTACCAAGTCAGAAAAAAGCTAAATCGGTGGCCTGAAACAAGATGGCTTCATCTACCAAAGTTATTTTAGCGCTTGCCTAATATTCAGACAAGGCAAGCACTAAAATAACTTTCGTAGATGTAGCCATCTTGTTTCCGCCTCTGATTTTGCTTTTGGTATCTTGGGTGTGATGTAATTTTCAGCTCGGACTTCTGATTTCCAAGGTAACTCGAACGCAGCATTATTCCATTATCTTATTCTCTGCAGTAGAGTAGCTGAAGTAGCTAGTCAAACAAGTCAACATTAGATTTAGCCAGACTAGCCAGACTCTCGGCTAAAAAGCAAATAGACTTTAGCTAACTAGAGCGTATGTCATTTTCAAACCAAGACAGCCTGGCTAGCTTGTTCCTCCAGTTTAAAGTATTAATAAATTAAGCTTAGCTAGCCTGATGTAAGTGGTATCAAACCCCCTTTTTAAAAAATAAACTAGTGGGCTAATTTTGTTTACTTTAGACAGCACCATACAAGCTGCTCATCCACACAATTCAGCTGCTAGTTTTAGCTTATTGACCACACATGGACAGTGCTAAAGGTTCCCTAAAAAGATCAATAAGAGTCAATCTGACTTTAGATGTGGCATGTCGTCTTTTTGGGGATTAATTACACGGTTTCAAGAAAGAAAACCCCACCCTTACAAACATCGGAAGAATTAAGCCATGATGAATGCTGTTGCATTAAACAGAATATCTTCTCTTCAATCAGCAGCAATCATGAGTGTATGAATACAAAGTGGCGGTAATTTCTGTAGTGCGGTGGCTGCACATTATTAAAGAGATAAATATGGGGGTTTGAGGATAACTGCTTGTGGAAGATTAGCACAGGATGTGCGACAGAATGTTCGGATTTGCATGATGATAACGCCGGCGCATTAATTCACCCTCAGTTTGATACGTAACACGGAGCCGTTAATTATCTCTTTGTCATCTGTTTCTTTTATTGCTGCGGCTCTGATTGCCGCTCCTGCTGTGCACGACTTGGAACGGAAAGAGAGGAAATCTGACAACCTGTGAGCTGCACCATGGGAGAGTCTGGAGAGGGTTTGTGAAAGGGAGAGACGAAGAAAGAGAGCTTTGATTTTTCTTTTCTTCCTCTTTTTCTGCGCTCTAAATTTGATCAAAAACGTGACACCTTTGGACAAAAATCAGTGTAAGCACTCAACCTTTTGCTTAAGTATCACAATCTGAAGAAACAAATATCTAGGCCCTTTAGAAATTCAACTCTTATCTTATCTATCTCAAAGGTATAATTCACCTTTTGAGCTGATGGATTACTCCATTTAATGAATTTTCTATGAAGCTAATGTCTCTAAAATGAAGATTTTCTGTTTTTCTCTGCTTTTTATATCATTCAATTGAATGTATTTCTATTTTTTAACTCTTTATTGGACAGAAAAGCATCCTCTTGCGTCCTCTTTAACATTCTAAACACCTCTTCTACCTTTAATAGACACTTTATCATCTAGCTAACCTTCAGTTTGATTCCTTAATGAGAAAAATAAGCGCTCACTGCAGTCGTACATGTGATTTTAACAAAGCCTACTCTGTTCTGATGTATTTTCGTCCTTGGTCATCTCCCTCCCTCCATCTCCACTCCATCCTTTAGCCCTTCCTCCTTACCGTTGTCAAGGGCAACGGGAGAAAAGAGCCGAATACAGTATCAGTATCACCTGATCGACGGGGGAATCCAGCAGGTGTGTGTGCATGCCCTGTTGCTGTGCTTGTGGGAAGGACACACTCACGTACACACAAACACACGTACGCACGCAGACTGGGTGTAAATGAAGTGACTGTTGGCAGGCTCACAGTTTAATTCAGCATGAATATTTAATCAACTGTAAACAGATTACTACTTCACTGAGCGCTGCCAGTGTGTGTGTGTGCTGTGTCAGTGTGTGTTTGTGTGCATGTCTGCCCTTGTATCTGTGTGAACGCACGTGTCGCTCGCTCTCTAGCTACCTTTTCTCATGGAGCTTCGTGGCTCTGTTTGACATGTAAGAGAGGCAAAACTCCAGAAAAATCTGTTTGTATATTCAGATTTAAGAGCGCAGATTCATAAATCTGACGCAGGACTTCTTCAGCAAAGGATTAGAGTTACAGAGACGTTTATGGTGTGAAATGAAATAGCAAACCAGCAAGTTTGTGTCACCTTACATCCAAACGATGAGCCAAAGACCGTTCAGTGTGTATTTAATTTAATCAAATCTACATGTAGCAGTAAAGGAGAGATGCATCCTTTATGTAATGGGCTAGTATCTTCCAGTTGACCGACTATGTTCCAAAATAATCAACAGACACATTAACAAGTGGCTAACGGAATGTACATCGATCAATGAAACAACCCCCATTTTCACAGCTCTATATGTTAAATTGGTAAAAAAAAAGAAGTTCTGTATTAGTAGCAGCCCCCATGGTTGGTTAAAAAAAAAGCTGGATATCAAACCTTTCACAAGAGTAAGTTTGCCCAGGTTCGCTGAATGGCTCATTTTTATTTACAATCCCATTGGGCATCCTGGTTTAAGTACAAAAAAATGCAATAAAAGTAAAAATTTGAAGTAATTTCCATTAAAATTTGTGAACTGTGTTGAATTTATAGATAACATTACGTATATGCACGATTATCATTACCCTCAGATCAGAAACTGAAAAGACACATGGGCGAAGACAATAAGAGGAAATGTTTATACATATTTTCTTATTTATTTGTCGTCCTTTTCGGTATAAATGCCAGAGTAATCTACTAGAAATATATGGGCATCTAAGGACACCATTGGCTGAATGAGAGCGTACAGGGTAATAGGTCTGCTCCCATTGTAAGTGCCAAAAAAACAAGAAGAAAATTGTCATTGGGTAAGAGTTAGGGTAAAAAGGCGATAGTGCACATCAAAATCATAAAATCTGTCTTTTAGCACACAGAAGTTAATAAAATTTAAGTATTTCCACAAAGAAAGCAATGATAATAGTGATAAATCTTCTGGTATCCATACTGCCACAGTTTAGCATCGGTGTTCCCAATGCATTTACAGCTTTAATACAAGCCTTAACATGACTTCGCACAACTTCATGACTTTACAAGTTTCATTTATAGACATTTGTTTACATTGACATGTCCACACATTCAGACTGGGTATTTATATAAGTTTCTCTGTCTGTACTGTGTATTTTTGGTACAAAAACAGGTTTTAAACCACTACTTCCTTTTAGTCTGCTAGTAGTGTTTAAATGGAAAGCAGAATGTCACACAGATTTACTTTTTTGAATTCAATGTCAGTCCAGACTGTAACTTTAACTCTGCCAATGCTTAAACTAACAATTTACTGAGAAAATCCACGAACTTTACCCTGTTTTTCACTCAACAGTTGATGTTTGTTAGCATCTGTCCGTTTGTCGGTTTCGCGCTCTCTCCCTTTAGCGCATGCGCGTCAGAGCGCGCTGCTTGCTCTCCGTTTAACCTCCGAACAGCGGCTGGAGGCGACTCAACACGGCCGCTCTCAAATCTCTCTTTTCTTTCTCTCTCTTTTCTTTCTCTCCTCGCCCCCTTGCTCCCTCCTCTTCCTCCTCCACCTCCCTCCCTCCGTCTCCCCCCCGTCCTCCCTCCCTCCCTCCTCTTCCTCCTACCTGATTCAGATCCGCTCCGACGCTATGCGTATGACCGCGTCTCTCCCTGCAAGGCGAGCACCACCGGAGAGACCCGCGCGTTGCCGCCGCCGCTGCTGCCGCCGCTCCTGCTGCTGCTGACCGCCGGCCCCGCGAGCACCAGAACGCCGGCTGACGAGCGACCGAAGCCGGGCAACAGGAGCGGGAGACACCGCCGCTGATTGAAGCTCCGCGGGGGGAGAAGGAGGAAGACATTACCGGGCGAAGGTATTTAATATTCATATTTTATCGACACATGAGAGCGGAGAGGTGTTTATTTGTGCAGAAGAGGAGTAGTAGGTGGGATTTTCTCATGAATATAATCGCTTTTGTGACTAAAACTGAACATTGATATTTATGTTTGTCCATCGAGAGAGCTCCCACGTTAGACATGGACGACAGCCTGTTGTGCATCCGGCTTTATTTATTATTTTATTCTAAATTTGAGACCCTGAGAGCCGCATTAACACAATCTGAGACATTCTGCACCTGGATACACATGCAAACTGAGTCTGATTTGTTGGATTTACAGTTGAAGTTTGGGCTTCAGGTGAGATGCAGACTGGATTTTTGAAGGTGTCCACATCGTAATCAAGGAAATGCACACACACATACACACACACTCAGACACACACACACACACACACACCCGTGAGCGCCCACCAGCCTGCACACACACACTCCTCACATACAGACACTTTTACTGCATAAGCTCAAAGACAAAGTGATATCTGATAGTGGACTGTGCAGGAGCGATAATGACATGCATGCTCATGCACTCATAATCTGCTGTCATTGCATGTATTATGGTTGGTGGTCCGTCTGTAATGAGCCATATGATCCCCTCTTTTGTTGTCATCATTATCGCCATCCTCTCTCTTCATTCAGCCTCCCTGTCTTCTATTCATCTTCAGCACCATCACCATTGTTTCCTGCCCCTATCACAACAAAAGTATAGTGCTTCCTCACAAACGCAGGAGGGAGAAAAGAGGAACTGAAAAAAGAGAAGTCGCTGCCTCTAACTGAAAGAGTACAAATGAAGAGGAAGAGGCGAAATTAATGTGAGAGGAGAAGGGGAGGCATTTTGCACCCTAACTTTAAGCGAGAGCGGCCAGAGAAAGAAAATAAAACTCCTGTGAGCTTTCTCTCCTCGTCAATAATTCATCCCTCCATCTTTTCCAGACTCCTGGATAGAGAGATCGGCGAGAGTGTGGCGTCCCAGAGCCGGCTGTCCCATCCGTCATCCTCTCAGCAGAGCGTCCACCTCCTTTAACTCCGCTCCCTTCTCGTGCTCCTCGTCCTCTTTTCTCCAGAAGTTCTCCTTTTTTTTTTTCTAACTGCGCCTCCTTCGAGACGACCGCGAGCTCGTCATGGCGTCCAAGCTGAACCCAAACGTCCTGTACGTGGCGGAGCACGGCGAATCACTGGGGTCACCCCAGGGTGACTCAGAAAGGACTCATATTGTGAGTACGGTTATTTATCACTCAGTCAGGCTTTATTTATGAGGCGTGCACGTGTTTAAAACTGAGTCCTATTTTCTGTTAGAAATTCAACAAACTCACTTTAAAGGTTCGGGTTTCTGTGGTTGACTTATATGTTGCCTGATTTCCTCCACGCTACACAACTCAGACTGACCCAGAAAGTCACTTTACGCTTGATGAAAGCAACATTTAAAAAAAAATTAACATTAAGCCTTAAAATATGGTAGAAAATTAGTTTTCAGCTTCTTATAACTGCTTTAATTCTGACTCTAACACCTTAAATGGGCGTTTTGCAAGAGTAAATAAACAAAATGTGTCTTTTTATTGCTCATATTTTGTAATTTCGGCTCAAGATTAAAGATTTTAAGTCTATTTTAACTTATTTTAACTTGTACAACAGGACGTTTTTAACATAAATATTTTAAGTGAGACTAATTTTAGCTGAAAAACGGCAAAAAAAAAATATTTCAAAGACAAACCCGATGATTAAAGCCAATCAGGTAGACAAAGTTTATGTAGAAATATGAATTGAGCTCAAGAAAAAAATCAGGTATCTTTTTATTCTTAAGAGTCTTTAAAGAGCAAACTCAACGTTGAAAATTCGGACACTGAGAGTTCACAGTATCAGGACAAAAGTGAGACGTTCACGCAGGAAGTCGAATTTATTTCTATACACCAACATGAGCAGGTCAACATGTTTCATGAAGACCAGGTTAGAAACTCAGAGGTCCTGATTTCAGGCAGAGAAAGAGATCAAATCCACAGGCGAGGAAAAATGGATGAAACATTCTCAATTAAAAGTGGAAGAATCTAAATCATAGTTAACTGTATTTTACGTGATATAATGTGATGAATTTTACTGCTTTACTGACGTGGATCTTGAGCTCAAGTGCAGCACAACTTAGGGAACCTCTACACAAGACTAACTAAAGGCACTTAAGTAATATATTAAAATTTAAACCGTTTATAATCAGACAGCAGGTCAAGATGATTAGATACGATAGATTTTTACACCTATTTTATTTCATTTTTTTTACAGAAATTTGATTAAACACCAAACAAAATCTCATTTCTGTGTTTTTGTGTGAATTTTAATAAATTTAACAAGTTCACCACTTCCTACTTCTCTGGATCGAAGCACATAGCTTTAATGTACAGGCTCATTTCTAACTGCAGTTATTTTATATCATTAAACTTATTTTATATGTGACAAAGTTGTTTTTTTTAAGCCAAAGGTGCTCAGTTTTGTCCATCATTTGCCTATTTTGCTTACCTGTTCAATCCATAAGGACCAAGTTCAACTTTATTTAAGTTATTTTAAGTCTATTTTAACTGAGTGTCTTCTTTCAAACAAGCTTCCAGCATGTTAATCTAGTTGATCAAGCTCCCTGATGTATTTCTTGCCTTATAATGAAGAAAATTATGTACATGAAGTGGCGCTTTAAAGGGTTAAAAATGTTATTTATTTGTATTTTATGATCATTACCTGACAGAAGTTGTTTTCCTCCAGGCTGGAGAGGCAGGAGAAGAGTCGTCAGACAGCGACGGGGAACAAGAAGAGACGTCACATAAGTTGATCCGCAAAGTGTCGACCTCGGGACAGATACGAGCCAAGGTAGGAAAACAGAGACTCACTAAACTTCTGTGTGTGTGAGAGAGAGAGTTTTATTCATGGAACAGGCCTCCTTAAGCTCCTCAAATATCAATATTCAACCTGAGTAGTGTCAGAGAACTGTTGTAAATCTATCAAGGGGATTTCAATTTACAACTTTTTATTTTACCGTCTTGCATTATAGATTTCGGCTTTCCAAATTTGTGCTGCTGCTTTGCGTGCGTCTATTTGGTACATACTGAAACAGGACTTCCTCAAGGTAAAGAGCCACATTAGCAAACCGGGGGAGGAATCAAATATTAAAGCTCATGGAAGTGCTCTTAAGTTCGTCGGAGAAAGTCGCAGGAAAGTCAGGGGGAACTTTTCATTCACGCTGAGAAACCTGATTAAACATTTGAGCAGCTGATTTATTTAAGACGTAGTATAAACATTTAAACGTGTCGGCCCAGAGTGGATGTTTGGTTTGAAGGCAGCTGAAGGGCACTTTTTGGAGGATCTCACTCTGAACTCTCTGTCCATTGAAGGATTTTCTCCCTTTATCAGAGTCTTAATGCCTCCCCTGTAGCTTCATCAACACTTCTAACTGGTCAGTTGGTCGACCTCGCTACAGTTTCAGACAACGGAAATTACAAGATACAAAAAATCTTGTTGGATTTAGACTGTAAGGAAAGACAATGATATCAAAATGGGCCTGTTTCAGACACGTCAAAAAAAATCCTTGTAGGAGCTTTAAATTGCAGATCTAGCGCACTATCCTACTTGTTGCAACAAAAGTTATCCGAGCACTTACTCTGCCATGCATTGCCCTCAGTGTGGATTAAAAAGCTGCCAAATCACAAGACGCCGTCTGTTTGGTGTAGATCAGTGATGGGCGAGGATGTTTAATGATTAAGTTTTAGCTACCTGTTGCATACTTTGTCCACAGGGGGTGCCAGAATCGCATTAAAATAGATGTCCTCTGACATGTGGATTAAAAGGCTGCCAAATCACGAGACGCCGTCTGTTTGGTGCAGACCAGTGATGGCGGGGATGTTTGATGATTAACTTTTAGCTACCTGTTAAATACTTTGTCCACAGGGCGCGCCAGAATCGCATTAAAAAAGATGTACTCTGATGTGCATTACCCTACATGTGGATTAAATAGCTGCCAAATCACGAGACGCTATGTGTTTGGTGTAGACCAGTACAAGCGGGGATGTTTAATGATAAAGTTTTAGCTACCTGTTACACACTTTGTCCACAGGGGGCGCCAGAATCCCCCCTACATAGATGTCCCTACCGTTGTAAAATCAACAGCTGTTTGTCGAATTATTTTATAGGGAAATAAACCCTTTCTTTTTATTCACAACCCTATTATCTTGGTCACATATATAGTTGGTTGTAAAATTTAAAACACGGCCTAAATAGTTCAACTTTTATTAAAACTGATGTGAATTTTGACCTACCTTAGTTTTCCTCGCCCTCTGCTGGGATCAGACTAATCCTGATTTCTTGAATCGAAGTCGTCTCGCTCTGACTAATGTCATTGGAGCAGCTCTGACAGGATGTTTTATCTAGATAAGAGGCAGGATTGGATTACCTGATCTAATCTGATTGTTATACTTTTATTCCCTTCCTCTCTCTTACTCTCGCTGCAGAGACATTCGAGTCTCTTAAAGCTGCTCGTTGGCACCTGGCCTGTATTTTACTGTAAGATATTGATGCTTTGATATTAGCCGCTTACCGGCAGATCCACTCACACACATAATTCTGCCTCATTAGTTATTGATGAGCTAATACCCTCGCTGAGAATTGCGTTATTTTCAATAGACTCACATGACGACTGTACAAATAACTCTCATGGACGCGTTGAAACCGTCAGCCATTACCTGCTTTGACCGTCAACAATTAATCACCCGCGGATCGATGAGTGAGAACAGGATACCCGGCAACCTCAGTTGTCATGGAGATGACATCCCATAATGACATGTTTGTTCCTGGAGCACATAATGGTATTGGATATCAGTCTAGTATTGATCAGGTAATCTCATCGGACACCGCTGTAATGCAGGGTTGAGGTTGATGTGCATCCGTATAAGGGCATGAGGACACCATCGAGGGTTGCTATGGTTTCAAGTATGAAGTGAAGGAAGAGGATTATAGAGGAAAGGCATGACCACAGACTAATACGTCCACATGTGTTGTGCTTTTTTGCGTGTATGACACTATTTACAAGGTGTTCCCTGTCAGCTCCGCACCACAGGAAAAACCAGCTGACTTAAACATCACGTTTGTTTTTATTGGCTATTTGTCACACTGGGCTTACTGGGGCATCGAGTGGTCGTGGATAGCTGTTGATCAAGTGGTTAACCGCAGGACACAACCCAGTGCTAAAAGCTATTGTCACCTGGAGAGGGATTACAAAGGCAAAGTGCAAATCATGACTTATATACAATGCAAAGACATTATTTCAGATGGTGTATAGACACTACCGGACTGAATTCACTCCCAATGTGAGAGCTGAAGGGTCAGTTAGCAGCACAGCAGTCAGTTTTCCCCTTAACAATGTGAATTTTGTAATTGCACCTTATCATGTCAGTTACATTCTGGATGTGTCTCCAGCCTTCCAAGTTAAAAAAGGCTGGGCACCCCTGACCTAGCTAAACAGGCTAAATGACGATTATGAAATTACCGTCAAAACACTACCAGCACTATCAGCTGTTGAAGGTGTGACACAAGTTTGAGTGAATGCTAATACTAACTCTGCTGTTTAAGCCGTTAAACTGATTTTTTAACAAACTCTTGTAGATCTTAAAACCTCATAATAGCGATTAAAAACCTGCAACTATATTCAGACCTGTTTTCTTATGATGATGCTATCACGTTGCCTAGGGTTGGGTATCGTTTGATTTTGAATGATTCCGATTCCTCGTTCCGATTCTGGTTCCTAACGATTCTCTATTCCGATTCTTTTAAAGGCAGAATATTAAAAAACATGCATGGTTTAAATGAGGGTGCTAACCGGGGTTCTTCTTTTTGGATGAAATTTCTAAAGTTTGGAACGGTTCCGGAAGATTTGGAATATTAGTCCCGGTTCCCCTCGATGCTCGAGACTCGATGCCCAACCTTAACGCTGCCTCCGTCCTACTGGCTCAAACAAGCTCTTTCGTTCGGAAACAGTCATATTGCTTCTAAAGATTGGGATACATATATTATTAAAAAAATTTTAAACAACAAAAACCAGAAATAAATATTAAAAAAACAGCGAAAGTGTTTACTAAACTGACAAAAATATGCAAATCATGTTATACGCTGATGATACTGTTGTATGTAAAGATTACAGTTAAACTGGACTTGATTTGAGCAGCTAAGGGTCTTTGAGCTTTTGTAGGTTTATGTGTATGTGTGTGTGTGTGTATGTATGTATGTATGTGTGTATGTGTGTGTGTGTGTGTGTGTTGATTAGACAGCGTTTACCTTCAGTCATGTGACAGATTAAACCCTCTATCTATTGTAGGATTATTATTTAGTGTCAACAATGGCCTGAGCGGATTACAGGAGTTGTGTATCTCTTTTTTTATGGTATGTGTGTGTGTGTGTGTGTGTGTGTGTGTGTGTGTGTGTCTAAGGTGTGCTGGACTGCAGACCTGCCAAAATGTCTCCGCACTGGCTTCAAACCCCTTTCATGCTTCCGCTGCCTCCTCTTGTTTTGTCCCCTGTCTGTTACCGTACTTGTTAGAGCAGCAGTCTGTTCGCACACTTGTTGAGAAGGCGTTAATTCTTATCAGCAGTGACATGACATCCCGACACTATTACATTAATTCACTTCCTCACCCACGAGTCCCTAAATAATTATACAGATGCGGTGATAGCTCTCTGAAGACTGGAGACATTCAGGTTTGCTGTAATTGAATATCTTTGGGTTCTGAATGGAGGTTTTTGATACTCGAGCCTCGTGTTTTCAGACTGAATATTTATTGAATATTAATTTACGATGGAGTTCTTCATCATGGAGCTTCAATTTTCATGCGATGTCATGTAAAATCTGTAGGGAACAAAACTGAAATCACTCGAAATTCACAACCCTTCTCCGCCAGGCTTATCTGACATGCAAATACTCACATGGTCAATGATCTATGGCTGCTGTTTTACAGCCGTGACCTCAATCAAACCGAGCTTGACTCGGAGACTTTTTATTGGCTGACTCAGCAGCTAAACTGATTGGAGCGTATTTGCAGATAATGGTTTAAAGAGTTAATTATTAGTGCTGGTAGATGTGATAATTTTTCTACATATAAGGTAATGCAACAACATGCATCAACATGTCAGCTGTGTGGAAGTATTTTAAGAGTAACCGGTGAAATATTTTACATGAGAAAAGGAGTGTTTATATATCGTCATCGGTGCAACTTGAGGTGCAATACTGTTTTGTTTGGTTTTGCAACATCATAAATGAACCTAAATGTATTTTAAAAAGTTATTAAAGGTGGGTAGGCAGGATTCCGTTAAAGAAGCATCTTTTTTTGTGATGTATCTACAAAAAGCTTTTAATACCAGTCAATAATTATTAGTTATTGATGACATTTAGTAATATGACGATATCACTGTGTTTTGTTATGTCTGTGTCGTCAATATTTTAACATTTATGAGTGGTCCGCTCTTTCTGACCGTAAACAAAGCCGTTCTCCACCTCCTCTAACCTGATTGGTTGTGAGGCAGACGCTGCTCCCCCGTGTCGTTCACGAGCCCAAACAAAGTTAGCGTGCTACAATATCAGACAGTAGAAACCAACCAGAAAGTTCGGAAAATTGTCTGAATCCTCCTTTGGCCACGACTGCCGACACGAGCAAGAAAACAAAGTAAATACCGGAGACTCTGGAGGAAGAACAGGCGCTAAAAATGGAGGTAGACCGGACAAGAGCTAAAAAGTCGGGTCAACATAAAATGATGGGGGCACTTCGGGATCTTACAGACCTGTCTGTAACAGAAGTGTTTCTTGTCAAACGGACCTGCTGTAGCGTGTCGTAGCGCCACTAAACTGTCTCCCTCGGGTCCTGGACTATGTCACTTTATCCTAGTTGTAGAAGTCCTGCAAACATTGTGTTTGCTGATAGTCTGTTGGCGGAAACAAGATGGCTACATCTACAAAAGTTATTTTAGCTCTTGCCTTGTCCTTGTTATATCCGGACAAGGCAAGCGCTAAAATAACTTTCGTAGATGTAGCCATCTTGTTTCCACCTCCGATTTTGCTTTTTTCCGACTTGGTAATCGAAACGCTGGTAACTCGGGTGTGACGTCATTTCCAGCTCCAACATCTGACTTCCGAGGAAACTTGAACGCAGCATTAGATCCGTAGAGACATCTGAAGTCGTTACGGTTTGAGTCAAACTTCCTCTTTGGTGTACCTCAGCTTTGCATACTGAAACTGCTAAAAGGAAGCAACAATTAGCATATCTCGAACATTTTGGCTCGAGATTAGTAGGAATGAAGTCACGATTCTGAGTGATGTTGCAGTTTTGCATCAGGCAAACCTGCTCATCTGATTATCTCTAAATGTCAAACCTTTAGCATCACGTTGACAGATGCTAAGTATTAGCTCTAAAACCAATAAAGGGAAAACTGGCCCGGTAATACGGCTATTTTCAGGATCTGACGCATCACCGCATCGATTACCTCCTGTGCTGTGAATTATGCGGCGCTTTACAACAAAAGCATCATGTATCTGGATGTAAAGTAAGTTATCGATCGGGGTTATATGTGGAGCTGTGGCGAGTTCTCTGGATTGATGGAGATGGGTGGTCCTTGGCACAGAGACACATGCTTTTATCTTTATGAGGACCTCCCGTTCACTAAATTTAGACCCTCGGCTTAAGTGGACGGTCAAATGGGATGAGCTCAAGCTGTTATAAAATCAGACTGAAGTAAAACATAGTGCTGGATTTATTCGTGAAGTTTGTTGGGAACACTTTAAATGTCACTGACATTATCGTGACGATGACTTGTGGCGGACGCTGTCGCTTTTATTCGGATGTTTTAAAAGAAAGACGTAAATCTTTTCTTGGAGTGGATTAAATCGTCCCTTTCTCGCCCTTGACCTGTGACCTCCGCTGATTTCCTCACTTTCTTTTTCACTCCTTCTTCTCTCTCTCTACCTCCAGGCTTTGTTATGTAAGCGTTCACACTCTTTCTTCTCCCTCTGTTTTCCCATCATCCTCTTTTCCTCCTCCTCCACCACCTCCTCCTCCTCCTGCTCCTATTTGCGTTGCTCTCATTTACTCTTCGGAAAAAAATAAAGAGACACAGGAATAGAATGAGGCGGAAGAGCAAACAGCTTCTGTGAATCGTGTGTGTGTGTGTTTGTGATTTCTGTGTGTGTGGCCCCACCGCTGTGGCTTCGAGTGGGACGATCAGGCGAGCTGTAATGAGCGTGCACGTGAAAATACACAAACCCGGCGAGGACAGGGCAGTCCCTTCATTACGGGGTCTTTCCATGAGAGACGGCTCCTGTCCTTGTTGTGCCTCTGTAATCTCCGCCTCTCCTACAGATTTAATTGTTTCCTTCACACCTGCGCTCCGTGTTTTTGTTTCTGTTTACCCGCCTCTGCTCCGAACTCTTGAGTTGTTTAACTTAATCCAATCCGATCCAATCCGCTTTATTTATACAGCACATTTTAACTATATTTGACAGTTTTTCAGTATTTCCCAGTGGGTTTCAGAGCAGTTTTATCGGGATTTATTAAGAGTAAAATGAGATGAAACTACCCTGAATCGCCAACGAACACAGCGTAATTTGATTTACACACTTTTGGGACAGCACAAAAACTAGCTAGGCTAATTGCTAGTAGCTCCCAGAAGTGACGTCAGATAAATCTAATTGGCGTGTTTGTTAATTTGCTTCTTTTCAAAAGACAACAGTTGTGCGTATTTTTGATTAACGTAGCATTGGCTGGCTTGAGAATGTCGCTTCCAAGATAGCTCGCAACTATGCTGTTAATTAGCAAGCTAACCAGGTGGCTAACGTTACAGAGTTTGGAAATTAAAAAATGCTTCAGCAGGATTTTTACACTGTTATGATATTTTAGTGTATTTGCCCTTTATTCTACACGAAACAAAACTTTCCTAAAATTGACGAAAGATTTCAATGTAAGTCAGCCCGTTTGACAGTGTCACTTGCTAGCAAACTTTGGCTAGCTAGCCTTGTAGCTAATGTAACAGGTGGCAGTTGGTTACTATCTGGCACACTGTCCAGATTCACTATTTTGTATATAAATCTTTATTTTTTTCTTGTATAGTCAATATTTAACAAAGACTTTGGTATTTTACGCATCAAAACTAAGATTTTTCCGAACTTTTCTATACCCAAATCTAGCAAATCTAGCTCCTTTTTCTGGAGTTTAGAGCCTCCAACATAATCGCAGGAATAGATGTTACTCTTCTCGACAGGTAGCCGGTGGGCATCAAAAACACGGACACAGACACCCTGCGGTGACAGTGGGTTTGGCGGAGAAATTATGCAAATTAGGCAATGGCATCATCTAGCAACTTCTAGCGACTTTTACTACAGCCACTAGCAACTTTCCTTACAGACTAGTTGGCATAACTTGAACAGATTTCTAGATCGGTGTTGCCAAGGAAAGGTTGATACATCAAGGCTTTGTACTTTAGCTTAGCTTTAACATTTTTACAATTACGAGGACAAAAATTGCGCCATTCGTCATTTGGTACACTAAGCTAGATATCACTCGTATTACCTAAAAGTAAACAATTATTAACATTTTCATGGTTCCAACCTTTTTCCTGTTTGCTTTAGCTCTTATATAAATTCGTATTTGACTTTTTCTTGACTACCTGAATCCTACGATCTGTTTTAGTCGTGAAAAACCAGTAAATCACAACTTTTCCCCCTTTTTCCTTCAAAAATAGCAGCATCACTTCAGATTATATAACCGGTTATATTTCAGGTGTTGCGACCAGCAGGTAACACTCCTTTTTTTATGATCTTTCCATTCCTGTAGACTTCCTGCGCTGCGCTTTGGAATCAAACCCCCACAATATTTGTTCTTTTTTATCTGCATCTCGCTCCCAGTGCAGAAGTCTGTGTGGGTGTTCGCTGCAATAGAGATGAGGACGAGTTATGGATGTGTGTGTCCGCATGTGTGTGTGTGTGTGTGAGTGGGACGGTAAACAGAAATGGCTTGAGGAGAGTGCACGAGTGTGTGGGATGACCAGTTTTGTGTTTTGTGTATGTGTGTGCGCTCTGATTTATGCCCTTGGCTTGATGTGATACAGCTGCAACAGTGTGTGGGTCAATACTGAGAGGGAGAGATGGAGATAGACAAAGAGGAGAGAATTAGTGAGTGGAGGAGAGATGGAGAGAGATGGAGGCAGAGTGGAAAGTAGCAAAGAGAGACCGATTCAGAGTTATATAAGACATCCGAGTAGACCGCAACCGGCTCTGATACCCAGATTTACTCTCACATTTACCTTCACGACAGGTACTGCAGAGGGGGCGGCCTGTCTGTTTGAGAACTTTTGTTCACACGAAAGACTGAAAAACACATTTTCTCACTTTTAAACCACTTGAGAGGCAGTTTTTAGAGATATACTCGAGAGATACTCCAGTGACTCTTGCTAGCCTGATTCCTCGACTTGAGCGTCAGACTATTTTAGAGGAAAAGGTCGCAGAGAAGGGGCAACGACAAGCTAATTAGTAGTCAAGTGATGTCTGTTTTTAAGTTCAGTCGATAAGTTTTTCAGTTTTTTCTTATAAAATGTAAAAATTTTATTGCATGGACAACTCGAATTAACATTTTATCAAAATACATTTATCAGCGTAGTATTGTTAGATATCACCATGAAGGATTTCTGGACTTAACCCTAAAATGCCTGAAACCACAAATTATGACCAGAAAATTCAAATTTTTTGGAGCTGAAATATTTATTTCATTTACTACTGAAAACCAAAAAAATCAAAATGTATATTTACATCTTGTTTGATACATTAGATGTTTTTGGAAACTGATAAACCACAAGAAGACACTTTTATCATTTAACGGACTGTATTACGGTGTTTTTTTTTTGTCATTTGTTGATCATATTGATTGATAGAAGTAGCAGAAGTATCATAAAAGTATCAAATATGATACAAAAGGCAAAAAAGGGTTAAAATGCAGAACCCAAAAAAGCAAAAGCAAGTCATATTCTAAAGCATTATGTCATGCACATTATAATGTTGGGTACTTGCTAATTTTAGCTAGTAGAGGGGTTTTTAACTAATTGAACCATTAGCCTAGGTAGTCTAATTTATTTCGGTTTATTGATAACATTGTTTCCCCTAAACATTAATATTAATGTCTGTGTGTGTCTCAGCTGTTACCCCCACTTCTTGCCGCTCAAGTAGCTACGCTGTTACGTTCATTGATGACTCAAAACGGGGGGCAACCGCCATTCCGACATCCCGCCATTCCGACATTGGTCTCTAATTGTCGGAGTGGCGGTATGTTACCATGCTATCAAACGTCCCGTCATTCCGACAGCTCTCGTCTGCTATGCACGGAGTGGCAGTATCCCGCCATCCCACTGTGGAGCCGGTGCTTAAGGGCACTGCCGGTGACGCAAACACAGAGACATGTGGGTGTACTGATCCCAACGTCAATGTAAATTAAACCTCTAATATATTACAACGTGCCGTATATTTTCGTCAAGATTGCTTTGATTGCAGCAGACTTCCTCCATTTTTGTGAAACACCACCGCTGTATGAATTTGAGGTCAAGAGTGTATGCAATGGTCAGGTTACGACAAGAGCGCTCTAATTGGCGATCTACTGAAGACAGCCTGATGTGTTCATATACTGAGTATTTTACATTCAAAAACCTCAGCATACAGTCTCTGTGAAGTTGTTTGAGCTTTGTGTTAACATGTTTTTGTCCATGATGGATATTTGTCCAGTTGGAGTTCACCTCATCTAAACCAGCATGACCCCTCAAATAATGAACCCCTCCAGTATCCGTCTCCCAGCCTGCATGTTATAGGTAATCCATAGTAAAGCAGCTAATGTAACATGATCTACAATGAACACAGCGTATATTATTGATTAGCTATAATGAAATTACTGTATACAGGCTGTTAATCATACACACATGAGTGCGTTCAGCCTGGATCTAAACTCAGTCAGTCTGTCTGTGTTTGTTAACTGGAGTCTCTAAACTCAGTTTCTATTGATTTGACCTCGTGTTCCCTTGAGTCATCAAAGCGCCCGGCGAGGACACCATTAACCGACAAACAGAAGAGGAAGTCTCCAGAAAAAGACACTTCACATTCACAGAAAGAACAAGGAGGAAGTCCTTAAAGAGTTTTTTTGACTAAAAGTGCATTTTTTAAAAGAGTTTAAAGTCTCTTTAAACTACAGAAAAACAAATATTTACTTTGAAACTGCATTATCTTTTTTTGGAGAAGGGACTTAAATTCATATTGTTTAGAAAAGAATGTAGTTACTCATTTAATATCGATTATTTTAACTTTAACTTTTCCGAATAGCTGTAGAATAAAATGAAATATAAGGCTGTATTAGTGACTCTAATGGGATTAAAACATGTTTAAAATGAATTTGAACATTTTTTAACAAATTTTTTAACAATTAAAAGGTTATTTAAAAAAAAAACGTCCTTAACTCAAACCGCACTTTTAAGCATTTTTCATTGGACCCCTAACCAAATATACCGAAATTTCTTTAAAAAGTTATCACATTTTTCTGAATGTGTGCGTTTTTATTTTAATTTTTAAAGAAAATAACAGATTCGGATTGAACACTTTTGAATAAACAAAATTTGCTTTCAGTCTTCAACTGATTCCAAGAGTTTAGATTGATGACTTTTGACGTGTAAGATGGAAAAAATATTTCAAAAATACAAATACAAACCCACTCAAGAGGAAACACTTTTTGTTGTTTCACACTTCTCAAACATCTTTTAACCGGTATCTTTAAGTCCACATGAGTAAATCGGTACGTTTTAGGTCTGTTTTTGTTTTTTTGTCTTCTTTCTTTCGTGGCTGCAGAAGTCAAAACTCCCATTCCCTCTGCGAACCGCCATTAAGTAAATGTGCGTTTGTGTTTGTGAGACAAAGTTGATGAGTCATCCTCAACGGCTGAGTCTGACATAGTGACACTCGCTTTGGAAATGTGCTAATGACGAGGAGACGACAATTCCTTCAGCGTGCGTGTTTGCGCGTTTGTATGTGTTGTCATTAATGAGCTAATTTGCGCTCTCAGGCGGCGGGTGAGTGTGTATGTGTTGTCGCTAATGAGCTAACACGTCACAGTTTTAACGTGTGTCTGTGCATGTGTGTTTGCGTGCAAAGATGCTCATTTGCCGATCAATTAGTGGATGTCGTCTGTGTGTGTCTCTGTTTAATGGAGACTGACAACAGAAAAGACGAGCTGAGATCTTTTCTGATGAGCTTCGGCAGGGTTTGAAATGAACTCTTTGACTCCCTCAGGCAGGTAGATAAAGAAAAAGTCACAAGTCAGCCATATTGATTCCTCGCCAGATAACAAATAAGGTTTTTGCATAAGTTGCTGTTTATTATCAGCCTGGAAACAAAAAGAAGCTGCACCAGGTCAGCTAATGTTTGAGTAAATAGTCGTATTTGTGTGTTTTTGGACCCTGTACCTTCATCGCTCCGACATGCAGACGGCATTGTTAGTTGTTCAATTACACGACTACTTTGGTGCAAATTCTGACCATCTATGTGGTGCATCACCCTCAGAAAAATACTGTAGGGTATTTATTTTATTCACTTAGGAGAATCTGCTAGCATTTGGTGCCCAGTGGTTATTTTTTATTTTTATTTTTATTTTTTTTGTGATAAAATATTTTCTTTTTATTGCAAATTAGGGTAGAATACAATCAGTTTCAATGTTTTTTTTCCTTTTGTTTAATAAAATAAAAAATAAAAATAAGGAAAATGAAGAAAATAATAATAATAATTATTGAAAAATAAATAAATAAAAATTAAGAAATTCCCCCCATCCCTGGTCAAACAAGAATAGAATAGACAATACAATATGATATAAAAAGAAAATTGGTGGAAAAGAAAAATAATTGGTAAGAAAGAAAAATAAGGAAAAAAAGAAGAACAAAAAAATAAATAAAAAAAAAAAAAAAAACCCCATCCCCGGTCCAACAGTAATAGAACATACAATACAGTATGATATAAAAAGAAAATTCGTGATGCACCAGAATAAACCGATCACACCTGTCGCACCTGTTCGTCTCACCGCGCCGCAGTGACCGATCCGCACGGAGGAGTCGATAAATATGATCGAACTAATTACTGTAATGGCAGGAAACATATTAATGGAAGAGAAGTGAATCGAGCTGTGGTGGAAAAAACTGAACACACAACCTGCTCCTGTCTTTGTCACACACACACACACACACACACACACACACACACCGCGGTCCTTACATCTAGTGTCATTAACAGATGTGCTTTCACGCTGCTGACTCAGACTGTAACTCTTCATGCAGCGCCTTTAGTCAGGTGGTGTGACAGCTCTATGGACACACACTAACACACACACTAGCGCACACACACACACACATTTTATACTTACACATAAAGAGACACAAATACAAGCAGGTCAAAAGTAAGACGCTGCAGTCAGGAAGAATAAACTGGACGATGACATGTTTTATTTCTCAGGACGGCAGTAAAGCAGAAACAGCAAGATTGTGAATGTTTTAACGTGTGTGTGTGTGTGTTTGTGTGGGTGTGTGTGTGTGTGTGTGATTGTGTCGCGGTAACTGTATCTTGCTTCCTGTTAAAGACGGTTTCGAGAGGAAAGCTGACAAAAACCAAGAGTGAGTCTATTTTTGGCCGCAGAGAGAGACAGAAAGATGAAGACGATAGCGAGGTTTCAAAAAAAAAAGAGGAAGAAGTGCACAGAGGCGTGAAAAACAAAACAATGAAATTAAATATCAAAAAGGAAACAGGTTGATGAGAAACAGTGAGTCGAGAAAAGTGGGTGAGAAAACGGACGCAGAGAAGAGAGTTAGAGGAACAAATCGGAGTGACCCGAGGTTCACGAGCTCCTGAGATATAAAGAGGCGCTCTCATCTGACGCTTCACTTCCTTAAAGTTCAAACTTTTTCATCTTCTTCTCAAATCTTCTCCTTCTGTATTTCTTTTCTTACTGTTTGATGGTTCGTCTTTGTAGAACTCTGCAACTCGAACTCCAAACGCATTTTTAGCGTTTGAAAGTCAGACTCTACGTTAGTGCGCACATGACACATGACTCATTTTTATGCTTTATAGGAGCGTTGTAAAAGTACAGAAAATTTTAGGGTTTTTTTGTCTCATTTTGTTTTGGTTTCATTTACAGTTCTAAAGTCCAGCTCCTCCTTTTGTGTTTCAACGTCTCTATGATCCATGTGGTTGTCAAAATGTTTAAAAACTGTAAAAATCTGAGAAGGATTATAATTTAAAAGCAGAAAACAGACTCAAAGATTCATAAATAAAAAGTTTTGTTAGGAAAATGTATAATTGTTTCAAAGTGCACCATAACTGCATTATCTGGAATAAATTTGTGATTTTTTCAGATTTTAAGATCTAACATCAGCCCTTTAATTCAAGAGGATGTAAAAACCATCAACCCTTTACTATAATTTTCCGTGTATTTGTGTTAAAGTGGAAACTGTTCGCAAAATATTCGGCCAACAAATCGCAGTTAATTGTGAGTTTTTGAGTTCAAGTTAGGAAGAGGTACATTTTCAGAAAATTTAGGTACAGTTTAAAACTTTGAGCAAACTTGTTTTCAGGTATTAGGAGACATGGACTACGAATTAGCCATGTCTAGAAATATATATCGCACTTACATAAATCAAACATCACAGCAAATTTTGCATTCGGTACATCTCTACTTAAACTTCTCGACTCTAAAAAAGTCGCTTTAATGACAGAAACCACAAAAACCAAATGAATGACACACTTTTTAATCGGCCCTTTCAGTTTCTTTAAATAAACTCCATTAAAGTTAATTGTTTGTTTTTCAGTTGTTTGTAAAAGGTCAATTTTAGGAAAATTTAGGTACGGTTTAATACTCTTAGCGATCTTGTTTTTCAGGAATTAGGAGCCTTTTTTTGTAAAAGCCTAACTAAGGACATGGACCACAAATTAGACATGTATAGAAATATTTATACGCTGCATCAGTCGCACTTAAATCAAATTTTGCATTAGGTACATCTCTACTTCAACTTCTCGACTCTAAAAAAGTGGCTTTAATGACAGAAACCACAAAAACCAGATAAATGACACACTTTTTGATCGGCCCCTTCGGTGTCTTTAAATAAACTCCAGCAAAGATTTTAAAGCAGCTGCTGTTTGTGTGGCGTGCCAAAGCATGCAAATCTCCTCACTATCTAACCTGAACCGTGACCACGCTCTGCGCCGACCTCACCCCGCCCTGACCTTTACGCACCTGCTAAACTACACGATAAAAAAGCCCGTACGGCTTTGATTGGTTGGTTTGTTGAAAGTCTGAGATCGAACCCGAGTACTACAGCGTCGGCAAAGTGAGTATTCTGGAAGGATGTGGCTTCCCCTCCTAAAATTAACACCCTCTTATTTTTACACCGAGCTTCGTCACAATGAAACCGAGAGAGATTCAGAGCGACAGAAATAACCGTTCACTGACAATAGATTGACAAACAGAGGGGAGGAAAGAGCTTAACTACAAACGAGTTTCCCCCGCTGCTCGTTCAGTTATAGATTTCTCAGGGTGACTTTATTGAACACCGTAAAATAGCAGGAGACGATCACCCCCCTACTTCGTCTTTGTCTCCTCTCTCCCTCTCTGAATGCCGTCTTCTTTTGGTTTCACACATTGCTGTTTCGCTCAGCGTCTCGTCACTGAATGACTCCTCTCTGCAAAGGCCTAATTAGATTAGATCGGATCTTTTTGTTATGACTTTGAAGAAGCGTGTACCGTAAATGAAAGCAATTAAGAGCCGACTGTACGCACGCATGCAGAATATCTGATCCGTGACCTTCAGCATTCCTACTCGACGAATCGTGAACACTCGTGTTTGCGGTGTTTTGAAATGTGTAAATGTACCGTAAAATTCGGCGTATGAGATACAGCGTCAACACTAATTAGGATTTCCTTCCCTCGTTATGTTTGGATCATGCGTTTAAAGAAAACCATGGCGTGCTGTTAGGTAAATAATCCTTTTGGAGAGAACATCACCTGAGTCAGAACAAACCGAACAAGCTCCAAGTGTGAAAGCAACGCCGGATCCTTTAGGATGTTCTCTGCATTAAAGGTAGGGTAGGCAGGATTCCGTTAAAGAAGCGTCTTTTTTTGTGGTGTGTATACAAAAAAAAACTTTTAATATCAGTCAATAGTTATAAGTTGTTTATGACATTTGTGAATATCACGATATCGCTGTGTTTTTCTGATTGGAAACAAAACTGTTCTCCGCCTCCCCCAACCTGATCTGTTGTGGGGTAGACGCTGCTCCCCTATGTTGTGAGGCATGGTTCACGTCCTCCAATAACGTTCACGAGCGCAAACAAAGTTGGCGTGCGGCAACATCGGACAGTAGAAACCAACCAGAAAGTTCAGAAAATTGTCTGAATCCTCTTTTGGCCACGACTGCCGACACAAGCAAGAAAACAAAGTAAATACTGGAGACTCTGGCGGAATAACGGGCGCTTAAAACGGAGGTAGACCGGACAAGAGCTAAAAAGCCGGGTCAACATAAACAAAGCATTTGGGGGACGCTTCGAGATCATGGTGACCCTGTAACCTTTCTGCTGGACAGGTAAACCGCTTTAACAAAGTAAGACAAGTGTCTGTAACAGAAGTGTTTCTTGTCAAGCAGGACCTTGTCAAACCGTTGACCTCGGGTCCTGGACTATGTCACTTTATCCTAGTTGTAGAAGTCGTGCAAACATTGTGTTTGCTGGTAGTCTGTTGGCATCTACAGTAGCACCAATGCTTTTGACTTTCACCTTGACTGGGCCCTCTGAGGCACTTCCTCAAATCCTGACTACTCCACCTTTAATTTTTTTTGCGTCCTGGTTTCTTGTTGGGGTTTGACCTTCACTTGATTAAAGCAAATCCACGTGATCGTAGATAGGATGCCCTTATCGTGATAAAGACTCTGTCGCGTTCACTCTATTTGCTGATGACTCCCTGTTGTCTTATTGGAGCGTCCTTTTAACCCCAGACAGTAAAGCTGTTCAGCGTTTCAATTTGGCGTCGTTGGGCCACAAAAGCTTCACAGGCTTGGAACAATGCTTCCTCCCCCTCGGCTGAGGCCAAGGACAGAACCGGCTCGTAAAAAAAAAGGGACAGGACGATTTATAATCATATTAGAGGGGGGCGGCTCACCCTGCCCAAAGTCACCCGAATGCCAACTGCATCTCCATCTCTTCCTCACTCCCTGACTCGGCCCTTTGTCTCTTGCTGCCTCTGCGTCTACCGCTCGCTCTTTGCCGAGTCATCAGGCTTAAAGCTGAGCCAGACGCTGAATCATATTAGAGGTATTGGCAAGTAATCAGGAGACAACAAATACCCCTTTTCTCTTTTTAGTTCGCTTCTCAATCTGGGTAATGAAGCCACCCACAAATTAACCTCGTATTCAAACACACACACACCAAAAATACGCTCAATTTCCCCTAAATAAACACGAACTTTAACTCAAATATGCACTGTAACTCTTGAAATAAACACACAGAGACAGAGGGTTTTACCAGGAAATAGACCGATGCTTGCGAGAAAAGAAAGCCACATCCTTTGTAACACAAAACAGGGCCGAGGACCGCTTTTTAAATAACATGAAGATCGAATATCACTGTAAACAACGAGAAAAGAAGAAGAAGAAGGAGGAGGGGGAAAATAGATGAGAGGCTGCAGAGAGAGAGGAGTCAGGGGGAGGTTTGTTTGGGGTAAAAGAGGGCGGTGTACGACCTGTGTGTTCCCCTCTGTACATTCAAGAAATAAGGGTGCAACACTTCCTCAATACACACACCCTCTATGAAAAGGACCAGAGTAAATCTTGCCTGACTGTGTTCACCGTGGGCCATTGCGTCTGTGTTTGTATGAGCATGCAAATTGTGTGTAAATGTAGAAGCCAACACAATTAATGCCTCACACATGTCGTATATAATGCCGCAATAGTTTACAGTAGCCGTTGTTTATTACTTGCTATGGTGATGTCAGTTCGTTTACACGCTGTTTTCAAAAATGGATTGATTGCTTTAGTCTGAATAGGATTGGCTTTAAAAATACATGTAAAAAATTTACAAACATCTTAAATTATATTGTGTAATATTGTTTATTATTGTATATTTTCATATCAAAGCTTATCGTATTGCATTGTATCGTGTTGAATCGCAGCGTATCATATCGCATTGTATTGTATCGTATTGCACCGTATCCTATTGCATTGTATCATATATCTTATGGTATCGCATCCAATCGCATCTGATCGTATCCTGTGATACTGCATCATATTGCATCGCATTGTATCACATCAAATGGAATTCTATCGTACTGTACTCCATTGTATCACATCGTATTGCATCGTATCCTATGACACTGTATCGCATCCTATTAGATCCTATTGCATAGCATCTTAGCGTATCATATCTACCGTATCCTATAGTATTGTGTTGTATCCTATTGCTCCACATCTTGTCATATTGCGTTGTATCATGTCACACCGTATCATATCATATCGTATTGCACCGCATCGCACCACATTGTTCCATATTGCGTTGTAGCATATTACATCATATCATATATCATATCATATCATATTGTATCATATTGCATTCTATTGTATCGCACCACATTGCATTATATTATGTTGTATCATATTGCACTGTATCATATCATATCCTATCATACTGTATTGCACTACATCATATCATATTGCGTGTTATCATATCGCACTGTATCATGTTATATTGTATCATATCATATCGATTCTATCATATCGCACCGCATCATATTATATTGCGTTGTATCATATTGCGTTGTATCATATCACACTGTACATTATCTTATTGTATGTATCGCACCATATTGCACCACATCGAATCATATTGTGTTCTATCATCTCGCCCCGTATCATATCATACCGTATTGTATTGCAGCTAGTTGCACCACATCATATCATATTGCATTCTATCATATCGCACCGTATCCTATCACACTGTATAGTATCGTATTGCATCACACCATATCGTATTGTTTCGTATTGCATTGTATCAGATTCTTCGTATCGCATCTTAGCGAATCCTATCGTACCGTGTCCTATTGTGTTGGACTGCATTGTATCGCACCACACTGTATCATATTGTGTTCTATCATATCACACTGTATCATATCATATTTTAACGTATTGCATTGTATCGCACCACATCGTATCATATTGCATTCTATCACATCGCACCGTATCATATCATATTGTTTCGTTTTGCACCACATTGTATCATATTGCGTTTTATCATATCGCACCGTATCGTTATATCGTGTCGTGGATTACCTCCTGGTTTCCACCCCTGTTCTCCAACAGTAGAAGAAACAGCGTGATTGTTATTACATGACGATAATCACCTGTTACGTAACGATCATTTGTGCCAAAGAATGACTGAAGTCGGAGAATCAAGTATTCAGTTTTTTTGTAAGTGGTTCCCTGTGTTTACAAAGTGTCTGCAGACGTACACACGATAAGATCACAGTCAAATTTCCCACGTTCGCTCGCATGTGTGCAGCAGTGTGTTATTTTTTGCTCTGGTGCAGGATTCCCTCCAGTGTGACGGAGACGCACAGATGGAGCGCCGAGACTCCTCTGCTGCTGTAAAAAGACGCACACACATGTTTCTGCACCACCACTAACCACTCAGTGAACTCCTTTGTAGAAAGTCTATTTTTGTCGCGGCACGTCTATGTTTGAGAAACTGAGCTTATTCTGGAAACAGGCTGTTACTGTATATGGTAATTCCCCAACCAGCTCCTCTCTGTGTTTATGCATCAAGCTCCCTTTCTTTCTCCTTCTCTCTTTTCATCTTTTTTTCTCTCTTTCTGAGCCTCTTCTGTCTTCTCGCCCTCGTGTTATTTGCTCTTTTTCATCTGCACTTCTTGCTTGCTCTTTTTCTCACACTTTCCTTTCATTCTAGCTCCTTTCTACTTCTGCCTTTCTTCCTTCCTCCATCTCTATCGGCCTCTGCAGAAGTCTGGCGGCGTGAGTGTACAGGCCTGCTGTGTGGCAATCTGTTGCCTGTCAGATTAACACTCACTTGCTTTCCCGTGAATTGGTACAGACACTTTAAGTAATACTTTGGCACAAACAAACATGCATGCAACACCCACCTGTTATGCAAGCGACAGAGAGGAAGAGGTCGAGTTGTTACCACACCGCAAACTTCAGCACACCTCTATCTCCAGCTGCCCGCTACTCGTCTTTCTCTTCAGTCATCAAGGTCAAACCAGTCTCATCCTGTCGAGAGTTTTGTTTGTTATGGTGACGATCATCTCCAGTATATAGAAATAATAAGGCTGATACACCAAAGTCAGTTGGTTGAACGATTAATCAATTAATTCTTGTTCTGTCTGAGTCACTAACACACAGTCCTGTCTAGGGTTGGGTATCAATTGATTTTGAACGATTCTGAATCCGATTCCTTGTTTCGATTCCGGCTCTAAATGATTCTCTATTCTCTTACCAACTTTTTAAGAACTTTACTATGAATTTCTCTCAGGGCTATTTTCAACCACTGTATCAATTTTGGTTGTCAGGTTGTTCGTCTATGAAAAAGTACGAGGGCTAACGTTAGTTGGATATTTAACAGGGCCCAACCGATTTATCGTCGAGCCGATTAAACCAGCTAATTTTAGCCTGTTTGAGACTAATCGGTAATCGTCCATAACTCGCCGATTTTCGCCAACATTTTCAGAAATAAAATGTGGAGAATAAGATTCGGTTTAACTTCAAAAATGTTCCGCCATTTGAAAAGTTCCCCGACATATCCTGTAGATGGCCAAACTTTTGACCGCCGCCGCTGTGGGTTGCAATGCACTCTCTCTCTCTGTGTGGCTTCGTCTTATACGCTTCGTCCTTCTTGGTGTTTTTCAGCAACTTCTTCTTCGTTGGTGTTTAGCGGCGTCTTCCTCATTGGTGTTCGGCAGCTATCGAAACTTGGAATCAATATTTTAAAATTTGAACGATTCTGCGAGACTTGGAATGTTAGTCCCAGGTCCCCATCGATACTCGAGACTCGATGCCCAGCCCTAGTCTGGTCTAGGAGTCCCTAAGCTCCATCATGCCGTAGCCTCCTCTGGATCGCTGCTGTGGATGTTTTGCTCCCCTCTCTCAACCGAGCTGACGGTCTAACATCAGTCTGGTTCTGCTCGAGGTCTCTGCCTGTTAAAAAAAAAGTTCTTCTTCTCAACTGTAACTTTCTAGTTCTGCAAAGTAGGGCTGGGACGATACGCTTTACTCCCGATTCGATTCTAATACGATTTTTTTATGCTAATTGGATTCAAATTGCGATTCTACGATATTGTCGATTTTCTTGATTTTTCAGTCTTCATTTTTAACACCAATGAAACAGTTGAATTATTATGATTGTCTACTGACGATTCCAGGAACCATATTTCCCAAAAAAATACACGTCAGTCAGTTTTTAAGATTTATTCTAAAAAACTGAAAAAAATAAATAAATAAAATTTTGATTTAAAAATTGTGAAACCAAAAATTTGCGAATCAAATTTTTTCTCCTACCCCTACTGGGAAGTGTTTCACTCACGTGGTTTAAGATGGAATGGTAGTTTGTCTGATTGTACGAGATGAGACTTAATCTGATTCCATCTTTATATCCGGATGTTAAAACTAGAGTTTGGTCTAGACCAGATTTTTTTAGCGTCTTTGTTGTGATTTGATTGACCTTTTTAACTCATCTAAACACGCTGTAATTCTGGCTCTGCATCTGACAGTTTCATAGCTGATCCACTTCAACATTTCAGCTCCAGAGATATTCAGAGAGTCAGAGAATGAAAGAGAGGAAACAAAAGAGAAAACCGAAATGAAATATTTATGTTTACAGTCTTCTGCACAAACACTTAGATTTGGAAAGGCTTTTTTCTCACAGTCAGTTCTCCAAACGATGACCACAGACGATGCTGATTTCATACTTTTTGAAAGCACTCCAAAACCAGAAGAACTCCAGTTGCGACCACAGGAATCCAGACGCGTACAGTTCAGACGTGCACTTATACACATATCATAAAATCAGGCATGCACGCACACAAGGGCGCGTCTCTATTTTTAGAGCCTCCTCTAGGATATGGAGTCTAAATTTAGAGGGTCATTTTGTTAAACAAATACAGCAGGAGTGTGTTGGACGACTGTCAAAACACGCTGGCCATGTGTTTCCGTCAGAGTGTGTGTTTATGTGTGTGGATTTATCTTCTTCATGTCTGCGCAGAGTGGGGTTATTTGAACTCAAATGTTTTTTTTTCACTTTTATAAAAACCCCACAAGAGAGAAATGGAGGGAGAGAGAGAAAATGTAGCGCTGCAAGGTAATCGAGAGAAGGAGCGTGACAGTGAAAATAAAAAATACGAGTGGACAGGGAGATGGAGAGGTGTGGGAGGGAGAGAGTTCAGAAACATTAGCATGAGAGATGGGAAAGAAACCCTCTTAAAACCACCCAGAGGGTACACACACATGCTTCTGCATAAACACGCATGTATTCAGCAACAGCGGCAACTCGTCTTGTGCAAATCCCCTCGGTGCAACCGGTCCCCTCGGCGTATTCCATCACAGTGACGGTAATTGCATCACTTTCAGTCCTGCTTATCAACTCGGTTAAAGTTCATTGATTCATAATTGCTCTATTTGGATGGCATTTATGATGAAGCAATGTGTAGAGGAGGAGAAACTTGTGCACAGAAGTGAGATTGCTTCTGCTATTTACAAATATCTGTATAGAATAGGGCTGGGCGATAAATCAAAAATTTACCGATACCGAAATTTACAGCAATAACCAACGCAATTTTGCCCATATTGGTATATTTGGTGGACTCCACCCCATCCAGTCCATAACAAAGAGGTAAAGACAGGTGAGGAGATGGAGGACGGTTCAAAAGTTGAAGCGGTTGGCGTGGAGGAAGTTTGTGTGGGAGGGGGTGAGCAGCTTGTGGAGTAGTTATCGTCCATTTATCGTTATCGAGGTGAACTGATCAATATATTGTGATATTGATAAGAGGCCATATTGCCCAGCACTAGTATAGAATATGATTTCCTTCTGTAGTTACATTTATCGGCATTTCCGACATTTGAACATGGCCATGCTCTTAAGGAAGTTACCCACTTGCTCTAACTTTTGGTAAAAGTTGGTAGTTGCCATTTTGAAAACAAATCATGGCAAACAAATCGTGGCATTTATGACGGGCAAAACCCACAAGGTCCGGAACGACTACGCTCCGCTCCGGCACAACCGGTGGATCAAATCCACAAGCATTATAATCGGGGGGCAACCGCCAATCTGACATCCCGCCATTCCGACATTGGTCTCTAATTGTCGGAGTGGCGGTATGTTACCATGCTATCAAACGTCCCGTCATGGGGCGCACCCAGCTGTGCTTGGATTAAATGACAGACTCCGGATGTGACTGCGCACCCCCCTTCCCCCTTATATGGAAAGCTGCGTCGGAATGGTGAGACGTCAGAGTGGCGGGATGTCGGAATGCTGAGATGTCGGAGTGGTAGCATGTAACAATTATAATATATGGCTGAGAGTTATCTCTAGATTTTGTCTGCGTTGACAGAAAGTTGGGTTGGGTCCTTACACTTCATCAAGAGGACTGTCCCCAGATCTTTAAATTTGTTTACGTCAACACCTACTGACAAAACTGAGATTGCTGATAGCACCTTTAATCCTCTCGGTCAAGCCTTTTAGAAGAGTGGAGAAATTACTGCAGCAAAAAAGCAAATTATTACGGTCTAGACACCTGGAGGTCTGCAGCATCCATCTCAATAAAAAAAAAACTGCCGATAACAGAGACAGAAGAGAAGGGCGGGAAGCAGGGTCACCTCTACTCATTTTACCTCCCTGTTTATTTGACAGCCTGCCATCTTTAAAGCCTGACACAAAGTAAGAGTACAACTTCCTCTGGGACGTTTGTTATAACTTTTTACAGGAAGGTGCATCTTGATAATTGGATAAAATGCATAAGGTATTAAGAAAGATGTAAAAAAAAGATCATATTGAGCATTGAAAAATAAAGAGAAGGAAAACATTGAAAGAGTGTTGAAGGAACAGCAACAGAAGGGTTGGGCCGCATGGATGCAAAGATGAATCAAAACCTGACCGGAGGCCTGTGGGCGTAAGCAAGTGGAAAGAGGGTTAAAAGAGATGGGAGAAGAGAGGTGGAGGATGAAGGGGAAAAAATACCAGTGGAGAAAGAGTAGGAGGTAATGATCTGAGTCGTAAACAGACAGCCTGGATAGAGGAGGAACAGGCGAAGGGATGAGATGGGAGAGTGTTATTGATCTGAGGCGAAGAATGGGAGTTAATGACCGCAGGAGAGAAGAGACCGGAAGGAAAAGAAAAACAAAAGACTTGATTCAGAAAAAAACGAGCTCTGATAGAAACATCCTAAAACATATCTTTATTGTTAGATTCCAAATTTCACTTATCCTACAATTATCAAACTTTTCAGAGTCAAACTTTTTTAGAAAATCTCAAATAATCAAACAAGTGACCACAATGACTTAAACTACAAATTGCAATTAGTTATAACAACCAAAAAAAAAAAAAGTAATTTTCTTAACAACAATAACAATTATCATGGGGCTTCATTAGTGTTGTCACAATACAAAAATTTCAAACTCAATACTGATACCACAGGGATAAAAAATGACAAATATTTTAAAAGGCATGAAAAATATTTTTATCAACATGAAAAACAGAACAGCAGATAAATAATCAATTAAAATATATAGAATACAATATTCCTTTATTGATCCCCCATGGGGGAAATTTTTTTGGAGGGGGAATTTTTTTAATTTTAAATTTTTTTTATTTGTTTATTTATTTATTTTTCATGGGGGAATTTTTTTATATGATAATATAAATGAATATATAATATAATCTGATAATATATATTAAATTATCAGAAAATGAAAAATATAAAAACAAAATTTAAAAAATACTTTTCAAAATATCGATACTTTTGACAACTGTAGTAGTTCTTAAGAGTTCACATAACCGTATTTACTTGTTTGTTGTTTGTACTTTTAATATTTTCCATTTAATATCAATCAACAGTGTCTGAATTTCTGTAGAATTGCATTTTGAATATTTAGTTGCCACACCATAATGCATACTTTACAAATAAAGCAGTTGAGGAAAGGAAAAATTGATACAGCTAAAAATTTAACTGAGAATGTTGTCATTAAAAAAATGAAATCAGTTTTTTCATATGTTTACTGATTTTGATGTTTTTCAAAAATTCTTTTAAAGTCCTTTAAATCATTTCAGTCTTTTTAATCTGTGAGAGACTGAAAAGAAAGAATTAGTAACGATTGAAGTAAAGCAAATCTCATTTTAAAAACACATTCTAAGAAGTAAGTAATTCAAAAATACACAGACGTCGACAGCTCTTGAATAGTTTCTTAAACAACGGTATCTCAAGCTTAAATCTGCTTGTTCTCTACACTGGCTTTGCTTCTCAGAACTCGTGGCTACATCCTCATTTTTAAAACAGTCCGCTTTACGAGTTTTTCCAATAATATCGACTGTTTTGTAGAAATGCATCGTATTCACACATGTGTAAGTTATCTGATCATGCCGCTCATGCAACATTCAGCCGTTTCCATGAAATTTGAGCAAGAAGAATTGAGAAATAGTATCAAACTATGACCGTGTAAATCGAGCTTCTCTGGAACAGTGACGCTGCTGAAGGCTACGGTCTGTTGACCCAGTAAATCGACACTTTGCTGAACTAAAGCCTCGTATTGTCACCGGCTGTTTACACACAGAAGCAACACGATGGTACTCGTATTAGTTTACACCAGCTATGATTCATGGAAAGTTTTCAGGCGAGTTCACTCCTACTTTTCGATGACTTAAATCAGGAACGTGTCTGTTTTTAGGACTTTCTAAAGAACTTCTAAGTCTCAGAAGAAAACTCTTCTTAACTTCGTGATTGGGTTATTTTAATTTTTGGATATGTATGAGTTTTATACAATAGAAGTGTTCATTCAAATATGGATGTACCTGTGCATTTGTACAGTCATTTCCCTTATCTTGAATTTTCCAGTTGAATATGAATGATGATGATGAAGTAAGCTGAACTAGTTACTTCCTGTTCTCAACTGTTTTTTGGTGAAGTAAAAGTTTATGAGGTAGTGATTCAGGTTCAACAGGTTAACTCGCAATGATCATTAAAGTCCTAATTGCCACTACCCATCCCAAATGAAGACTGATAATGTCTCCCCTGAAATTAATTTTCACGGGGTTAGGAATTCAGTTGTAAAAGTGGCCTCCCTTTAAAACCCGGGCAGCAGGGACCCTAAAATCATTTTGCACTGTCAAGAGAAATCGCTCATGTAACTTGACTTGATTCAGAGAGACTTGACCTCGGTCTGCAGTCAAAGGGAACAAGTCCACAGGCCCCGAGCTCTTTTATCACACTTAGTAGCGCTGAGGAAATGGAGCTGCACGCTCGCTCCGGCCTGAAGCTTTCCTCTTTTCTGCTCTGAGCTGTTAGTCCTCACAGCTTGTGTTTATATTGTTGACCCATCTAACAGTTCGCAGCTTCGGGGACTTTGTATTTAGACCATGTGGTGGTAGTAGTCTACATATTTTTGTGTCCAAAATAAACATAGTTGGAGGTTTTGTAGAGAGCGACCGCTGCAACATCTGAGATGGCTGTTTTAAATTCTGGGTTAGAGTCATTTCTTGACATTTTGTAATTAAATGCCAGTTTCAAGTGTGCTCATTATGTTAGCAATAATGCTGAATCCAAAATGTCTTGAAAGCAGGGTCCAGGGTAGAAATGTCACTTTTATTTTTACAGAAATTTTAACTTTTTTGGTTTTTCATAACACATAGGGTACTCTTTCTGCAGTTATTTTATTTGTAAATTGTCCTCAACAGAAAATGCATCCATGTAAATAAGGTCCCAAAAAACATCCAAACAGGTGCAGTACATGGTTCCCATAAAGACATATAAACAAACCCGTACCTACACACACATATACCATGGCATGTACTCATAATGTTACATTTATATTCAAAATTCATTCTAATTTGTGAAAATATCACATAGATGCTAAACATAGATTTGTACTAAAGGTCCTCAAAATAATCAATATAGGCACATAGTCCTCATTAAGCCACAAAAACAACAAAAAACACACACATAGGGATATAATTGGGCATTGGACAAACTATATTATGCAGTTGAATTCATTAAAATAGCCTTAATTGATGAATTCACAAGTATTCATGAAGTGTACGAAAATACTTTTCACACAAAATTAAAAAAACACTCATCTTTTAAATACGATTTTTAAAAATACAGTAAATATCTTAATTTTTTATGTGCAAAAGATGCTCAGAAACCTAATTTCTGGTGCATAGTCCTGACTGATATACACAAACACAATTACACTTACATACATAAGTAGTACAAGTATGTTCAAAATGTCCTCATAAATACTGTCGAAGGCACCGTCATAAAAACACCAACAAAATTGCACCGTAACACAAAATCACTGTATTTTAATTAATAGTTGTTTATTTGAATTTATGTAAACATCCTAACAGGTCGAGTCAACGTGCGTGGAAGGTCCTCAGAGACAGTTTCAAACACATGGTCCACATATAGACACACAAATCCTGAATAAGTGGCGCTTTGCTTATTACGTCTTCTCGTCCCCAGATAGACACGTAAACAAACTCACATGAAAACACAACAGCACAACTCAGTTAAATGCGACCTGTTCTGATTTGGATAAACACGATTTAATTCAAGTCTTGGATGTTTTTTAACTCCTTTTATAGAGATTATCGTCCTGCTCAGCGAAGTCCTCGGGTCAGAAACATCTGCAGTCCCCAGACAGACACAAAAACAAAAACACAGACACACACAAACACAAGAGCATTCGCCAAACTCTGTGTGTGTGTGTGTGTGTGTGTGTGTGTGTGTGTGTGTGTGTGTGTGTGTGTGAGAGCGGAAAGATGAGATTAAGGAGCACAGTGTGATCATCGAGGATAATCACCAGCTACAACACACAAACACAAACACAACACACACGTTTTTATCTCCACTTATCTCTCCTCTCATCTCTCTTTCACTTTTCATTTCCTTCTCGGTCTTTTCCTTCCTCCTATCCAAACTTGTCCCCTCTTTCCTCCTCCTCTCTCCTCATTTCTCTTTTTTTTGACAGTCTTTCATCTCCTCTCCACTCGATGCCTTAAGTTACTCTTTCCTTTTATCTGTAGCTCCCACTCGCCTCCTCGCTTTCCTTTTATCTGTCCTTAATCTCACCTTTTATTTCCCTTCTTCTCCTATTTCTGCTTCCTCTTTTCCTTCTTTCCTTCCCTCCTTCTTTCTCTCTTTTCCTCCTCACTTTTTTCCACTTTCCTTCCCAGTTGCCTTCATTCCTCCTTGTCTTCCCTTAACTGATATTTAACCTTTCCTTTATTCCTTCCTTTCCTTTATTCGTTTCTTTTCCTATGTTTATATCACTCCTGTCCTTTTCTCGTTATCTTAGCTGGTATCACTTCTGTCCTTCTTGCCTTCTTTCCTCCCCTTAGCTATGATCACTTCCTCCCTACTTTCTACCATCTTTTTCTTTTCCATCCCTTTACTTTGTTTATTTACTTATTTTTTCTTCCTTTCTGATACATTTTTGCTTCTTCTGCTTTTTCTTTACTATCCTTTTATCTTTCCTTTCCTTCTTTCCTTATCTTCTTTTTGTATCAATTTAATTCTCTTTCATAATTTTTCTTTACTTTCCTTTGTTTATTTACTTTATTTTTTCTTCCTTATTGATACATTTTTACTTTTTTCTGCTTTTGTCATCTTTCCTTTCCTTTAATCCTTCCTTCCCTTCTTTCCTTTCCTTCCTTTTGTACCATTTTATCTTTTTTCTTTCTCTTTTTTCTGTCTTTACTTTGTTTATTCACTCTCTTTATTTTTTCTTTCTTTCTGATACATTTTTTCTTTTTTTCTGCTTTTTTCATCTTTCCTTTCCTTTAATCTTTCCTTCCCTTCTTTCCTTTCCTTCCTTTTATACCATTTTAATTCTCTTTCGTTCTTTTTCTTAACCTTTCCTTTTTTTATTTACTTTCTTTAATTTTTCATCCTTTCTGATACATTTTAACTTTTTTTCTGCTTTTTTTTTCATCTTTCCTTTCCTTTTATCTTTCCTTCCCTTCTTTCCTTTCCTTCCTTTTATACCATTTTAATTCTCTTTCATTCTCTTTCTTCACTTTTCTCACCCGTCTTCTCTCACTTCTCCTCTTCCTGTGTTAACTCGTCTTTTTACCCACACTTTAACCTTGTAGTTTGAATGTTAAATCTTTATTTAAACAGTCCCTCCCTGACAGAACAAAAAAAAAAAGAAAAAAAAGAAAAAAACAGGCTGAACATCAGAAAGCAGCTGAAACAGAGACGTCATGCTAATCACATCTGAACCCTCCACCTCTCATTCCACCGTCCGTCCCTTTGACCGGACGACTTATCTGTTCACTCACGCTGTGTGTGTGTGTGTGTGTGTGTGTGTGTGTGTGTGTGTAAGGATTACGCAGCATCAGAGCCAGATTTGGTCCGTATGCTCCGAGGCAATCACCCCCCGTCTCCCCCCCGCGCTCGCCGTCTCCCCCGCCCCTCCCCCCCCCGACAACCAGCAGCAGCAGCAGCAGATTATGTGTCCTCCGCTGCACAGACCTCACAGGCGGACGCCAAAAACGGGATGATAGTCCAGAAACACACAAACAGAGACGGGGCGAAACTTGAAGAAATGTGCGTCTGAGAGAAATGAAATGTGTGTGTGTGTTTGTGTGTTTTCTGCCTGTCTGCCTCTCCCCATCTGTCTGAGCGAAGTACGACGGAGTGTCATTAGATTCTCTCCGGCTGTGTTTTTGCGCATATCGCTGCTGTTTGTGTGCGTGTGTGTGTGTCTATTAATAAATGCACAGAGGTACATGAGACAGGATGTGGTCGCCATGGTGCAAGGTCCTCCCACGCCTTGTTCTGAAACTGTCTGTGCACGCTTATGTGTGTGTGCGCGTGTGTGGTCAGAGACAACTACTAACGTAAGCCTATTTGAAAAGATTCGTGTTGTCGTGTTTGCTGTCAGGTTTGAGAGGAAATCTTTTCAGATGAAAGTTGTCAAGGTGACGCACACTCACACACACACACACACTCACACACACACACACACACACACATTTTGACCAGCTATGACTGAACACAAGAGAAAAACGCACAGGTGAAAGGGTCGATAAATCCAACTTTTTATCATTTGTGCGCGCGTCTCTTTGTGTGTCCTCACATTCCCAAGCTGAAGGTTGTTTCCAAAGCTGGGCTGTTACCATGGCAACCTCGCATGCCTTCGCCTCAGCAAGTTTGAATGTCAGAAAGCAGCAAAAAAAATAAAATGATAAGAAAAAAAATCTGTGTGATTAACAATGAAGTCCGACCCTGGTTCAGCTTTCGTTTGCGGGTTTGTTTTAACCGTCTTTGAGCCCCAGGCGGGTGGGGTTTGCAACGCTGAGGCAACCGGGTGATATCAGCGTGTATCTGCGGTGTAACCTTGAACATCAGACGAGTCAACAGGTGTGTTTCTGTGTTGTTTAAATGGCTGTAAATGTCTCGTGTGTTCATGCGTCCATGTAAATAAGGTCCCAAAAAACATCCATACAGGTGCAGAACATGGTTCCCATAAAGACACATAAACAAACCTGCATCTACACACACATCCCACCCCAACTTATGACATAAGTTGGAGAAAAATAACAACAACCTGCAGAAAAATGAGTTTTTAATGTAGATATCGATCGACCTGTCTGTGAGGAGTTCTAATAAAGCCAAATCCACTCGTTCTCCTTATTCCCTCACTCTCACCCTCTTCCTTTCTCTCTCCAAAAGTCCTCATTTCATCTTTGCCGTCCTCTTTCACTCTCCTCTATCTTTTCCCGCCCACATCTCTCTCCCATCCTGCCATCTGCTGGAGGAACTGAATCGCTGCAGCAGCTCCTCCTCACAGACATCACAGCTGGTGACATTGAGCGAGCCTCATTTGGCATGCTGAAGGTGTGCGCGCAGGGGAAGGTGCGGCCTCGTGATTACAAAAACACGGCCGTGTTTGGAGGGTCAGGGAGTTCAGTGTCTGAACCGCTAACGTCTGTCGCAATTAGTCCCGGTACCTGAATGTGTGAGTGTCTCATTTGGGTTTCAGTATTTCATGAATAACCAGCGGCTGTTGGAGACATGTTTTCTATCAGTATCTCCTAATTAATCCTGATATGTTTTTGTTGAAACCTGACTGAAAGGCTGAAAGAGGAGGACCCTGACAAATTTATATTTTAATACTGTAAATTATTGTAAACTCATGAGGCTATCCCCCAAAAAAATCTGTTTAAAGCCTCTGAAAGGAACTCTGTTTACAAAGTAAGTTGTGTTTTCTAAAATCATCCTTATCCTGCTAATTTTTGACAGTTAAATTCATCATTTATTGTAAATATTGTATGTTTGAAATGTAAAAAAAAGGCTACTCTGCTGATACCTACCTCCTTACACCGATTTCAGGTGACAAGTTATGTTACCGATGGTCTTGTTTGCTTCTGGAGAGCATAAAAAAGGATAAATATGAATTTCAGTCTGTTTCATTGACGTCAAAAAGGAGCTTTAATGATTTCTACATCAGGAATTGATTAATTAAAGCTACTGTTAGAATATTTACCCAACTATAAAAGAGACTGAAACGAATTTTGATTTATCAGCAATTTATTGGCAATTCTGACATTTAAACATGGACATCCTTTTAATGAGGTTACCCACTGGTTCCAACTTTTAGTGTTATGAAGCCAGAAGTTGGTGGTTGCCATTTTGAAGACAGATATCAAGTTGTATCCACGAGTGTTAAAAAATAACGTAAAAGCAGAAGGAAGTGTAAAAGTCAGCCGGTCTATGAGGCTGTAAAACACAAAAACTTAGACTTAAATATGAATCTCAGTCTGTTTCATTGATGTAAAAAAACTCCTTACAGGAGCTTTAATGATTTCTACATCAGGAATTGATTAATTAAAGCTACTGTAAGAATATTTACCTGGCTATATAAGAGACTGAAATGAAGTTTGATGCGTCTTTATGAGCTACAAGTGGACCATAGGGCTGGGCGATAAATCAAAAATTTTTTTACATTTATTATTTTTTTTATTGAATTTACAGATACCGAAATTTACAACAATAACCGACGTCATTTTGATCATATCGGTATATTCGGTGTCAAAAAAAATGAATAAATCAAAGTTGGTTTTAGATGTGTATAGGTAGGCTATGGTTTCATGTCCCTTTAGGACGGTTCAAAAGTTGTAGCGGCTGAAGTAGACGAAGTTAATGTGGGAGGGAGCGAGCAACTTGTGGAGTAGTTATCGTCCATTTATCGTTATCGAGGTGAATTGATCAATATATCGTGATATTGATTTGAGGCCGTATCGCCCAGCCTTAGTGGACCTTCAAAAATCAGGTTGTAATGCTTTTCACTGTTGCTACAGGGAATCTGTCAGACAAGTATCTTAAGAAACAGCTATTTTCCATTTAAAGCTCCAGTAAGGAGTTTTTTGACATGTATGGAATGGACTGAAATTCATATTGATGCCTTTCCATGATGTACAAAAGCAAACAAGACCATCAAGACCATTTAAAGAAGACTCAACTCGGAGTTAAATCATACACTAAGAAAGGTTAAAATAACATCTATCTGTGTTTAATGTCCTGTTTCGTTGATGACACCAAAATCTTTAACTTATTGTAACAAGAGCGAAAGTTGACTGAAAAATCTCAAAATTCCAAAACGTGAGATCGAAAGTTTTAGAATACAAATCTTTAAATCAGAGCAATAATTTGACAATTATCAAACCTTAAAACTTTGTTTGAACTTTAACTTGTTGAAAGTTTTTCAGTCATAATTTCCTCAATTATACAAACGTTCCCATATGAGTCATTTTGAGACGCTCTTGCGACACTCTTTGTAGGTTTTGGTTTATTTGAACTTCGGTTTATTGAAAAACAAGATAAACCACATTTGTCGGTGAGATAAAAGCCAAAGATGATTATCTCTAAACCTCACCTAAACAGAAAACCCCAAACAGAAAAATGTTGAGTACTGTCTGTATTGATGAGTACAGGCTATCACATTATCTAGCTGCATAAAATAATACTTAAGAATTATTAATAAAAGTGTTTTAAAGCTTTCTGGCAAGTTTTACTCGTGAACATAACTTTGGAAGTAAAAATAAAAATTAAAAGAACATTAAAATGAGAAAAAAGTCAATATGTTACACTTATAAAAGTGGTTGCATTGGGTCACAGAACTTTAACTTAAACGTTTCAAATTGGACAAAATGTTTTTGCAGGAACAGACTTAAATGATGATGCATGGGAAAAGTAATGGTGTGATAACAATGTATTCAACTTTTACATATTAGAAGTATTTCAAAAAGTACAAATTTTTGGAATAATTTGTAAGACAGGACAAGAATTCGCCAGTCAATTCTGTTTATAAGTTGGTAACAATTCAGCTTTTCTCTACTTATTAAAGTGAGACAATGATTTGTAAGTTGATCATTTGTTGGTCACAAAAGAAAATTTGCAGTTGAAAGAGTTCAAACGAGATATTGTTTGAATTTTGTTGCAAGCAAAGCGACAAATTGTCCCGGTTTCGTTTTCCCGATGTCCAAAAAACCTCAAAATTTCAATACAACGAAAAATCGAATGACATGCAGTCCTGCTTCGATGCAGTTTATCACCGCAGGGATAAAAAAATATCTGTTTCAGAAAAAAGTCATTTATCAGAAATCACATATGAAAGTTGAATAAAGTTTGAAAAATCCGTGACAATTCACAATGTTTCGAATCTGGATATATCAAGGAATGTTCATCTTTTTCAATTTCCTTATCTAATTTGGAGATAATTCGATTAAAATTGAATTTGATAACTCAATATTTCAACTGCTAACACGAAATTACGAAATATTCCGAGGCGAATTTTGACGCGCCTGACTTTACACATCAAAAAGATATTGACGTCACAAATAATCGCGCGACAAAAACCGCTCCCGGTGTGAAAGGACCTTATGATTCAAAGAAAATCAGCAATTTTTCAGTGAAACGTTGATAATGAAGCTCTGATTTTGACCTGATTTTACCACAGGTGACTTTTTATGACTTAAAGAGATTCAGGTTTGAAGGCGAAGAGATTTTAAAAATGAAAAAAGACAAAACAGAAACGACTGAAGGGATGAAGAGAGGTAGAAAGATGGTGTCAGTGCATGAGTCCACAGGGAACAGCATGTTTCTGCTCATTAAAGACAGAATGATACGCCGACTGGCAGACAACAAACGCGCACACAAACACGCACACATGTAACACACACATATGCACACGCTCGCGGTAATTTGCCTTGGCAGATGAGACGCTGATCTGACACTGAAAGCGCCGCGATGACAGCATGTAGGCAGCAGACATGAACACACACACATACACATAAACGCAGGAAGACACACACACACTCACACACACACTGGCAGGACAGCTCGTGCAGGTTGGTAAGACACGAGTTTTTTTGTGTTACTGTGACACTCCAAGTTCCCCTAAGCAGAGTGTGATAGTGATGTCATTGTTTGTGTGTGTGTGTGTGTGTGTGTGTGTGTGTGTGCGCTCATTGCCAATCAAACAGGTTTTTCCAGTTCTATTTATAGCCTGAAGGGAATAAGCTTGTTCCTACATTTACACACACACACACACACCACTCCTCTCAGGTTTGCGGTGGGGGAAGGAGCTTATTTGCAAGTGCCGCCTTATCTCCAGGATGAGTGTCTGTCAGGGTTGCCAGGTTTGCTGATAATAAGTAACTTTTGGCTAGTTTTGATTTGAAACGTCATCCGCAAAGTTTGGAAGTCACGACTTTGAATACAATACATGAGATTTCAACATAAATCATTTTTTTATTATGTATTTTTGGTGATAATGAAGCTACACCCATTTTCTGTGTTGACCAAGAGTTAAGTGAGTTGACCAAGATTTTAAGATTCAAAACATCTATTCAGAAATCAATAGGTTATGTCCCAGAGACTGTAGATGTATTTATATATTAGAGAATAAATTTGAGCACACTGGCGAGTTAACAATAGTTAGAAGCAGAAATCGAATGTTGAAACATTTTAAACATTTTTAAGGTATTACATGTGAATGTGAATACAGGTAGAGAAAGGGTAAAAATCAGCAAACAATCAGTATTATTTGGAAATATGTTGGTGTTCATCAAGAAATGTGGTCTTATGTTTGAAATGTTAAGAGGTTTTTATTACTTCCCCCTAAAAGATTTCAGTCTTAGATGTCAGAAAATAAAAAAAAATATTTTCAATTTTTTCAACACAAAAAAAAAATAAAATAAAATTTTGTAGTCTTTTAACTGCATTTTCATAGTTACCTATGAACTTTGATATTTCTGGGTTGTGTTACTTTCAGCTTGTTTAAAATGTTATTTATTTTGGCTTTACCTCTGTGTCTACAACCACACCATAATTAAGAAGGAAATTGTACAGAAATTGACAAATATTTTTCATATTGTAATGCATTGTACCATATCATATCATATGGTTCCGATTCCTCATTTCAATTCCGGTACCTAACGATTTTCTATTCCGATTCTTTGAAAAGGCAGGATGTAAAAAAAAAAAAAAAAAAGGGTTTAAATGAGGGTGCTAACCAGAGTTCTTTTTGGATGAAATTTCTGAACTTCTTTGCGAATTTTAATTATATTAACTTTTTAAGTGTGGCTTCGTCTCATACGCGTCGTCCTCGTTAATGTTCGGCGACTTCTTCGTCATTGGTGTTTAGCGGCATCTTTCTCGTTGGTGTTTGGCGGCTATTTCTTCCATCGATGCTCGAGACTCGATGCCCAACCCTAATCGTACATACCGTATCGTATCGTAAGTCATCCTTCAGTTGAACTGGTCCCCTCCTTGTAAAAAATACTCAGCTGACAGTCAGCCACTCACTTCTTTACACCTCATTGCTTGTTTGTATAGCAAGATCTGGCAACTCCATCCTAACACCTGAGGGGGTGTGGCTACCTGACAAGGTAAGATTGAGAGGGAGGAAGTAGAGTGGTATTGTTTGAGGAGCTGCTGGCTTGTAAGGAGAGCTGCTGCTGAGTTTTAGGTGTGTAGGCAGTGATATATCGAAGGATCTGAAGGTTCGGCTTGAGTGGAAACAGCAAGAAAAAAAGAGGATATTTCATCTTGAAGAAGAGGATGAGCAGAAGTTGACAGAGTAACTTCCTGTCCACCTCCACGTACCTGTGAAAGTTGTAGAGCCGGCGGAGGCAAAGCTTGGATTGTACTAACCTGACCGGGATCATCAGCTGTCAATGCCGTGGTTGTGCCGGCCCAGCGGGTGCTGCATGGCACCCCTGTTGTTCCGCTGTGAGGGAGGGGGACAGGGAGATGATGACCAGCTCAGCCATGAGGACCAGCTGGAGTCCAACAGTCGCTTTGAGAAGTTACAGCAGAGCAGCCTGGTCGAAGAGGTCAGTAGATGACAGTCAGACTTCCAGAACTGTGTTTAATGGTCATGTTTGGTGCACAAGGAGGCCCAGAAGAAGGTTTGTTGTGGTTTTGAGTTGGTAATAAGTCTCAACTCAGTTTTTTAGTGTCAGTGAAGGTAATCGTACTGCGTTTTAAACACCGATTCTTACTGTATTTGTTGCAGCTCCGTCTCACTTTTTTCACCATCGTATCTGTAACAAGTTAATTCCTTCCACCAGAGACATAACTCTGCATAATAAGGCAGTAATCACTTAGAAATTCATACCTCATAAAACGAGAGCAGCACTTTCCCCAAATGGCAGGTGCTTTAGTTTTAACCAAACATCACTCAGTCTGGAGTAAAGACTGGATTGATGGGGACTGTTTTCTTCTTAGTCGCTCATTTATGAGTTTTTAATCGTGTTTTCGGCGATAAAGCACACTGCACAGAGGAGTAAGATAAACAAGCTTTGAGTACAGAGACAACACCTGTTCGCAGGATCCATTCATCGTTACTTTTCCACCTTTAAATTGGATCTTTTATCAAAATGTCATGTGTACCCATTATTGGAAACGTTGAGTGTTTAAGGGCCTGTGTCCACTTACTGGCGAAACCAATGCAAAAATGTGGCCCTCCCAGCACTGCCAGTTAAAATAAATCAATTTTTTTGTCATATCTCATTTCTTCTTCAGTGGCCGATAAAAATCGTGATAGAGCAGAACTTGCATTATCACATACCACAGTTCATCTCAGGCACCCAGATTAAATTTTCAGCTCCCAAGCTTGTACTTATTCCAGAATATGATTCCTTTCTGTAAAATTTCTTAGAAAAAAATTAAAAATTAAGCATAGAAGTCAAATTAAAGTGAATTTAATGATCACAACAGATAAATCATGTATTAAAGATACGGATGCTGCCAGGACAATAATGCATTCAGTGAACACAGGCCCTATATTAATGTAAATACAGTGAGGACGTCCCTTCGCCAGTAATGGACACATTTTTAAGCTATGTAATTTCTTGAAATAAAGTGAATATTGATAAAAATCTGATAAAATTGATTTTACGTTGTCTGTGTCTAAGTTGACGCTGCTAGCACAAAAAAATGAATTTAGTGGACACCGGCCCTATTACAATGGAAAGACAGTCAAGCTTTCACTCTGTCTATAGCTAGGCTAATTTTTGAGTTATAAAATTTCCTGAATTAACACATATAGAGCATAAAAGTCAAGTTAAAATACATTTAATGATCAGAACTTGGGTTCTCTTTGTGTTAGAGTTGTAGATACTGCCAGGACAAAAATGCATTCAGTGGACATCGGCCCTATTTTAATGTAAATACAGTGAGGACATCTCTTTGTCAGTAAATGGGCAATTTTTGATGTATAGAAATTTTTGAATTTAAAAAAATAATTAGCAAAAAGTCAATTTAAAATCATTTAATCATTACAACTTAGGTTCTCTTTGCGCTGGAGTTGTGGATGCTGCCAGGACAAATATAGCATTTAGTGGACACAGGCCCTGGTATAATGTAAGGACAATAAAGACATCTCTTTGTCAGTAATGGAAAATTTTTGAGCTATAAAAATTTTTGAATTTAAACAAATATCAAGCAAAAAATCAAGTTCAAATACATTTAATGATCATAACTTGGGGAAGTTTTGTGTTGGAGTTGCGGATGCTGCCAGGACAAATGTAGCATTTAGTGGACACGGGCCCTAGTATAATGTAAAGACAGTCAAGGCATCTTTTGCAATAACTGGGCTAATTTTTTTTAGCTAAATGATAATACTGCCAGTTGAAAACACATGTAATGGATTAATTCCCAATAAATGTAATTGATATTTTTAGCCTAAAAACCATCTATATCTATCTAATATCTAATAAGATATAGATATCTATCTATATCTAACATCTATATTATGTTTACTCTGAAAATATGTGGTCTCTAGGGTGCTAAGGTTTATAGAAATGTAACACTAGTGCAGCGATTTGTTGACCGTTTTTGAAGTTGAAGCATTAAAGATTAGACAGTCATGCTGGATAGTGTAGGTAGGTGTGTTTTTGTGCACTCTGTTGGGTTTTTAAGCATAGCTGACTCCAAAAGAAAAGGGTTGAATCAGTCAGATTTGTGTGTGTGGGTGCACTCACACAGCTCGGTTTGACTGCATGTGCATTCTGCGGATGGGTAAGTAATGTGTGGTAATTTGCTCTAGTGTGCAGATCCACTTTGCAGCCCTTCAGCGTGTGTGTTTGTGTGCAAATTAGGCCTACAGGGGCTGATTGTTGTGATGTAATTAGTCCTGCTCTAATGAATACACTGATCTGTCTGGCAACATCGCTCAGCAGGGGAGGAGGAAAGAAAAAAACAGGAGAAACGCTGTCAAGGGTGTGGGTGAAGTTTGACCGCAAGCTGGTGTAAAACCCGACCTTTGCATTTTCTCTACGTCTTGTTTAAGAGCGCGTATGTACGCAACACGTGAATGGAAGCGTTGCATTTGAATACATCTTACTCAATAAGTTCAATTCATGGGAGCGTATTACTGGGTACAGAAATAGCCCAGAGGCGGTGTTGTCGGAAGGTCAAACATGTTGTGGTCGCGCTTTCATATGCATACATTTTAGCATTCTGGCTTGAGGCAGTCCGTTCAATATGACCAGTTTTAAGCTTAGTTTTTATTGAATATAAGCTTTATTCCAAAGCTCAGATTGACGGTGTTACAGGTAAAACACTAAAGTGTGGATTTCACTGTGGTCGCTCTCTAAATCTCCCCTCCTTTGAGCCCAGCCCAAGTGTGTCTCAATGGGTTAGCTTTTGTCTACCAGACATTGGTTACGCCTTTCCAAAGGCTTGCAACACATGTAATATAAACATTACTTCTATATACAGCCAAGTCAGATAGTGGAAATAACTTTGATAGTGCCAAGTCCTCAGGAATTTGATAAAGATAGAGTCCTTTGACTTCTAAATATTCTTACTACAAGTGTGATTCTCCCCTTAAGTATTTTATTCCAGTTTTTGAGTTTTTTTGTTTTTTAAGGGAAAATAGAGCGTGAGTGGGATGTCTTCTATCATATGAAATGTGGGTCTTCACTTAAACTTGGTGGGAACGGTTTGTATTCAAACTGTTACTGGCTGTTCAACTTCAAAATATACAACATATACCAGCGTCAGGCCGTCTGAAAGAGTCTGTTGTTTGATGCAGCAGAGGATGGTCTTATCGTAACCCGACCATCGTATGGCACTCTTGACGTTTGCGTACTAACACAGTAGTGTTGTGAATCACTCTGAGGCCTGTTTCGTTCCTCTTTCAGTTTAGTGTAGCTCAGCCGCGAGCCTGGCATGCCGGTCGGGAGTGGAAGAGAGTCTCGTGATTCACTCACAGCGAATGATCATGTATCAGTATGTGATCGAAACGTCTGTGAACGACATGGTGAATGAAACGGAACGACTTCAGGCAGAGGAGGGAGGGGTGTAGCGTTGGTCACGAACTGCCGAGCACCGATTCGTTAAAACAGTGCATTATAGTACCTTTACATTTATACACGTGTATAAACTTTCCTGCAAGAAGGATTTAATTTCAGCCGATTTAAAGAAACACGCTATTTGGTATCTTTAAAAGTAGCAGAATCCCAGCGACAGTTGCGATGTTTATTTATTTTCAATCTCTCCATTTTTCCGCGGTATAAAAGAACAACGACTCAATTCAGTACAGTCAAAAGAACGGTTCTTCCCATCAGTATAACACAGCCAGTATGTTTGGCTGTTGGTATAAAAACAGGCAACAGTGTTAAAAATGTCGAAAAGAGAAAAAAGATATGATAAAGTTTACATTTATGATCGTTCGTCTCGTTTTTGTTGCTCACACCAGTTTGAACCTGTTCTTGGAAAGTTAGCTTTGGCTTTTGTTTGTTGCACCATCCTTGGACTCGGCCTCAGGTACGTCCTTGACCTGTATCGGTAGTTGTTTCACCATCGGCAGCCTCTGATTAGCCGAGTGACTGACGGCTCATGTTGCTCTGGAAACTCGGGATAAGACTGATTGGCAGAGCAGGATGTTACACCTCACCGTTATCTCTGACATGTCAGGTGGTTCAGTCAAAAGAGACCTTTACTCCTTGTTCGTGTGCTTACTTCTTCCTCTTTAAGGCGCTTGCTGTTCTTTTGTTTTCTTTCCAGCGTCCTTGTGTTTTATTCCCTGCTTCGTTTTTACCTTTTTGTATTCTGTTCTCTCTCTCGCTGCTGTCACGGCTCTTGTTCTTTTTCTTCCCCTGGCTAACGATCCATACCGTCGGACAATCTATCATGATTTCCACCATCATCCTTTCTTTTTTTCCATTTTTTTTCCCCTCTAACAATGTGACAGTACAAGATTTGCCTCTCTCTCAGGGCTTAAAAGCACATTTATTCCAAAGAAACATGCACTGCGAGAGTACAAGAAGCCGTATGTGCCATTACGAAGAGTGATATCTCATGAAAACACATGCCCACAAACACACACAGATGCAGTTGAGAAATGAGATAGCTATAGAGCGATGAATTAGATTTATAACTGGGTCGGAGATGCTTCTGCCGGGTATTACTCCCTCTGTTACAGGCAGCCAAGGACATTACTTCAAAGACAGACGAGCAGGGAAAGTAAGCAAGCACACAAAAGAAAGAGAAGAAAGGCAGGAAGATAGATGAGGAACATTGAGATGAAAACAGATGAGAAGGGGGTCGGATACGAAAATGCGCCTTAAAAAAAATCTGAAAAAGTGAAAGTCAATGTCATTTTCCTCAAGTTGGTTTTTATTCGCTGTCTTTCTTTGTGCGGCGTCGTTTATTTTGCAAAGCTAAAGTTCTTGACAAACTAGCCAACTACTATAGCTAGTGATGAGCTAGCTAAGTTAAGTTATGTGAACAGTAAATGCTACCTAGCTAGATAAAACATGATAAAGTAAACGCTTGTGACCGTACAAGCACAGTATATTACTTATGACAGGTATGCTAGCTTGAGACTGTTCTAGCTAGCAACTAGCCACCAAGTGGGCTGGGTATAAATTCGTATATTTTCATTAATGCAAATTTTAAAGTTAGGAATATCAAAATTTTGGGAAATAGAAAATATTTTGTATAATTTAGCATTAGCCTAGTAAAGTACTTATTCTTTCTAATTTTCGATATTGTCACCTTATTTAAATAATGTCCCAAGCCATTTTTTGACGAAAATTAGGCTATGTTCATACTGCAGGTTATGATGCACAATTCAGATTTTTTGTTAAATCCGATCTTTTTGTGCCGTCGTTCACATTACAACAAATACAGCATCTAATGTGAACAGAATCCGTCCGTGAAGTGACCCGCATGCGCACAAATCACAAATTGCTTTCCGCGCCTGTTTGTGTTGTCGTACAATGGTGACGTTTGTCGCATATTGATGACGTATAGGTCGGATGAACGCGCCCTGAGCGTCCACACTGCAGTCACATCGGATACATATCCGATTTATATCCACAAACAAAAGAGGCCTGGGTCGGATTTGAAAAAAATCTGAATTGCACTGTTCACAAATCGGAATTGACCTGCAGTGTGAACATAGCCTAAGTCTTTGGCCTAAATCATCCCGCCGAAAATTCTTTTTCGTCAAAAAATGACTCAGGCCATTATTTTAATAGGGTGAGGATATGCAAGTTAGTGAAGAAGCTAAAAGTTGTAAAAAATATGGTAACAACAAAACCGGTGTGTTAACAGACTAGATTGTTAGCACAAAACCTACGCAGTACAACCAGTTGCTAGCAGCTAGCGTTGAAACAGTGGTAGCGTAGTTGTATATTTCATACTCATCATTTTTAAACCTTAGTTATAGTACGATGAAGACGTTTTGTTTGAGTAATTTAATGTAATTATTCCTGCAGTTAAAGCTGTAAGACTTAATTCACCTTGTCGCTACATAATCTGCTAAACACTGCAACATTTAAGATGCTAGCAACAGTTATTAAGCTAACTGTCAATTAGCAGAGCATTTGGAAAGTAGTGCTGACTGGAATATGTGAAAATTATAAATTGAATCACTTGCTACGTCGAGAAATAAGAAACCAGGTCAAAGGCACGCGACTGACACATTTACCATCACACAGTCCTTCCTCGCCCTGCTGTCGGCTTCACTCAGTTTCAATCAGCTTGTAGAGTGTTAGTACTTGTCATGCAGGTGGCAGACCTGTTGTCAGTCTTTATTTTCCCACAGGGACCCTTTCTGCTCAGCCACCTGCCCGGGGTCATCGTTGTTGAGATAGTGTTAGGAGGACACCGTGTCTGTGTCAACGCCTCGCCTGTCCTTTTATTACAGTGCATGTTCCCGACTGTGTCCTGATTTGGAGATAACTTAAACAATATCCTCTCTCCTCTTATCCGCTCTTAGCGCTTCTGTGTTATATTACTTTACTGATGATGTGGCCTTCAACATTAAGAGCCCTCTATATTTAAAAATAAAAAACAAAAGGCTTCAAACCACAAACTAATCGATCGTTTCAAATGTAAGATTACTGAGGATTAATTTGCTTAAAGATGGAAGTCGTATGTTCATTTGTACAAAGTTTATATCATAGTTTTCTCTGTTTTGAGTATTTGAACACCTCTGTCATGTGCTCACACATTCAGTTTACCTTTGCTCACAGTTTGTAGTGACAGACAGGTTGAGCAAGATGTTTCGTCACTAACGATAGAGAGTGATGATGATTTTATGACCTGGTTTACATCTTGGCTGACGGCAGGACGTTTGCATTCGTCCTTCAGGCTCTTTAAATCATCGAGATTAGTCATTTGCTGGCGTATCTGATACTTATTTTTTTACTCACAAGATTTTACCACACGCCTGACTCAGAATTCAGCAATGTTATCGCTATTAGTTAATCTGTTTTACCGGCAACATTTACGGTTGACGTCTTTCTTCTTTCTTAAAGCCACATGGTTGTTTCTTGAGGTGATTTTTCAATTTAAGTCTGAGATCTTCTCTTTTTTAACAAACAAACAAGGCAAACAGTTATTTCAGCCACTGGCTAAACCTTGTGGGCAATGAACTATGACTGTAAAATAAACAAGCAGCAGCTCAGCATACAGCCCCTTTAGATGTTCTGTTGCTGCCAAACAGAGTTAAGAGAATCGTGGATTTTTAATGTGAAACTACCGTGTTTAATGAGTTTGCCATTTTATCACTTGCTTTAAGTAATTACAAATGAGCGATCAGCAGCTCAGCTCCCTCCCAAATGAATCTTAACATAAATCAAGAGGCACCTCAGCTCACAGACCCTCAGATACTGTGTTGTTGTTTGACCTTGTTCAGACAATCCTTTTTTGACATCAGATTGCTGTTGTTTGTTTTGACCAAATTCAACACAGTGTCTGAACATCTGTTAACAAGCTAGCAGCAGCTCAGCTCACAGCCCTCATTCATGTAGAGTTCAGACAGTATTAGGTTCTTAACATAAAAACTGCTGTTGTCAGAGTTTTTGTCATCTTTATCTCTGGATCTAAGCAAATACAATCAGGCTAGTAGCAGCTCAGCTCTCTTCAAATAAACCCTAGCCATGAGCAGTTCAGCTCGCAGCCCCTCTGACATTTTTGCTGCCCTGTAGAGATTGGACAATCATTTATGGCATGAATTTCCTGTTGTTGCTTTTACTAAATTCATCACAGTGTTTGAGTTACTTTAAATGAGCCAGCAGCAGCTCAGCTTGCAGCCCCTTCTTCTGAAAACAGCTAAAAGCTTCCAACACTTGTAAATGTTTAATCAAGAGGAAACATTTCCAGAGGCCACCTTGACTTTCCTCCTTCTGATCGTAAATCAGCGGCGTAAAAGTTTGTGTTTACTGGAAGGCGCTTCAGAAAACTGGCACACTTCACGGCTCATTTTTACGCAGCTCAGCTTGCAGCCTCTTCTTCTGAAAACAGCTAAAAGCCTCCAAGACTTGTAAATGTTTAACATCAAAATTACTGTATCCAGTGTTTTTTTTCTACTTTTTTTGAGCTGCTATAAAAGAGCAGCTCAGCTCGCAGTCCCCTCTGACTTGATTTTGCCCCTTAAAGATGCAGAAACACTCGTTCTTTTTTTTATCATCTTTTTTGGAGGGTTGCTTTGTCATCAGTACGATTCAGGGCAAAAGTCTAATGAACCATCAATCACCAGTTTGTTAAGGGAACAGTGTGAATTACTGTTGCTGTATTGTTGTTCTCTGTACAGTGCCAAAGGGAAAAACAAGAATGCGGAACCTGGTTGGAAAACTTGGGTCCACTTTAGGTCTCTTGAGTTGGCTTTCAGGACTCACAACTTCATTTTAGAAAATAGAAACAGAACTAGTTTTATTACTTCTGTTAAAGTTCATGTTGAGATTGTGACTTTGTAAATAAACAGCCTGTCGACCTCATTCCTGTATGAAGAAGGTTATCAGACTTCCCTGAAACACTTCAAGTGAATCTTCTCCAGCATCATAAACTGTACGCATGAAAACCCCGGAGACAGCTGATGCGTTTGACGTGAAGGTATGCGGGCACGCTGATGAAGGCGCGTGTTTATCTCTATGGAAATGTGACAAGCCTGTCAGTGGATTAATGTGAAAAGCTGCCGTGACAGCTCGTGCAGGAATGTTGCCGCTGCAGGAGGAATGAGCGTGCAGGTGTGAGATGAGCCATCGGCGAACGTGATCGGGGTTTCAAGGGTTGCGTGCGTCTTGTACCCTCCTGTTTCGAGAAATGAGGATCTCCATGGTGACTGTTGATGGCCGATCTGAAATTGATTACCCATAGTGCGGTTTTTCCTCTCAGGGCATGTTCTCATAAAGCGAGAGAGAGAACTAACGATTGCATGATAAGGAGACACAGAGGCGAGGGTAAAGTGAAACAAAAAGCCACCATAATGGAATCGGTGGGGAGTTTCTTCTCCATGGATCCATTGTGTTAAATCAAATCAAGCATTCCTGCCACGTCTAATAATAATTTTCATGCAGACACGGGTGGCTGCACCTCCTACCTGCTTTTACAATCGCAGCAGCACAGGACATTACCCGCGGTGCTTTTACTGCATTAATTCTCCCATCCACACTGCATACTGATACCCAGCCGAACGGCGCTTCCTCATTTTTCTCTTCGACAGATAAGTGAGGCTGCTATTTTTGGAAACATTAGAGGAAACGTTTCCAGAGGCCACCTTGACTTTCCTCCATCTGATCGTAAATCAGCGGCGTAAAAAGTTTGAGTTTACTGGAAGGTGCTTCAGAAAACTGGCACACTTCTCGGCTCGTTTTTACGCAGATTTTTGCCGTTTTGTCTCGCCGTAAAAAGACCAAAAGGTCCATCTGTATTACAGTCGCCAAAGTGATGTCCTTCTGTTTATGTGTGACCTCCAACAAGACGAACACTCAGCCTTGTTTTTCAGATGCACCAACACTAACTGACTCCCTCTCTGTCTCTCTGCAGAAAAGTGTGAAGGAGGGAATCCTTTTAAAGCAAACCAGCTCCTTCCAGAGATGGAAGAGGAGGTACTTCAAACTCAGAGGACGGACCCTCTACTATGCCAAAGACTGCAAGGTACGACACGTGAAACCGCCCGAAGTAGCTTGAATTATCAAAGTGCGCCGGGAGTTTGATTGAAGTCATAATCTTGATATCATCTGCATAGAGTTGATCAGCGGTGGAAAACTCAAAGGTTCCTGATTCGTTGGGCAGTTAATGTTCAAATCGATTTAGTTTTCCAACGTTTGGGGCGTTTTAAAGAAGAAAAGGTGTAACTATAAACTAATGTTTGTCTCCTTCGACTTTCAGTCTCTAATCTTCGATGAAGTGGACCTATCAGATGCAAGTGTGGCCGAGACCAGCACCAAGAACATCAACAACAGCTTCACGGTGAGAAGTTTGACATGAATCAGAAACAGACATTTGTCATAGATTTCAGTTTTCATTGGCGAGTTTAACTCGTCATCCGTGACTAAAGTACCCCAACACTAGGGTTGGGCATCGAGTCTCGAGCATCGATGGTGACTGGGACTAACATTCTCATTGTCCCAGAATCGTTCAAATTTTAACATTTCGATTTCAAGTTTCTTCCGCTAACCAGCCAGAATCAGAGAAGTGAAAGAATAAATGAGTTCTGTTTTCCGCGAACATTGAGGCGGCAAACAAATTGTACTGTGTACGGTGGGTCAACTCAAATATTAGGGCCCGACCAAAATGGATTTTTTGGGGCTGATGCCGATACCGATTATTAGGGGGGAAAAAAATCTGATTACTGATTAATCTGCCGATTTTTAAAAATGATAAAAAATATATATATACTGTAGAAATACTGTAGGCTATTGCTCGTCACACCGACAGGAAGGACGACTGATCAAACTCGGACCAGAAAAGCGTTTTAAACTACCGCCTCCAGTGCCGGTCGGTGCCTCCGCGTCGTAACTTACGTTACACATTTCCGATCCGGTCTCATTGTCATGAGGCCGCTGCGCCATCTACAGGATAAGTCAGGGAACTTTTCAAATGGTGGAACATTCTGAAGTGAAACTGAATCTTATTCTAAGCATTTTATTTCTGAGATTGTCGGCAAAAAGCAGCGACTTTTGGCCGATTATCGACTAATCTCGAACGGGCTAAAATTGGCCGATTTAATCGGCTCACCCTATTGAATATCCAACTAACCTTAGCCCTCGTACTTTTCACAGACAAACGACCCGACAACAAAAATTTATATCTATATACTGGTTGAAAATAGCCCTGTGAGTAATTTATGTAAAGTTCCTAAAAAGATAATGTCATTTAAAAATTCATGGAAATTTCATCCAAAAAGACGAACTCCGGTTAGCACCCAATAGAGAATCTTTAGGAACCGGAATCGAAACGAGGAATCAGAATCAGAATTGGAACCGGAATCATTCAAAATCAAATGATGCCCAACCCTACCCAACACTGATTCGGTGGATCACCTGAATAGTTTGTTCAGATATTCATGATCCCAAGAAGCTAAAACTTGACGACTTTGACGATTGCCCTGTCTTCTTACATTCTGGCGGTGTCCTTGTTTCTCCTCCTACAGGTGATCACTCCATTTCGCAAACTGATGCTGTGTGCCGAGAGCAGGAAGGAAATGGAGGACTGGATCGGCGCTCTTAAATCCGTCCAAAAATGGGAAACCTACGAGGTTCGTCTCCCTCTCGGTCTGACATTATTCATCCCGCCGGCTGACACCCGGGGATCAGAAATGTGCCAAATTGATGAACCTTTGAAGCTCGTTTGGAGCATGTAATCTATTTTAATGAGAACAGGCTTTGCTTCTCAATCCTTTATTTTTACGTCCATCTGTTCTTTTGTGAATACGTGCCCACCTTTTCTTCTTTTCTCCTGGAGAAAATCCTCTCCTCTTCCTCCTCCTCCTCCTCCTCTTCCTTTTCTCTATTTCCAGTCCTTTATCCTCTTGCTCCTCTCTTATCTGCGTTTCATTTTGAGCTCTTTGCCAGCAGATTGATCTCCCTCATAAAATCAGAGTCCCTGCTTTAATAGGCTATAAAGACGGCTGAAGACTAGAAGCTGTTACGCGGGCTGAAATTAAATTCTCACAGGTTTTTCTGCCTTTTATGCACCTCGTGTTTTAAACTAGTGCAGTTAGGCTTTTATTTATGTCCGCCTCCAAACCCGGTTAGTCTTGGATTACATGTTGCTGGTGCTCCGGTGAGCCACAGGTGTGGGAAACGCTCGTTCACTTCAGCTCTTCCTCGAAAACCTGCATCACCTTCTTGAGTGAAACAGCTTCTCCTCACTCCAGGCTCTCCGTTCACACAAAAACCGCTTTAATGGTTTCTGTTTTGACCTTTGTGTTTCTCCACCCCCTCCCACGCCGAGTCTTGTTTTGCATGCTGCACTGATGTCGTTCCATATTCCTCACCTCCAGGCCAGCCAGTTCAACATGGAGCATTTCTCCGGGATGCACAACTGGTACGCCTGCTCGCACGCCAGACCGACCTTCTGCAACGTCTGCAGGGAGGCTCTGCCAGGGGTCACCTCCCACGGCCTCTCCTGCGAAGGTACACACTCACACACGTGCACAAAATCGTCCGTTTTTAAGACGCTCTTTTCACTTTTTGTGGTTTCAGTTTCTTATTTGACTGTTTTTCTCACTTTCCGATGTGATATTTTAACATTTAAGTGCTCTGCATGATCACAAACCTCTGACTCAGACTTATGTTCCCTGTTCGCCAGCGCTCTCAGCATTGTAAAGGAATTCAGAGCATGTCACAGAGAGTAGAGATGTAAGTTTATAGCTCCTTATCGCAGGGTGAGGCAGGTTACATCAGACGCCTGACACACTTATAGGAGACTGAGTAAAACTATTTCCTAACTTCGCCCTCAAGGTAAATAACTCAGAAAGACGCATGAAGAGTTTTTGCCTCAACAGCTTAATTCAGTCTTGGAGTAACAGAAGAGTTAAACGATATTTTCTCTTCTCTTTGCAGTCTGTAAGTTCAAGGCTCATAAGCGCTGCGCAGTCCGCTCCACCAACAACTGCAAATGGACCACGCTGGCCTCCATAGGAAATGACATCATCGAGGACGAGGAAGGGGTGAGAGATTAGATAAGAGTTTGTTTTCATGTGATAAGAGGTGAATTTATCTGGTCGGCTGGTTACCTCATTGAGTTCAGATCATCTATCAGGACTTTTGTTCAAGAGTTCGGGTCTTTGATTAAACCTGGTTCAGCTTCACTGTAATGAGTCTTAACTGGACAGTGATCGATGTGAAATCTGCTGCATTGATCAATAATTTACACTCTTATTTTAGCTTGAATCAGCTCCTCTAGTTTTCTAATATTCCATCTTTGCTTTGTGGTAACGCTCTCCTAATATTCAATCGTCTTTGTAAGAGAAAGCGAAACATTTACTCGTGGTCGTGATCTTCAAATAAAAGCCTCCAAAAATATTAAAAGAGGTTTCATCTTTGAGTGAAAAATTTTGTAACCTTGCAGAAAATCAGAAAAAAAAACAAATATACTGCTTGAAAGCTTTTATCTAAGTGTCCTTAAAACCAAAAAAAAACAAAAACAATAATGTTGTAAAATGATAAAAGTGAGAATGAAAAAAATGTAGTTGATTCTTTTGATGATAAAAACAAAACGCCAAAGATGGTGAAAGTAACAAAAAACATGAAGATAGCGCTTAATTGTCAAAGATAATGCTGAAAATGATGCTTTAATGGTGCTGAGATGGTTTTAAAAAATGCTCAAATAAATTTAGAAACTAATGTTGAAAAGGATAAAGTTTATGTTGAAAATGATGATATAATGGTAAATATGATAAAGATGCTTAAATGCTAAAGGAATGCTTAATAAAAGTGAGGCTTAAATAGTGATTAAAATGATAAAAGTTATACATAAAGTAATGATCAAGATGTTGGGATAATGTTTAAAATAATGTTTAAGATAATGAAGTTCAACTTAAAGACATTTAGATAATGCTTGCAATGATAGTTTAGATTACAACGGTTGTACTTAAAGTAGTGCTTAAGTTATTAAGATAATGTTTAAATAATGGTCAATATAATGAAGTTAGACTTAAAATAACACTAAAGACATTTAGATAATGCTTGATGGTTTAGATCATGAAGATTATACTTAAAGTAGTGCTTAAATTATAAAGATTATGTTTAAGTAATGGTGAAGATGATGAAGTTAAACTTAAAATAATGCCTTAGATATTAAGATAATGCTTAAAATGATGATCACAATTAAGAGGAAGCTAATGAATGTTACTTAACTTAAGCTTTAACTTAAGATGGTTATGCTTAAAATGATATTTAAGATTATGAGGATAATGCCTTAAATGATTCTTAAGATAATAAGGCTATTGCTAAAAAAGGTTAAAGAGAATGAAGGTCAAACTTGATAAAAGATAATGAAGGTTATGCTTGAAAAAAATTTGCATAAAAAGTGGAGGTAATGCTTAAAATGCTGCTTAAGAAAATGAAAGTTATGCCCAGAAGATAATGAAGATAATGCTTGAAATAGAATTTAAGCTATAAATGCTTTAGACAATTAGAATATTGTTTAAAATAATGTTTAGAAAAATGAGGATAATGATTTATATTTGGATGATAATGTTGAAAACGTTGAATATTATGCTGAAAATGCTGAAAAAGATCCAGTTGATGTCGATAAATGAAGATGCTGAATTTGTCAGGAATCCCGACTAAAACAAAGAAGTGAAAGTTGTCAGATTGTAGCACTTTGCCTCTGTGTTTGCATAGATCATAGCATTCAAATAAACCCCACTCAACTCATTCAAATTTACTGAAAGGCTTCGATGCAAATGAGTCTGACCTTCAGGCGGTTTACACCTCGTACTCATTGCACATTTCCATTTCCCTCCCAGGTGTTCATGCCGCACCAGTGGCTGGAGGGCAACCTGCCGGTCAGTGCCAAATGTGTGGTGTGTGACAAGAACTGCGGGAGCGTACGGCGCCTGCAGGACTGGCGCTGCCTCTGGTGCAAGGCCATCGTAAGTGGCTGTTGACTGTCCTGTCAGATCAGGGTTTCGTATTTATTCATCACATCACTGCCAGTTTTGAGATGCTTTCACTTTTAGTCCAAAACTGTAAGAAAGAGATAAAAAACATACGACATAAAACAATCAGACACTTTTATATGAACAGTGTGAGGAGTGCCCCTAAAACTTTTTAATCTTGACTCGCTCTCTTGCACTTTCTAAGACTGGAGGTTTTTAAAAGTTCCCCGGGAGTCATCAGAGTGATAGGACGGCACTAAAGGTGGGAGCCGAGATCTCCAGGGGGAATAGGGGGGAGGATGAGGAGGGAGGCAGGTTTAAATGAGAAATTTCACAGGGTAGATGAATTTCTGTCCGCTGAGTCTGACCTAATTTCTTGGCTGCCTACAGCAAGACGACTATTAATAATTTTCCTGCGCTGGAGCATTAACGCCTCTTAGATTGGCCTGTTGAGTCTGAGTTAAAATTAATCCTGGAGGAAAAACTTCTGCAAATATGAAACTGAACTTGTGAAAGTTTTATTGAATTTACCTGTGATGCATTTTAGAAAGTGTTAGTTTTTACAGCTGGAAGTTTAAATCAGAAAAAGAAACTAGTTTAATTAGATTTTTAGAGGTCTATTTTGGTGCCTTTCAGCCTTTTTCTTTCTTTTTTAACTTATAACTTTAAAGTTTTACTGCTCTTTTTAGTTTTCATTGGCAATTTCAGATATGTGTAATGTACAAACTTTGAGAAATTTTTTGCAAGTTTAAAAAAGTAAACAGAAAAACTTTCAAATTATGTGTATCCTTCTCAGAATTAATGAACTGCTGTTCAGAAAAAGTGCACCTGACCAAACAAGACTTGATACGATTATGTTGAAACAAAAGATTTCAAACTTTTTCATATCAAATATAAAAGTTGAATAGTTTTAAAAAAATTTAAGTGAGTTTCAGCTTTTTGTTTTAGATTTTCAGGGGATCACTTTAACTGCTCTCATGAGTATTTTTTTCTTTTTTCAGCTAAAAGCCCCACAAATCCGTTACCGTATTCCGCTTTATAAGGCGTTCCAAAATGTAAACAAACAATTTCCTGCCGTTTCGTATCATTTAAAGTAAAGTACAGCTAAATTTAGTGGACCTCCCCTGAAACTAGCATCGAGAAACAAGCAGCAACACATACGCAAATAAAGTAAGATAAGTAAAGAAAAAGAGTTGAATCGTTTATGTTGAGATGAAATCGCTGAAAAAAAATCGTGATTCAAGCGAGAAAGTCAGGTGTAGAAAAATTCTCACGCTCAGTGTTGTAGATGTTGCAGTTCTTGTCTCGCAGCGCTAAAGGCTTTATTGCTTTTGCGTGTTAAATGAAACTTATCTCCTTCACACACACTGATCCACAGACACACACAGAAGTGAATCACAGCCACAGTTGTAAAGGTTCAGAACTGACATTTGGTGGGTTTCAGAGGGATGTAATGACCTTTCTGCTTCCACTGAAATATAGAATTGCTATGGAGACTGACTCTGAGTGTGTATGTGTACGTGTGTGTGTTGTGTTTGTGTGTGTGTGTGTTTCACAGGTTCACAACAGCTGCAAAGAACAAATGGGAAAGGTGTGTCCCCTGGGTCACTGCCGAGTGTCCATCATTCCTCCCACTGCACTTAACAGCATCGACTCAGATGGTGAGACACCCTTTGCTCCTGCACACACACACACACACACACACACACACACACACACACAGAGGCCTTTTGTTTGAAGAATTACATCATCAGAGGATCAATGTAAAAAAATGTTCCCCTTCATCTCGAACATTCTAATCCTCTTTGATGTTGATGATGTGACTTTGGAATGGGACTTTTCCTCGAAAAAACTTAACCTACTACAGAGTATTAGGGCCAAATACAGCAAAAAAAATGAAGACTACTTCATTTTAGAGAATAAAGTCATAATAAAAAATAACTTACGAGAATAAAGTCATAATAAAATTATTACTTACGGAATAGAACTTTTCCTCGTAAAAACCTCTGTAACCCTACTACGTAGTATTAGGGCCACATTATCAAAGAAAAAATTAAGACTTTGTAATAATCAACAAAAAAAAGAGCCGTAATAAAAATCATTTCTTACGCAAATAAAGTTGTTATAAATTTGTTATGAGAATAAAAATGGAATAAATAATAACTTAGGAGAATAAAGTTGTAATAAAATCATTACTTACGAGAATAAAATTGTAACAAAATTATTTCTTATAAGAAAAAAGTCATATTATAATCATTACTTATGAGAATAAAGTCGTAATAATATCATTACTTATGAGAATTAAGTCATAACAAAGTCATTACTTCGGAGAATAAGGTTGTAATAAAATATTTACTTTTGCAAATAAACTCATAATAAAATAATTACTTTAGATTTTAGTAATAAAAAAGTCATTTTTTTTTTTCTTAACGTGGCCCTAATACTCCATCATAGTACACCTGTCTTAATTTTTTGCGTTAAAAAAAACTTGAGCATGTTGAAATCCTGTCCTTCAGGTTTTTGGAAAGCCACCTCAGCGTCCTGCTCCAGTCCCCTCCTGGTCCTCTGCAACTCCAAAAGTGGAGACAACCAGGGAGTCAAGTTCCTCCGCAAGTTCAAGCAGCTTCTCAACCCGGCTCAGGTTTTCGACCTGATGAACGGAGGACCTGAACTCGGGTACTTTGTTTACAGACTCATTATTACGACATTATTATCAGTAAATGTTTTGACAAAGCAGAAAAGTTAAAGTCCTGAACAGACTGTGTTTATTTACTGGGAAACGTTGGATTCGTAGGAGTTTCCACGACTCATTTGATGGAATCACTGATGCTGCAGTTTTTCTTCATCTTCATCGTAACATTTGGTGCTCATCTTCTCCTCTGTTTTCTCCTCCTCCTCCCCCTCAGCTTGCGCCTTTTCCAGAAGTTTGTGACGTTTCGTATCCTGGTGTGCGGCGGGGACGGCAGTGTGGGCTGGGTGCTCTCAGAGCTGGATAAACTCAACCTCCATAAACAGGTGAGCTGGAGGACGAAGAAGAAGAGGAGGAAGAGGAGGAGGAGGATTTAACAGTGAATTATTGCTTATTTTCAAAACTTTGAAATAGAAAAACTGCCTCTTAGAAACGACAGAGGAGCAGAACTTTGAACTTCTTCAGGTTAGAAATCTTTTAGCTGCAGTTCCATCCAGATTTGGCAGGAACGTTTCTGGAGGATGTTTGCCAAATCTATTTTGATCGCTGAAACGTCCGATTAAATTAGCACATAACTGAGACTCCAGGGATTGGTTATAAATAAGAGTTTTACCTTCTTGTCTCACCCCTCCTGATGCGTGAGAAAACCAATGATTGGTGCCAGCTGAGGTGAAGCAGAAACTCTTTGATTGGTTGAAGTCGATGGTTTTACACTTTTGGCCTTTAGAAAAATGCTATTGACAGTTGGCAAATAACAGAAGCAGATAAAGACGAAGCTGCTAAATGGAAATTACCTCTGATACACTTCTTATTCTAACCAATAGATCAATTTCACGGCTTTAATCCAAATTAATTAAAATTAGCATGGTTCTAATTTCAATCGAGTGTTTAATCTGGAGAGGTAAAACTGTTGCAAATCATTTCTGGTAAATTCAGGTCATGCTAGAGTGTACGGTTCAAACAGCTTCAGAATCAGCAGATGTGATGTTTCCAACATTTATAATATCATCCCCATTTTACAGGCAAATAAGAAGAAATCTTTTTTTATTTTCAAGGTGTTCAAGTTTATATTCAGATTTGTTCAGAAATATGATTCATCTCTAACTGCGTTCAATAGAAAACTGGATGTTATCAGTTCGTTCGCAGATGATGTACTGGTATATTTTTGCATTTTCTGTCCCTGAAAAGTGTTTTTTTTTCACTCTGTCTGCAGTGCCAGCTGGGTGTGCTGCCTCTGGGTACAGGTAACGATCTGGCTCGTGTCCTCGGCTGGGGAGGCCTCTGTGATGATGACGCTCAGCTGCTGCAGATCCTCGAAAAACTGGAGAGAGCCACCACCAAAATGCTGGACCGGTAAGGAGCTGAGAATCGATAAAGGAAGGAAGATTTCTAGTGTGACCGTTAATCACAGGAACCGCTGGATGCCTTTGGAATTACGTTATCTTCCGTGTTATTGCCTAGAGTGACAAGAGAGAGATATGTCCACTTTAATGTTCTGTGTTTTTATGAAAGTTAAGATGTAAATGGAGGCAAATTATTACAATTTTTAAAATTTTTTTGTAACTGTCAATTGATTCAGTGTTAAAGTGTGAACACAGAATTAGCCTTTTTGGATGATAAGGTTGATGAAAGAGTTGTGTCAAGTCTTTGCGGAGCTAAGCTAACTTCCTGCTTGAATTTTTCACGAAATTAGCTAACGTAAATATCCTTCAAAATTCCAAATTTAAAATTTCGGCTTTCTAAGTATCAAATGGGCAAGATTCAACTTCGATTGGAGTAAGAGCTGTTGGTGGATAGATTTTGTAATCTTTCACATAGCCGAGCTAGCTTTTTTCACCCATTTCTTGCCTATGCTAAGCTAAGCAGCTACCGCATTAGTAACGTCTTCAGCCAACATACAGGATTTTTTTATGTAACTTTTTATAACTCTTAAGGTCCTTACACACCGGGAACGACGCAAATATACGACGTAAAATCACAAAATCAAAATGCGAAACTTTTGAAAATTCGACTATGATAAGAAAAAAAAAAGCCGCAATATCGCAGGATGGGAAAACGTCGCTGATGTGAACGCTTGTATTGACAGGATACGGGTTCGAAAAAAAATATTGACATCCGAAATAATCGCTCCCGGTGTGTAAGGACCTTTTTTGTCTAAGAATTTTGCAGTTTCCCCCCATTTTTAAATTTTTGCTAAGCTATGCTAACCAGCTTCGGGCTTTTGGCTATTTATCTTTTCCTGACTCTGCTGTTTCTGGTCGTTTATTTATCAATTAATAACCTTGTGAATGTTATCACTCTGTTTACTTGCTGTTGCAGATTTTCAAAGTCTGTCTTTGAATAATTTCTGTCCTTAGTTTGATCTTCTGACAGTTTTTTTTTGTAGATATCCTGTTCTTATCAGCCGATCAATCACAGAGTAGAAAAAGGAAACCATTACTATTGATTCCCTGCTTCCTCCTGTCTTGATCTGATAACCTGATTTGTAAAAAAAGTTCATTTCCTGATGTTGTGCGCGTGTCTGTGCGTCATTAGATGGAGTGTGATGACTTACGAGGTGCCCACCAGCGCTAAACGCACGCCGATCGTGAAAGAAGACGACAGCCTCGATTCTCCTCTGCAGGTAAATGACTCTGCGGGAACTTTGAGAGAAAACACCTGCTTGTCGGCAGATGGTTTCCATAAATTAGCCCCACGAAGCCAGACCTTGTGTGCCGGAGAAATGGTTCTGAAAACATGCTCGGAGGAGGATTACGCCTGGCAGCTGGAAGCCAAAACAATCAGACTCACGCCAGAGGGGAACGTGAAGACTTTGATTGAAATCTTAGAAAGCTCTTAACTCATAGATGGAGGTTAAAGGGCATCCTTTATTTCGCTCTGTGACCATATTCTCCTCGTGTGTTTTTCTCAAAGGTGTGGTCGTATTTTTCCAGACTTAAAGCCACACATTCGTCATTTCTCTGTTAGTTTAAATGCTAATACAACCAAACTGAAGGGATACTTTATGAGTGACAGTGGCTTAAAACTATGACGGCTACTCCTGTTGAGTGTTTTAGGAAGTTTTTGTGGAAAGCTCTCTGTAAATATGTACATTTAGGTGTGGTGTTGACACAAAGTCTTAAGAAGCAAACTCGTGATCCTCAGGTGATATTTTGAGATGCCCGATGTTTGAAGAGGAATCACCTGAAGGTTTTATGTTATTGTAGTTTTCTAAAGTTTGTAAAGTTATAATGTTGGACGTCAGAATTATTCATGAGCAGAGTCTCAGATTACAAGATGAATGTGTGTTGAAGTGATCCCCAAATAGGACGACAGGGTGCTCCGGATGGTTTCTCCTAAAAGTCACACGGGAATTCAGTGAGATCAGGATGAGATTTGATCAAACTGTGACATCACCAGACAGTAGAAGGGAAAATTTGTCAGTGTGTTTAAAGAAATGTAACTTTGTTGAAAGAGGATTCCGGAATGTTGGGTTTTGGAATGCCGGGGAGGGCCTAAAAGGCATGGTTGACAATCTGAGAAGCAGTTGGAAAAAACAGAGCCGTTGAGACAGATTTGAAAAAAGCGTCCCACCCCCCCCTCACAAACCTCTCCCCACTGTGCTCCCCGATAACTCCCCTATGAACCTGTCTCGCCCTCCCCACGACACACCCCCTCTGGCAAAGCAAGAAGCCGGCCGGCAGAAGATCCTACGCTAGCTTCTAATAGGATTCACCATGTCGGATTGCTTGTGACAGTAAACGCCAGCTCTGCTAGCGAGCGTCGTCTGCAGCTGCCTGGACAGCTACCTTGTCGACATTGCAGAGACTAATAAGAGTAACGTGTGTCTCAACGTCTGTCTCAACGTCTGTTTTCAGGCAGAGCTTTTCCTCACCGATGTTTACTCGAGTTAGATTCCTCGCTTAGTCACAATTCATCCTCGTCTCCGCCCTTTCTTCTGTCGGCTTGCGTTTTCTTCCCACTTTTGGCGGTGGGGCAAGCAGAAGTGGGTTTTTTTTGCGTCCTTCTCCATTGGAACTACAGGAGAGGGGTGTGTCGAATACAGCGAGGTGATTGAATTGAGAGGCGGAGCATGAGATTGACCAATGGGAGCTGTCCGGGACGGATGGCTCCTATTGGTCAATGTGTTAGCAGCCCTGCATCTGCTGGAGTGAACATATTTTTTCTGTTTTTTTCTCTTCACTTTGTGGTGATCGCACTATCGGACCATGATCGCCATAGAAACGAGGTTCATAATAAATTACCAATCTCTCCAATCGTCAACCATGCCTTTAAAGGGACAGTGGCTCAGAACAGCTGTGATTGTTTTGCACACATCCTCTATTCTTGTAGAAATCATCACTGTACTCGTAGCTGAGGTCATGAGTGCGATGTGATGGTCATGTTACGATGAAAGCGCCCTCTGCTGGTTCAAACAGCCATGAAAGTGATTTTTCTTTCGTGAGGATTTGCTGCTGCAGCCTTTGACTTTCCAACTCTGTCTCATCTCCCCTCTCAGGTCCACATCACTCAGTATGCAGACTCCGTGGCCTCCCATCTCGCCAAGATCCTGGACTCGGACAAGCACAGTGATGTCATTTCTTCCGCCAAGTACGTCTCACGAGCGCCTTCAGAAAAAAAAAAAACAATCAAAGTTTTTAAGTCGGGGGGGAAAGATGGCGGGAGAGGAAAGAGGAGAGGGAGAGGAGTGAGAGTCCAGTCAATGCTTATTGATCCTCTTCCTTTGGTTTCATCCCTGAGGACGCCAACTATCTCACACACAGACACACACACACACACACACACACACACACACACACACACACACACACACTCAGCAGAAAGGACATTAAGTGGTGTTCGCCTGTAAGTGAAGCAGACGGATAGATCAGTATTTAGGGCTTGTCCTCACTGCGTTACTCCATTAGTCGTCTCCCTTTGGGGAGAGTGAGACGGCCATTACCGAGCACTTTTACCCTCCGCCTGTGTGTGTGTGTGAGTGTGTGTGAGTGCGTGTGAGTGTGTGTTTCACGCTGCTGCTGATTGTAACAGATGCCCTGGGGTATTTTGTGGAACACTGCATGAACTTTAGGACACATTTAAAGCCCACCCTCCTGGAAACACGACACAGGGAGTGGGCTGTATCAGGTTTTCAAGAGGCCGGCTATGACGACTCTTTATCAGTATTTAAAATAATGTTAAAATCCCTTACAGTGTCTTTAAAAGTGGACTTTGATTAATCCGTTTGAGTGAAATGAGCGTCCTCACATGATCTAATGGTCACAGTTCAATAATGAGGATGTAAGCATTTCAAAATAAAAGCAGGACGATGTTGTGAGTGTGCAGAATCCTCCCTGCTGAGTCAGACAGCAGCAGAGTAAACAGAGTGTGTGTGTGGAGAACAGGTGTAGGCGAATTCACCTGCTCATAGTAGCGTTCGTCACGTTAACCCTCACCCCTTCATCCTCCCCTCTCCGTCAGGTTCCTGTGTGGGACGGTGAACGATTTCGTGGCGGAGGTGGGGAAGGCGTACGAGAGAGCCACGGAGAACAAGGAGGAGGCCGACGCCATGGCCAAGAAGGTAAAGGCTTGTGTTTAGCGCGCGTGTGTGTGTGTGTGTGTGTGTGATGTGTGTTTATTATATAAGTGCTTGTGTAACAGTCAGAAGTGGGCCGTGTAGGTGTGTGTGTGTGTGTGTGTGTGTTTGGAGGTTTCAGAGTCATCACTCCCTCTGCTACTTCACATTTTTCAGCTGAAACAATGTCAAAGAGGCACTTCTGCTGCAATGTTTCCACTTTTTATCCTCCAATTCTTCAGCGTTTCAGAGGAACATTCACTCAGAGCGAAACCGAACCCTTTTTTTTTTCAGCACATATTTTTACTGAGACTGAAACGGATTTGTTCGTTAGTTAATCGGCAGGAAATTAAACCTCATTCTAACAGCAAAATATCAAAGTTGATTTAGTTTTTCTGGTTTCCTGCATTGCAAAAATTTTGTGTTTTTGTCTTTTTTGTTGTCAGAAATGTCTCATAAGTAGGACCTGATCGATATGGATTTTATGGGGCTGATACCCATTATTAGGGGGGAAAAAAATCTGATTACCAATTAATTGGCCAATTTTTAAAATTTTTTTATGAAGTTTAATTTTTTTTAATTGAAGTAATATATCTACATATTTACTTTTTTTTTAACAAATGGCCTTTCAAACACTTCTTCACTCTGCTGTGCTGTGAGGTAGTTAGTGGATTCTCATGAGGTCGCTGCGCCATCTACAGGATAAGTCGGGGAACTTTTCAAATGCGGAACATTTTTGAAGTGGAACCGAATCTTATTCTCCACATTTTATCTCTGAAAATATTGGGGAAAATCTGCGAGTTTTGTCCAACTACAGATTAGTCTCAAACGAGCTAAAATTGGCAGATTCAGTCGAGTAGCAGCTGCCAGTAAGCTAGCTGTAGCAGCCCTCTGAAAGATGGTCGTTTTTAATTTTTAGTGCATTTGTTGTGTTAAGAAATTCAACATTTACATATACTTTGAATATGAAGGTGTAAAGAAAGGCTACAATCGTCTGAAATCAAAGCATGACCCAATAAATTTATCTTTTCCACGAATAAATCAAGAATCATCTTAATTGCTAAGATATTTATGTGTATTTGAACATATTGTGCTTAGATTTGTTCAATTATACATGTTTTTTCAACTTAAATATCTACTCTGTATTTTTCAGTTTGATAAAATACAGAAATCCAGAAATCTAATTTCTGCATAGTCAAGTAATGCCACGTCGACTTTCCAGTTTATATCAGTATTAAAAGTTAAAGTTATATTTTTTCGTAGTATTTCATGTAGTGAACCTTAATTTGAGACACAGTTTATACACGGCTGGTGCAACAGGCCAAAAGACAGCAGACTGTCAAAATAAAAGCCCCAAAAACAATGGTTTTATGAGGCAGTTTCTGTTTAAGGTTTGATTAAACAGATGAAAGAAAGTGAGTTGTGTTTATCAGCAAATCTCATAAATTCACATGTTGTTCAGTATCAGTTTCATAACCAGCTGAAAACTCCCTACAGGAGCTTTAAAAAGGTTGTTGAAGATGTTTCCTAAAGGAGTATTTTTGTTTTTTTCTCAGCAGGCAGAGGCTCCCTGAGCTTTGACCAAACCTGTACTTACAGTCAGAGCTTTTTAAAACTCCGTCAGCTTATCTGTATTTTTCCACAGACAGTAATGTGAAGCTGAAGTGGCGCCTGGAGGGAAATTCTTTCGATTGCTTTAACAATAAATAAAAGCTCTCTGTGCTCTGTAAAGGTATTGATTTCATGCTGGTAACTGCAGCTACATATATGCGCATTAAGAAATCTGGGTCGTCACTCTGGTTTGCCATTTCTCCACCTTACACTCATTTTTATATAACTCTATCTCTTCTGATGTCTCTCCCCAGTGTGCTCTGCTGAATGAGAAACTCGACTCCCTCGTCAAGGCCTTAAGTGAGGAAGCAGAAGCTCAGGTAGAAGTACGCACACTCACCAGTTATTCTTCCCCCACAGAAAAGACACAGAGAGAGTGTGAAAAACGCATTTCAGCTCACGTCAAAATACAGTTTCATGAAGTATCAATAATGATTATAATAATATTTATAATTTATTATTATAATTATTAATTATAAAATTAATAATGCTAATGTTTAAACAATATTGATAATGATGATGATGAAAATTAATAAAATAAAAATAATGGTAATAGTAATAATAAAGTAAAAATAATAATACTAATAACAACAGCAACAACAATAATAATAGTAATAAAAATAAGGATAATACAACTTTAATACTAATTATAGTAATGATAAAAATAATAATATAATAATAAATGATTAATAATGATGAAGTTAATAATAATGATAAAAATTAATAATAATAAAAAATAATAATACTAATGATAATGAGTGATTAAACAATATTATATTGTATATATAAGTTAAAATAATTTTGACAACACTAAAGATGATGATGATAATAATTATGATCAAACAATGATAATGATATTTTACTGAACATGATAATAAAATTTGTAATAATAATAATAACAAAATAATGGTGATGATGATGAAAATTAATTTAAAAATAATAACGGTAATAGTGATAATAAAATAAAAACAATAATGCTACTAACAACAACAACAACTTTAATAATAATAAAAATAAATAATAAAAATACAACTTAAATAATAATATTAGTAATTATAATAATATAAAACGATTAATAATGACAATGTTAATAATAATGATTAAAAAATGATAATAATCAAGATAATAATCATCAAAAATTGATTATAATGATGATAATGATTAAAAAAACAATATTAATATTGAATTAAAAATTATTTTGATTACAGTAATGATGATGATGAGGATGATGATAATAATTATAATCAAACAATGATAATGAAATTTAATCATAATTATGATAATAAAAATAGTAATAATAACAATGAATTAATGATGATGTTAAAAATGTTAAAATAATGCAAATAATCTTACAACATAAGAGATTCATGAATTACAAAAATAGATAACAAGATAAACTTATGACATAAATGAGAAAGAAATAAAAGTTAAATAAAAATGTTTACACAGAAATAAACCAACATAAAATTAGAGGAAAATACTAAAAACACACGGAAAAGTGAAAGAAATTCAAAATAACCCACAGATTAAAAAAAGTTGAAAACACACAGGCTGACTGGCACATTAAACTAATTAAAAAGGAGCTGCTCTGGCCGGGTTATGATTTCCCTCCCCTCTCCGCCTCTCTTTAGTCCGGCCTCCTGCTGTGGTTGTTGTTGTTCACAGAGTTTCACATTAAAACCGGTGAATTATAAGACGGACTCTGAAGTTACAAAGTCAGCTTTAAGCTCTCCAAGGCTGAAGGCAGAATAACACATTATATTTCTGAGTTACCAAAGCGTTGTTTGCTCTGTGAGGATAAAAGTCATCCGAGTTTCTAAATCCCCCCTGACTCAACCTGATCCTCCACGGAGCTAACAGAGAAAACTGTGTTTTTCAAACATCTTAACTTTCCCTGCAGGAGCTCAAACACAAAACAGCTCACAGCTTTTTGTTTTCCTGTTTCCTTTGACTCAAATTGATCTCTGTGCCTCATAACACCTGCAGGAATCTGCTCTCTGCTCCACAAAAGGCAAAAAGCTGCGAATTTTAGCTTTGTGTGAAATATCTATTTATATTTAAACTTAAAAAAACGGATAAAACCTCCTTTTCCTCTTTTCTGCACATCAATGAAAATGAACCACTGCCTCCTGCTGCCAGAACAAGAGATGTTCCTCCACTTAGAGTCCTCACAGAGCAGTAAAAGTAAACATTTCTGAATGAGGGGACATTTTCTGCTTTGGTGATAATGTTTAAAGACTGCAGGGTTCCCTCTGCTCTTAAAATCAAATCAAACTCCGAGGGGAGCTAAAACGGAGAGAGAGCGCTCCTAACAAGAGGAGAACAGCCGTAATTTTACTGGTTATTTTTCCCTCTTTCGCTCACATCAGGTGGTGCCAGCGGGGTCAGTGCGCAGCCAGGAGAGTGGCGGCTCCAGCCCCGGGGAAAGTGGCGGCGAATCGGGTTCAGAGGGTAAAACGTACCGGTCCAAGGAGCAGCTGATGCTCAGGGCGAACAGCCTGAAGAAAGCCCTGCGGCAGATTATCGAACAGGCTGAAAAAGGTACGAGAAAGACCCCTCCGATCACGATCTTATTGTATTCACCGCAGTCCTTTCTGTCCTCCGTCTCTTGGTGCTTATTTGTCTCTTTTGTCATCTTTTCAGTGGTGGACGAGCAGAACCGGCACACGCAGGTCCAGAGGATGTCGTCCTCGTCCTCCATCAAAAGAGAAAACAGCGAGGAGCTGAAGGATGCTGAGCCGCGTAAGTGTCTCTTTAGTTTGACCCGAAAGTGCAGGGACGTCTTCGAAAAGGCTTTTTGTACATTGAAGCAAAAAAACATCAGAATTTTAGGAACTCAAAACTACACAGCTGTCTAACTTTGACGACTTCTCTCCTGCTTCGTAAAGGAAATTATTCAGAAGTCTTTTTTGTCGCTTGATTCAGCAGTTGTGTGTTTTTTCAGGTCAAGGAAGTCTAAGTCCCACCTCTCCCATCGTCCTCGAGAAACCAGAGAGCCTCAACACCGTCACCTTCAGCGAGGACTCTGTGTAAGCTCATCTGAGTCTCACAGCTGAATTTTCATCTTCTATTAATAATCTAGATTGTCTTAATTAACATTTACATCCTCTCTGTTCTCTGCAGACAATGTTCAGAAAAGTGCGTCATGAACAACTACTTTGGTATCGGCCTCGACGCCAAGATTTCCCTCGAGTTCAACAACAAGAGAGACGAGCACCCCAAAAAATGCAGGTAAGAACTCGCCCACCTGGACCAGACCAAGTCGAGTCTCAAGTCTTTGCTCTCAAGTCTCAAGTCAAGTCCAAGTCCACAAACTACCTTCTTTTGAGTGTATCCTCAGGGTTTGTTTTCTTTTTGATAATAATATCAAAGAGACAGTTATTTTGTTTTATTTGAACAAATGTTATACATGTAAAGAAGGGAATCATCTGCATAGAAAAGAAAGCAGTTAATAATTCTGAAAACCTTTCAAGGTTCACAACTCCCTGCAACTTACACTTCATCAACAGAGCAGTAAAGAAGGATAGCCATACACAAACATACATATTTGTAAATATACAATACATAAATCAAGGTCAGGCACATAAAGAAGTGTATCATCTGCAAATGAAGGAAGTTGATCAACTTAATTAAACTCTATTAAAGATTGACACAACTAGTAATGCCTGATTTTAAAAGAGATTTATAGTTGTGGATATTCAGACAATAAATGTGAAAAAATAACCTCTGAATTAGGAGTAAAAAGTCAACAACGCTCAATTTCAAACAAATTTTATAGACTTTTTTTAATGTCTTTTTACTTTCAGTTAAACGTGCAAAAAATTTAGATGAGGACATTGATTAAAATGCAGTTTAAATAAAGGTCAAACAAATACAGAAGATCATCTGCATATAAAGAAAGTCAACCACTAAATCAGTCATTGTTCAAAAGATCAAGACTGCTAGTAACTGGAGATCATAAAGGAGAGTTTTTAGGTGCGACAACAAATGTCTAAAATTTACCTTAAATCTGTAAAAGTTTCACACCCACATATTTTAAGTTTTTATGTGTGGAAAAAAAACTGGAAATATTCTAAAATATAAAACTTGAAGTTGGCCTTGTAAAGTTGTGGGGAGAATTTTTATTTCACTTTAGAATTTACTGTTTGATTATTAGAAACAAATTTTTCCCTCGACATGCTTAAAATTTAAGTCCTGACAAATCAAGGATTTTATCGTCTGCATATAAAGAAAGTCCGGTCAAAACTTCTTCCAGAGTTTGAGACTTTGAGTCGATCCTGATCTTACTGAGGTCCACCAACTTTAATCATTTCTCCGTTTTGCTGTCTCCTGCAGTAGTCGCACCAAAAACATGATGTGGTACGGCGTCCTGGGGACTAAAGAGCTGGTCCAGAAGACGTACAAGAACCTGGAGCAGCGAGTTCAGTTGGAGGTCAGACACACGCCCACAGACACAGATCCACGCTCACTCCTCTTTAAAAACCAGAAACCTTCTGAGAGCCAAAATGCTGTGAGCTGTTTCCCTCCTACATCCTGAGTTTTTCTGCTTTTTAAATCCTCTCTCTCTCTCTCTCTCTCTCTCTCTCTCTTTCTCTCTCTCTCCAGTGTGACGGCGTTCCCATGTCTCTGCCGAGTCTGCAGGGCTTGGCTGTGCTCAACATCCCCAGCTATGCAGGCGGTATCAACTTCTGGGGAGGCACTAAGGAGGATAATGTGAGTGTCGTCAGTTCAGTCACAGGTTTTTTCTTTGATGTAAAACCTGCTCAGACTAATTAAACAGCAGCGCCGCTTATTTAGAGCGGACTGATCCCCACAGTGAAAGTTAATCGTTTTCTCTGATGTTCAGAACTTTGGCGCTCCGTCTTTCGACGATAAGAAGCTGGAGGTGGTGGCGGTGTTCGGCAGCATGCAGATGGCCATGTCCAGGGTCATTAACCTGCAGCACCATCGCATCGCACAGGTAGAACACATCCTTTAACTTTAGCTCCACAGCTACAGGTTTAAAGGAATATTCCAACGTAAAATTAAGTTAGGTTTCTCAAGTTATACGAACTTTAGTAACGACCGCACGATAGCAATACACAGCGGTGGAAGGAGCCATAAACAAACCTCAACCAAAACACCACTCTATAGCCACAAATAATGATCAGAACAGCACCTAACTTCATCAACAGGACATGTAGGGTCACAGACATAGTACTAGACACCAAACATCTTTTTAACTTTGACTGATTTCTCACCTACTCTTCTGATTTCTTTAACAAAGAGACTAAACGAACTGGGGGCGACAGAGCCTTCTCCATTGTTGCCCCCTACCTCTCGAATTCACTCCCCAAACCCATCCGAGACTGTTCTGACCCCCACACTTTTAAATCACTCTTAATAACACACCTTTTAAATTGGCTTTTAACCTTTTATGAACTGTTCTTTTATTTTATTTTCATATTGTCTTTAACCTTTTACATCATTGGTTTTATTTCTCAAAATTTTCTGTAGTTTAAATTGTGTTTTTTCATTTTATTTTCTTCTTTTTCTTTGTAAGGCGTCTTTGAGCACCTGTAAAAGCGCATTATGAATAAAATTTATAACAACAATAATAATAATAATAATAATAATGATACTAATTATTATTATCATTATTATTGTTATAAACACAAGTCACCTCCTCTCCTCCAGCAGCCGCTTGTTTGTAGCGAGACCTCAGGCCAGTCCATTACGGACTACAGCGGGGTGTCACAGCTCAAGGAAGAACATTTATGACCATTACTTAATCATTTCCTTTAAGTAATAATCACCATATTAATCATTTTTCACTGCAGACGCGGTAGTTCTTCTGCCTTAGTGTCTCGGTCTGATTGTATTTCCATGAAGAAACTATCATAAATGTTCTTCCTTGAGCTGCGAAACTCCGCTGTAGTCCATAATGGACTGGCCTGAAGTCTCATTACAAACAAGCGGCTGCTGGAAGAGAGTAGGTGAATTGTATTTTGTTTCTTTTCCAAAGAAATCAGGCAAAGTTAAAAAGATGTTTGGTGGCTAGTACCATGGCTACTATGGTTTGACCCTAAATTAATTTTACGCCGGAATATCCCTTTAAATTCCACTCACATGTTAAACCCTTTAGATCCAACTCTGTGCCACATTGTCAACAGGAAGCGATAACTTCTTAAACTTGATGAATTCCTGTTGTGAGTTTTAAAAGATTGTTTAGAAATCTGGATAATAAGATGTAATCAAACTAAAGGAGCTGATGGTGTTTGTTGGACTTTAAAAGGTCCAGGTTTTACAGAATCTGAGGAGATGTCAAAAACCAGAGAACAGACGAGGTCAAGCAAAAATAACCGGCGAAAGAAAAAAACAAAAAGCCGACCGCGCACAGAGGGGAAAAGAACGAGGAGTCTCATCTGACAGCTGCTGTTTTCTGCTCTGTTGCGTCTCAGTGTCGACAGGTGAAGATCACCATCCTCGGGGAGGAGGGCGTTCCTGTGCAGGTGGACGGAGAGGCCTGGATCCAGCCGCCCGGCATCGTCAAGATCGTCCACAAGAACCGCGCGCAGATGCTCACCAGAGACAGAGTAAATGTTTAAACATTCAAATTAAACTTTCACACACAGCTTTGATAGAAACCTGAACATTTGGATTCAAGAATCCTCCCTGACGTTCAGTTTCCTGCTCAGAGTCCGTCCTCAGCCCCCCGTCTTAGCCACCTGCCCTCGTTGTTGACTCTTTCTATTTCAGGATTTCTTAAATCAAATTCAGAGCCGCTGTGTTTGTTCTCTCTTTACGCTGCTCAAACCTCTGAGAGCTCTCCTCAGACCAGCACTTTGGGCCGTTTGTTTCCATGGTTTCCATCCGTGGAGTCTCTTTGTCCTCCTGAAAGTGGCTTTTATTCAATCAAACCGTGAAGCATCAGGTTTAGGCGAAATCGTTAGATTTGAATGCGGTTAAAACCGTCCAGACGTGAAGGGTTAGAAAAAAAGAGGATCATGTATTTTCTTTTTTTTCCTGCCAGGCGTTCGAGAGCACGCTGAAGTCATGGGAGGACAAGAGGAAGATCGACAGCTACCGCGCCTCCAGACCCCGACTCAACTCCCAGCAGTCCATGGAGTACCTGACGGAGGAGGAGTGCGCTCAGGTCCAGCAGCTGGGACTGGTGGCCGACACTCTCATCAATAAGTAAGAAGCACTTAGTGTTTAATGTTTCAGTACCTCTGATTCTGGATTCAGGCTGCTGCTCCACTTTTATGAGGCCAGGCACAGAGTGTGGGAGTTACTTTTTACACAGCTGTGGAGTCGTGAAAATATCCGAGGCAGGTTGTTCGTGCCCTCTTCTCTTTCTGGTTTCAGCCTTCATTAGAGGAACATATTTACTGTTTTCTTTATATTTGGGGGAAAAAAACAGACAGAAGAAACTTTCTGAAACAAAATAAATAAAAGACGTGTCCTTCAAAGAGCTGCCAGGTTTCGTCGTCTTTTAGCATCGGCGTAATCCGGAGGTACGACCACATCAGAATCAGAATCAGAAATACTTTAATAATTCCCAAGGGAGATAGTAACAGTAATCTAATGCAAATACAATAAAAGAAAAAATAGAGATAATATAGAAGTATTTACACTATAAACAACACAAGTAGTGACATCATTTGCGTATAAAACAGTAAACAGAGTCCAGGTAAAGACGAGTGACTGAGGGTGTCAGAGTCTCTGAGGGAGTAGGTCGGTAGGTTTTATTGTTCCCGTGAGGAAATTCTTTTGCAGTAACTTACAGACCTGATGTCAGGTGTATGGAATTACCTGGAAGACAAATCCAGGGATCGCTCCGCCATCCGTGTAACTCATGATATGAAAGTATGCTAAGGTTTTGTGAGGACTTTAAAACAACTCGAGGTTTTTCAAAGTGAGAAACTTTCACTGACGAGCTCGATAATAAAAGACCTCAGACCTCAGTCCATTACGGACTACAGCGGGGTTTCGCAGCTCAAGGAAGAACATTTATGATAATTTCTTCATGGAGATGCAATCAGACCGAGACACAAAGACAGAAGAACTACCACGTCTGCAGTGCAAAATGATTAATATGGTGATTATTACTTCAAGGTAAAGATGAAGAAATGATCAAAAATGTTCTTCCTTGAGCTGCGAAACCCCGCTGTAGTCCGTAATGGACTGGCCCGTGGTCTCTCTACGAAGAAGCGGCTGCTGGAAGTATTGTTCAAGTATACCCTGATACCAGGTGTTTGGATATACCTGGAAAACAAATCCAGGGATCACTCCGCCATCCGTGTGACTCATGATATGATAGTTTGTCGAGGTTTTGTGTGACTTTAAAACATCTTGAGGTTTTTCAAAGTGGGAAAACTTTTCACTGAAAAGCTCGATAATCAAAGTTTGTTTTATGGAGTAAGAAGTCGAGGAGGACGGCTTTTTAGTTTTTCTTATAAAAGTGTTTCATGTGCCAGAAAATGAGTCGGACATGACTCATTTGTTTTGTTCTGTCGGGACGTCATCCTGTATTTGTTCAGAGTTTGAGCAGAAAACGAAGAGAAATGAAGCCTTTGGTGTCGATTCGAAGGTTTACCTAACTGCGTCTTTCTTACTCTGCGCTCTTGTTGAAATGTTTGAGTCCTATTAGCTCGTCTGAATTATGATTACAGCTTTTCTGAGTCTCTGATTCCTCCCTCCTCCACTTCCTCCTCCTCCTCTTCCTCCTCCACAGGATCCGAGAGGCAGCCAAGACCCACAAGCTGGTGGAGCAGGAGCTGGCTCACGCCGTCAACGCCACCGCCCTGGTGCTCTCCGAGGCCAAACTGTCCAGCCCCGAGGTGAGACTGCGGGGGAGTAAAGGGGGGACAGACGGACACACATATGGTCGTTTGATTTAAGGAAACGTTTTCACTTTAATTACATCGATGTTTATACTTTAAATTCACATAAAGATAAAAAAACAGGCGTGATTATCAGACTGAGACCAGCTGAGTTTAAACCTCACAGTTTGGACTCAAGTCTGGACTTTAAGGTTTCACACTCAAACAAATCTTTCTAAAAAGAACAAAAAGGTTTTTGACAAATTATCCTGAAAGTTTGAGTTATAGGAAAATCTGATCTCAAAGTTTAAAGGGATATTGCGGCGTAAAATTAATTTAGGGTCAAACACACCGTAACACTGATAAAGGGTCACAGTCTTAGTACTAGCCACCAAACATCATTTTAACTTTGCCTGATTTCTTTAGCAAAGAGACTAAACACAACTCACTTACTCTCTTCCAGCAGCCGCTTGTTTGTAGCGTGACCTCAGGCCAGTCCATTACGGATCACAGCGGGGTGACACAGCTCAAGGAAGAACATTTCTGATAATTTCTTCATGGAAATACAATCAGGCCGAGACGCTAAGACAGAAGAACTACCGCGTCTGCAGTGTAAAATGATTAATATGGTGATTATTACTTCAAGGAAATGATAAAGAAATGATCATAAATGTTCTTCCTTGAGCTGCGAAACCCCACTGTAGTCCGTAATGGACTGGCCCGAGTTCTCTCGGCTGGGACCTTATATGTACTGTTGATGAAGTTAGGTGCTGTTCTGAGCATTATTTGTGGCTATAGAGTGGTGTTTTTGTTGAGGTTTGTTTATGTCTCCTCAGACCGCTGTGTATTACTATCCTGCGGTCGTTACTAAAGTTGGTATAACTAGAGAAGCAAGCAGTCGGCAACATTCATCTTTCAAGGGGGTGTCTAACTCGGTGTTACGGTGTGTTTGAGCCTAAATTAACTTTACAACGGAATATCCCTTTGAGACCAGACCTCGAGAAGTTGTTACATTATTGTAACCTCTGAAAAAAAGAAACAGTTATGGCTTGTAAATGACTGTTTTTAGATCTTTATTTGTTGTAGGTTCAATAGTTACTCATGATTTAACACATTTGTAATTGTGTGTTTAAGTTTTCCTGATTTCGGATTAAAAAAGAGTTTTAAGTCTACATTAACAGTCCAAAACTGTTCTCCCCAGTGTCTTGATTTGGGGGTCAAATGAGTGCGATGAAACGGTCCGGATTTACAGATTTAGGGTCTGATGAACACCTGAGTGACCTGAAACCATCATGTTTGGGCCACATGTAGATGCAGTTTGAGGTGGTTTTCAAAAACTCCTGTTTTTAATAAAAAGATCTGTTTTGCGTCTAAGATAATGCACAGCTCTGATGGTTTATTTGATGGATGGACACTCTTCATCTTCAACATGACTGAAATGATTTCTCATAAATCTGAAACCTCCATGATTTTGTCTTTTCAGTGTCTGAGCCGCAGCACGGCGGTTGAAATCGTCAACAGCAGTAAAGTCCTGCAGGCTGAGACCAAGATGCTGCTGGATGGAAAACTACTGGTACGGTCCTTCACTTTCACCCTCGTCCTCTCTCTCTCTCTCTCTCTGTTGTCTTTGTCCCCTCCTCTGCTCTCTCTCTTTTGAAGCTTCAACGTCTCAAATTTCAGTTTTGTTGCCGTCCAGGTTCATCCTCTGTTTGCTTTACGTTTGTTTACCTTGACTCACTAAAGAGTCCAGCTACAGAGCTCACAAACTCGTCTTCCTGCTCCGCTTTGCTTAATGTTTACATCCCCGTTTAGACGAATTAGGCGAAACTTTCTCTGATTGTATCTGCAGGATTTCACAGACACCCTGTGATGAAGTCCAGGTGGTGATTTCTCTTCTCTTGTTGTTCCTGAAACGAGCGAGATAAGACTAAACGGAGCAGACAGAGAAGAATGAGCCACAAACAGGATTTATTCACACGATATGCTAATCACCTTCAGTTTGTTTGCCGAACAGGTGAACAGATGTTTCGCTTTGACAAATCTGTGAATTTGCATAACCTTCACGAGGAATCAGAACGTACACAAACCTCAGATGGTGGAGGAGCGGAGCAGATGTTTCAGGTTGACAAAGGGAGGATGTACATCTTCATTAAAGCTTCATTTACAGAAGCTGCAGTCCTCCTTCTGTCTGAAACTCTCCGAGCGAATGAAAGAAAACAGAGTCAGGGTCGATAGAAAGTCTAAAAACCTCGAGTGAGACCTTTTCTTCATCCTCTACAGTCGGAGTGTCCAGAGGAAGAGGAGCTGCGGTCGACTCTGAACAGCCTCAGCGCTGAGCTCCACAAACTGGACGACATCCACTGGATCTGCCCGCTGATGCAGTGCTCTGAAGAGGTACGAGGAGGGAAATGTAGTTTTTGGTTTATGAGTCTGACAGGGAACTTGTTTTGTCGTTCAAATTTGTGCTTCTGCTTTTCTTGTCAAGTGTATTTATAGCAGAATTGGAAACAAAAGGTAGGTAGGTAGAATTTAACAAAATAGAAAAAGTACAGAGTGAAAAACTAAAAAAAGTCAGTGAAAGGATGAATCAATCAACCAGACCTTTCTGAAACTTTTTTACCTTTTCACCCGACCTTCACCTGTACTCAACAAGACAAAATGGCCGTCTCCAGTTACCTTCCTGTCGAACTTCTAGTCATCAGTCTAATATCACTTTTAGAGAACCGGAAATATGGAATAATCTGGATGCACCTCTAAAATCAATATCATCCTTTAACTCCTTTAAAATATCATTAAAATCTCACCTGATCATTATCGGTTATCATGTTTCTTTCCTTTTTTATGAATACTTATATTGTCTCTATCACTGTTTGATGATCAGTCTGTGTTCTATTTATGGCAATTTGTATCTGTTTGACCTTTCCCTAATCATCGTATATTTATAACCTGTCTATGTCCGAGTAAAAAATAAATACAAATAAATACAAATACAAAAAAAGCGTTAAAATAAGGATAAAAGCAGATAAATTAGATCAAAACAATAATTAATAAAAGCCTTAAGAGAGATAAAAGCAACAATGAACAAAATGATTTTATTTAAAAGATCAAAGTTGTTAAAAAAAGATGAAAGTGATTAAAAGAGATAAAAGTATTTAAATAGATAAAAGTGATTGAAGAAAATAAAAATATTTATAAAAGTGATTAAAAGAGATCAAAGTAATTTAAAAAAGATCAAGGCAGAATCAAATAAAATTCTTAAAGAAGTTCAAAGAAACTGATTATTGTGGAAATAAAGTAAACAAAAGACTTAATAAAAAAAATTCAGGATCACACTGAAGAAAAAGCTGTTTAAAAAAAAAAAAAAATTCTCTGAGGAAATTCCTACTTGTGTCAGTTTTTGCGCCCCCCTGTGGACAAAGTTGTCCCTTTTCAAGTATTCATCCTTTTTATGTTTCTGACAATAAAAATCTAGTTCTGCTTTTTCTGGATTTTTGATTTGGAAAATTTCAATCATTAAAAAAAAATTAGGTGAAAATGTTTTCCTTGCTGTGAAACTTTTGACTCCTGCCGCCTCCATATGACATTTACAGATATCAAATTAACACCAGAGATTGTCAGCCTTGTTGTTGTTCGTCTTGTATGGTTTGATGGAGGTTGATTTTTGTTTATTTCAGTCTGTTTTATCACTTAGTGTAGCTTTAAAAAAAGGACAAATATTCTACCTCACTGAGGAACTTTTACTGAATTTTGTCTCTTCTTGAAGCTTCATTTTTGTTAGCAAATGTGTAAATGGAAACACAGAAGCAACAACAGTCTGGTTTGGAGATCTGGTCCAGGTCTGATCGGTGCTTCTGTCTCTCGTTTAGGACTCAGTCAGGAGCAGCAGTAAGAGCAGCAGCAGCAGCAGCAGCATGAAGCTGAAGATCATTCCTAAAGTGAAGAAGGAGAGAGAGAAGCTCCACAAGCAGAAGTCCAACAGCTCTCTCTCAGGTAAGAAGGTGTCTCAGCTTTCAGTGTTTGACTCTATAATCGAAAACCACGAGCCCTGCTGCCGCGGCGACGATCCACCTGACCATAAAGTTCAGAAACATAAACAGCAGCCGGTCTTTAATAAATCAGTCTGAAGGATCTTTGAAGGTCTCGTGGTCCCGGAGGAGAGCGGCTCACAAAAACACAAATACTCTCTCTAAATCTGCTTTAATGGACTCTGTCGAGGTTCAGGTGTCGCTCCATAAAGGTTTTTACTCACTAAACTTTTCACCGTTTTCCTTTTGTGTTGTTTCACGTCTCCTGCAGGAACCTGGGATGTCAAAGGTGGGGCGGGCGAGGCGGACTCCCCCGGGAACTGAAGTCCTGAGCGGGGGTGCTTTTCTTTCAGCCCCTTGTCACTTTAACAAACAGGCGTGAGAAGCTGAGCGCGATCGCCACGTCCTGAGAGGCGTGAGAGGACGAAAAGGAAGAACATCTCCACGACTTTGACGCCATTTCCTCCACGTTCGAGGTCTTTACCCCCTCTCTCTTTCTCTCTCTTACTCTCTCTCTCTCTCTCTCTCTCTCTCTCTCTCTCTCGGAGGACGATGAAGGTGTTCCTTTAATTTTTCAGATTTCACATGTTTTGAAGGGGCCTGGCTTTGCATCGCATCGCTTCACCATCGGCGTTCTGCTTTTGGTTTGTTTACCCGCTTGAGTTAGGATGTTGTCGGGGTAGGCAGCGAATCAAAGAAGGGACGGAAGAAAAAGTTCTTCCACTTTTTTTTCTTTTTTCTTTTCGTTTGTTTGTTTTTTTTCGACGAAGAATTGTGTTTACGTGGTGCTCTCTTTGCATGTCGAGCGCCGCCGTCTTCTTTTCTATCTATCATACGTTGTTACGACTCTTTAATCCTCTTCTTTGAATCCTTTTCTTCTTAACTTGCAGCCTTTAGACTTTGATTTTTTGTTTTTTCTCCGAACTTTGGGAGAGTATTTATTTCTTGTTGCTACTGCCATGGGAACTCGAACGGCAACAAGTCTTGAAAAACGATCAAACTGAAACATCTCAACCTTATCGTCTACTGAACTTTTGGAAATATCTTAAATGTTGCAAAAAATACTCTGAGGAATGTACTTGTGTGGACTTGTATTATTTACCTGTGAATAATGTTCATCATATAAGATTTCACAAAGGTTCTATCGTCGTGGTTTAAAGTGGTTCTTCAGTAGGCTGTTGTCCGACTTGTGCTAACTGAGGCTATGCAGCCGCACTGCGAAGAAAAAAAAAAATCGTCTTTTTTTACGAGGAGTCGTTTTGTCTAGAAGTGTGAAAAACTGCAGGATTTAACATTTAAGATTTGACGTATTTAAAGATGAATTTTGAGGACAAAATGACTCCGATTTTTCGCAGTGTAAGGTGAAGGTGTTTACTGAAGGAGGAAGCATCAACCAAAACGTTACAGCTACTCAGTATATTAGTCCTACTTTGCCATACTGCTGATTGTATATGTAATATAAGAATAAGAGTCAGTGGATATTTAAGTTTGCCTTGTCTGTGGTTAAAAGCTATTCTATTATTATTATTATTATTATTATAGTTATTATTCTATCATGATTGCAAAAATATATCTATTTTTTTGTATTTCTTATTTTCTGAACGCTGATCTGCTTTGCTGCTTCCCCCTTTGACAAACTCCTTGGCCACTGTGCATATAATCAACGCCAGTTAAAGCTGTTCTGTGTCCCTGCATGCAAACTTAGATCTACTTCGCCTCACAGAGACGACAGAGGTCGGTCGCCTCAGAACGACAGGTTTTAGCCAAATTCTTCACAGAGTTAAAAAGGATTTTAACGGCTTTCCACGCCTCGGTTTTTACGTCTCAGTTACATCGCTGATTTATCCAAACTCTAAAGGAATCCAAAAAAAATTTCACAACTTCATATTTGTGATTTTAGTCTGAAACAAATTAGGTACAAGAATCGTCCTTAAATACATGTTTTGTAAAACTGGGAAGTTTACGAAAATTTCACAAAAGTTAACGATTTCTGTAAGAAAATTCTATCCTAGTTTCAAGATAGTTTTTACATGAAATCTTTTACAATTCAGGGTAGTTACTAATTTGCTGTTTTTCTGTAAGATGAAAAAAAAATATGTAGTTTAAAATCTTTTATCTTTTGGAGAACGAGTTTACCAGAAAGATCCTCCGGTAATGACGAAAAATGTGGAAGAATTCAGAAACAGTGTCTATAAAAAGCTCCTTGTTTGTTTTACAAACTACTTTTTTGGTTAAAATGTTCAATATAAACATTCAGCCGGGTAAAAAAAAAAAGAAAAAAATTCTGAGTTGTGTTTCAGAAGCTTAAACTGGATTGTCATGAGTCGTGTTAGCTAAAATAGTTAGCTAGCTTAATCAGTAATAAGGCAAACTGAAGTGAAAGAAATAAATTTTTCCCAGTTGATTTTCCAACAAATATTGATAATTGAAACTTTAATTTCTTAAATTTTTATGGCAATTTTTTTTTTTTAATATGTAAAAATGAAGCATTTTTTGCTTAACACAGTTAGTTTTTTGTATTTTTGCAAGGCCTTTTTTTAATTAACCTTTAATTCAACAGGAGTAAAATTTTGTGAAATTAAAAATCTCTTTTTTTAATAGTATCTTATCCTGATTCTGACAAAGAGCAGCTGCACATACACAAAATTCAAAAATATTGTTTACTAAGCTTCTAGATCTTAGTTGTAAGCAAACGTTAGCTGGACAAGCTAGCCAGCTAAACTGATAAAATTTAGTGTTTTAGTCTTACAACTGATATACAACAAATACTCTATTCCTAAACTTGTCAGAGCGTTTTTTTTTTTACATTTTCCAAATTAAGTAAAAGTTACGTTGACAAAGACTGAACATGAGCTAGCTTAGAATAAAAGCTACATTACGTTACGTAGTTATAAGTATAGTTTGTTGTGAAAAAAACTCTAATTTAGAAGTGGAATGAAGGGATAAGATAGTGCCAAATTAAAGGATCATTGCAGTGTTTTTTTCTGTTCGTGGAAAGGTTTAGCTCTTTTTCCCGCCAAATTTACCCATGCTAACCCCTGACGTGCTGTGAGGCGTCGTAGATGTTCAGCTCTGGTAGGATTGTGCTACTGTATCCATAGTGTGCCGGCTTAATGCTCTACACCTTAGAGGCTTTAGTGGTGTCGTGCCAAGTTTGTACTGAGTTCAGTGGGTTATGAGACATACAAGGTATGCGTGTGAGAGTGCGTTAGCTTCAGATGCGAATGTTGTTGTATGTCGTACATTTCAAAGTTTACTGTATCTTGCCTTGCACTTTACGAAAACGCAAACTTAATGGGGAAAAAAAGACATTTGTGTGCATGTGTGCGTGTGTGTTTAAGATTTTGAGTGTTTTTTAAATTAATTTGATGAAAAATCTTTTATTTATGATAAATGTATACAGACAAAAGTGTGTTGATACGATGTAATATATCTAACCAAACGTTAATGAATGATAACTATATAAAGATGTATACACAAATGTTTATTACATCAGTGGTTGTACAATAACTCCAACAGCAGCTTGAGATTTCCGATTTAATGCCAATGTTATGACTGTGATTTAATGTCATTCCACTGCCACAGCAATGTCATAGAAGTGTCTTTCCAATGTAACACCAACCGGTATTGAAATACTGTTCAAAGTGTCATGAATATTTAAACTACTCCAACTTTAAGCCAAAGTCAATGGATTCTCCAGTGTTGTCACAGACTACTGATGAATTGTTTACACAGAAAAAAGATGTCATACTCAGCCTATGTTTAGCCAATATTTGGGTGAACATTTGTGTATATTTTTGAGATTGTAACATCTACTTTAGACAGTCGAACTTGTGCTTTACTCGCCATTCACCGTGCTGAAACTGAACGCGAGTGACGTCGACTTGGAGAACACGTTCATGGAAGTCCTTTTTTTGGAATTTGAGAAACCTTGCCTGTGTTTTTACTCTCTTTAAAGTTAAGAGGTTTTTTGGTTGTATTTTTACGCATCATCATTTGTCACTTTTAGAATATTTTTTCCGGATGATGTTATTTTCTTTTTATCGAACAGCGTAACATTTGCTTTTGACTGAAACTCTTCCAAGGTGGAGCTGAAAAGAGAAAAAAAAAACGTACCAACTACTAACCCACAAACGACAAACACTCCACCATGTTTGTGCAACAGTTCGTCATAGAAAATATTTGTGAACGCACCCCTTGATCCGAACAGCCTACATATACGAGACTGTGTGCGCAATGCTGGAAGCCAGACTAGATGTTGCACGACTCTGTACGTCGCGAGGTGTTTTATTGTGTTATTGTGTGCAGTGTGTAACAAAGACAAAGTCAGCGCAAACTCTTGGAGATTAAATGAATTATTGAAGTGTGAAGATTGTGTCTTTTGGTGTCGTGTGTTGAGTCGGTTTCATTTCAAATTGGTGCCAAACTCTGTAAAGTAGAAGTTAACCGAGTCGTTCGTCAGCTTTCTGTGATCGGAGCTGCTGGGGTTGTTCTAAAGCGAAATGTGGCGTTCAAAGCTCAGTGGTGTTATTTCCTTAAAGGGATATTCTGGTGTAAAATTAATTTAGGGTCAATAACAGTGTAACACCGAGTTAGACACCCCCTCGAGAGATTAATGTTGCCGACCGCTTGCTTTTCTAGTTATACCAACTTTAGTAACGACCGCACGATAGCAATACACAGCGGTCTATGGATCCACGCTCGCACCTCAACCAAAACGCCACTCTATAACCACAAATAATGCTCAGAACAGCACCTAACTTCATCAACAGGACATATAGGGTCCCAGTCAGCACTGGCCACCAAACATCTTTTCAACTTTGCCTAAGAGACTAAACACAACTCACCTACTCTGTTTGGGGGGAAACCTCGGACAAGTCGCTCACCGACTGCTGCGGGGTTTCGCAGCCCAAGGAAGAACATTTATGAAGGTTACTTAATCATTTCTTCGAAGCAACGGTAGTTCTTCTGCTTTTGCGTCTCGGTCTGATTGCATTTCCATGAAGAAATGATCATACATGTTCTTCCTTGAGCTGCGAAACCCCGCTGCAGTTGGTGATCGACTCGTCCAAGAGTAAGTAAGTTTTGTTTAGTCTGTTCTGAGCATTATTTGTGGCTATAGAGTGGCGTTTTGGTTGAGGTTTGTTCATGGCTCCTCAGACCGCTGTGTATTGCTATCGTGTGGTTGTTACTAAAGTTGGTATAACTAGAGAAGTAAGCGGTCGACAACATTCATCTCTCGAGGGGGTGTCTAACTCGGTGTTACGGTGTGTTTGGCCCTAAATTAATTTTATGCCGGAATATCTCTTTAATGTCGACAGTGTGCCAAAAGGAACCAAACTAGGCAAAGACGTTAATTCCAAACACAAACTGAACCACGATTTATGTGTCAACGCTGGCAGCCCTTTGCGCGGTACATCTGTCTTACGTTGCGTCTGATTAAGTCCAATATTAGTCGATAAATCACACAAACCTTTACAAAGACTCGTGTTAACCTCCTCATCCAACAAGCACTTCATTTAAATCCCACTGAGCTGTTACAACTCCGATCTCAGTCAGAACTAAACCTGCTTGTTCTGAACAATTACACCCACACGCCGCACGTATCAATCTCTCTCTGCCCGTAGTAAAGCCGGTCAGTGAGTAACACGGCGTAGGTGTGTTTGAGGCTAATTCTCAGAAAAAAACAATGTGTGGAAATACAATTTCAGAGTGACTCATGAGCTAAAGGCAAAATGTTTTGTTTACAACTGCAGCCCGTAACAGCGGCGAATACTCCAGTGATTCATTAGACTTTATGATGAGTCATTAATCTTAATCTCGAGGCCTAAATGTGGAGGACGTGCCTCGCCTAACAACGATTGATCGGGCATTTGTACTCCTGATATTTAGCTCTTTGTTCAAAACAGATAAAGACAGAAAAACTGGTACAAAGATGTCTTTATTTCTTCAGCTTGAGTTGAATACAGTTGTTTTGGATTTTATTGACCTTTTAAAGGAAATGTTGCTTAAATTAAATCAATAAAGAATCGAGAGTTTGTTCACGAACATTTGTAAAGTCGCTCCAACAGATTCAAAAATGATGTCCGCAGTAGTAAAAATGTGGGGAAGGTTCACATTTTCTCGAACTTTTGGGTTTAAAGATTTTAATCTGAGTGTAATTGTTCCAGAAATAAACATTAACTTTACTTCATTACAAAAATTCTTATCAATTTTTCTTCTAAATCAAACTAAACCCACACCGTCTTTCAGTGAAGTTACTCTAAGTCTGGCATATCGTCGAAATCTCCGCTCTCCTCCTCTTGCCGTCTCTGCTCCTCCATCCTCTTCCTCTCCTCCTCCGCCTTCCTCCTCTCCTCCGCTGCCCTCTTCATCTCCTCCTCGACCTCCTTCCTCTTCATCTCCTCGTTCTTCTGCTCCTGTTTCTTCTCCTCCTCTGTTTTCTTCTTCGACGGCACGTCGTAGGCCCACTCCTCGTCTGAGTCGCTGATGTCGTCGTCGTCGATGTCCCAGTTGGCCTGGACAGCCTCTTGGGCTTCGGTGTCCTCTGTGGGCTCGGGTTCAGGTTTGTAGTTCGGATCCTCCAGTTTGCCCCAGGCCACCTGATCGGCTTTACGGAGGATGATCTCTACTTTAGACGGGACCATGTTGACCGAGCTTTGCTTCACGTTGATGACCTGAAAATCAGAAAAGTCAAAGTAAAGGATTGAACTTTAAGGATTAAGGTATCAAACCTAAAGTAAAACCTTGTTCAAGACTTTTGTGGTCTTTATGACGATGTCTAATAGTCTTATAACATTAGGAATGATTCCATCTGGATGGCCAAATACGGAAGAAATTAACAATCAAAAACCAGTTTCTATTGGTTGGCTAAGAGGAATGTTGGCGAGCTAAATTAGCGAGCTATCATTTCTGTTAGCTACCTCCGTTTGAAATAGTTCAAACGTGGCGCCTTTTTGTTCGTTATATGATACTTTCGAACAGTTGTTAAATTCTAATGTTGCAGCTTTTGTTCATAAGAAGTTGAAAACTTAAATTAGTCAGAATCCTAAAACTTTTTAATGGCTGCAGATAAAAATAAATACAACTTATCATCAATTAAGCTAATCTTACACCAACTGCAGATACAATTTTACTCGTACTAACCCCCCAGAAGTGGAATTCTCTCTTGAAAATCTTGTTGTCCTCAAACTGGATTTGACAGGAGAGCTTAACGGAAAAAATGAGAGAGGTAAGTTTTGTCTTTAAGACGTGAATGTTGGCATTATTAAAATTTTCTTACTGCTTTCTGAAGCTTCTTTTAGTTACTCATATTGAATGTTTTAATAAACAGCATGCCAACTCACCACGGTCCTGTTAGCCTCTATGCAGCTCATATCTGGATGTGCATTCTTGGCATAAATCGTTACAACAACATTATTTCCTGTTTGGTGCCAGTCGTGTCGACACGCCACCTTCTTCTTGTCCTGTAAAAACACAAAGTAAAACACACATTACTCAGCCGACAGGGATCACTGACCTCCCAAAATAATATCACATATATACAAAGAACAGCAACGATAGATCAGAAATTTAATGTCCTAACTCTGTCAGCTTTAGTTCTACCTAGAGACTCGGTTAGACTGTTTTTTTAACTACCTGCTTTGGCACCCAGCGGTGTTTCCCTGTGCTGCAGCCCTTCTGGTCGAGGAAAGCATTGAAGTCTATTGTCTTGATGCAGCAGCAGCTCCAGTATTTGTACCTAAAAACCAACAACAAAAAACTAAATATGACTGTTTGGGAGGAAACGAGGGAACACAATAAAACAGCCACAAAAAAAAAACATAAAAATGAAGTGAACATAGCTCATGAAAATTCGTTTTAACGGTTTTCAATAAAGGTTTCTGGACCACTGGTCAAAATATCCAAGAAGTTTCCAAAAATTCCCTAAAATTTTTTAAAGGCATTTTCTGAAAATTCCAAACAATTTCCAAAAAATTATTGCTAACATATTGCAAACAAAGGTTTATAAAAACATATGAAATGACCCCAACGAGGCACCAAATAATGGAAAAAGGTCATCAAAAATAGGCATTAAAGTTCAACTTGTGCAGCTCAACTGATTTTTTTATAGAAAGCACAAATTAAACAAGCAGCAGATATCTAAACTAATGTTGGACTGACGCTCTTGTTGTGTTTTTTCTTTAAAATGTGATTAAAAGAGAAGCTCCCTTTAGTTCACTTCTAAAGTCTGTTTGTAGAGCTGCAGATCTGTTTTTACCGACTGATCTTTAATGAGTCGTCAGATCTTTTATTTTTATCTTAAACTTTCATGTTTCTTATTTCGCTAACACGGCCTTCACTTTGTTTTGTTTGTGTGTCGTCTTTGTAGCAGCCCTCCAATTATGATGTGGAAAAAAACAGAAAAGAAAATGTAAAAACAGAGATTGTAATTATGATTCTGTTGGAGTGGTTAATGCACCAACACTCAACTGCAACAAATGTGCAGTTGAGTGGGTCTGGGTCCTACCCTTCATGGAAGACGGGGCCTCCAGGGTGGTGGGTGCAGACCTCGTTGTTCGTCTCTGGGCCCTGAAACATCTGAGTACACAAATACGAAGCTTATGATCAATAAAGAGAAACAGATGGGAGTTTACTGGTTAATCTATGATTCTTGAATGATAATGTCTCTTTTTTTTTTTTGTTCATCAAACTGGAATTCAGACAAAATTTCACCAGAAAGAAAATGATCAACATTGTGCCTGAGGGTCTTGTTTACTTTTGAAGGTCATTAAGAGGCAAAAATGTTAATTCAGTCTGTTTCTCTACCAAAAAAACACTCACTTTACTGTTTTACATTTTTAAGTAATATCATGTCAGTTATTTTTATGTATTATTAAAGAAACGTTTGGGGAGTTAGGCATGTCTACAAACTGTCAAAGCAAATTCAGAGGTTGTGCATGTTGTTTTCTGAGTTTATCCACTAGATGGAGCCATTAAAAAGCCTTACAGACCCCAGGAACAGGAAAAAAACTGAACTGCACTCAAAGAGAGCAGCTTCAGTGTGTGATGATGGTAGATGTTGTTTGACAGAAGAATGGAATCAAAAGTTGTAATAATGATTACAATTTAATTACAGTGATGATGAAGTGACACTCACTGTTTTGCATCCTGAATTCTTGCATCGTGTCCCGATCACGATCTCACTCTCTGTAGGGATATAAAGACAAAAAATGTAAAATCAGATTAAAAACACAAACTGGGTCACTCTCTGCAAACTAATTTGTGAACTAGATGAATTATTCTGCTGAAAATCCGAGATTCTTTTTTCACACTAAAATCTGAAATTTTGGTCCATACTAAAATTTGAAAATTTCATTCGGGCTTAAATAGGACATTTTAAACAGACTATAGGATGGCATTATGATCAGACTATACTATTTAATGTTTTTTCATCCTAAAATCAGAAATTATGTTTCACACTAAAATTTGAAATTTTGGTCATAGTATACTTTGTTTTTTTTCCAGACTAAAATATGTTTTTTTTATTTCTGCTAAAATATGATATTTTTAACATGCTATACTATGGCATTATGATCAGACTATACTATTACATGTTTTTTCATCCTAAAATCAGAGATTTTTTTTTTCACGAAAATCTGACATTTTGGTCATAGTATACTATGACGTTTTTTTCCAGACTAAAATATGATTATTTTTATTTCTGCTAAAATATGACATATTTAACATGCTACACTATGGCATTATGATCAGACTATACTATTACATGTTTTTTCATCCTAAAATAGAGATTTTCTTTTTCACGAAAATTTGAAATTTTGGTCATAGTATACTATGACGTTTTTTTTCCAGACTAAAATATGATTTTTTTTTCAGGCTAAAATGTGATATTTTTAACATGCTATACCATGGCATTATGATCAGACTATACTATGGCATGTTTTTTCATCCGAAAATAAGAGATTTTTTTTTTCACTAAAATTTGAAATTTTGGTCATAGTATACTATGACGTTTTTTTCCAGACTAAAATATGATTTTTTTTTCAGGCTAAAATGTGATATTTTTAACATGCTATACCATGGCATTATGATCAGACTATACTATGGCATGTTTTTTCATCCTATAATCAGAAAAAAATTTTTTACACTAAATTCTGACATTTTGGTCATAGTATACTATGACTTTTTTTTTTCCAGACTCAAATATGATTATTTTTATTTCTGCTAAAATATGACAATTTTAACATGCTACACTATGGCATTATGATCAGACTATACTATGGCATGTTTTTTCATCCGAAAATAAGAGATTTTTTTTTTCACTAAAATTTGAAATTTTGGTCATAGTATACTATGACGTTTTTTTTCCAGACTAAAATAAGATTTTTTTTTTCAGGCTAAAATGTGATATTTTCAACATGCTATACCATGGCTTTTTAATCAGAGTATACTATTGCATGTTTTTTCATCCTAAAATCAGAAATTGTTTTTTCACACTAAAATCTGACATTTTGGTCATAGTATACTATGACTTTTTTTTTTCCAGACTAAAATTTGAAATTTTTATTCAGGCTTAAATAGGACATTTTAAACAGACTATAAGATGGCATTTTGATCAGACTATACTATTACATGTTTTTTCATCCTAAAATCAGAATTTTTTTTTTTACACTAAAATCTGACATTTTGGTCATAGTATATATACTATGACCTGTTTTTTTCCAGACTAAAATATGATTATTTTTATTTCTGCTAAAATATGACATATTTAACATGCTACACTATGGCATTATGATCAGACTATACTATGGCATGTTTTTTCATCCTAAAATCAGAAATTATGTTTCACACTAAAATTTGAAATTTTGGTCATAGTATACTATGACATTTTTTTCCAGACTAAAATATGATTATTTTTTTTCAGGCCAAAACATGATATTTTTAACATGCTATACCATGGCATTATGATCAGAGTATACTATGGCATGTTTTTTCATCTTAAAATCAGAAAAAAAATTTTTACACTAAATTCTGACATTTTGGTCATAGTATACTATGACGTTTTTTTTCCAGACTAAAATATGATTTTTTTATTTCTGCTAAAATATGACATTTTTAACATGCTACACTATGGCATGATGATCAGACTATACTATGGCATGTTTTTTCATCCTAAAATCAGAGATTTTTTTTTTCACTAAAATTTGAAATTTTGGTCATAGTATACTATGATGTTTTTTTTCCCAGACTAAATATGATTTTTTTTTTCCAGACTAAAATTTGACGTTTTCAACATACTATACTATGGCATTTTCACTAAAGTATACCATTGCATGTTTTCACATCCTGAAACCAGTGGTGTACATAGGTGGCACAGTGGTGCAGTGGTTAGCACTGTTGCCTCACAAACCGAAGGTCATGGGTTCTAATCCCTGTCAGGGAATTTCTTGTTAAAGGGGGGACATGAGCTGCTTGGCAGAAGTCTGAGCTCTCTGGGTGCCTTTCTAGTTCATCCTAAAATCAGAGATTTTTTTTTTCACTAAAATATGAAACCTTGGTCATAGTATATTTCCAGACTAAAATATGAAAAAAAATGTTCAGGCTAAAATGTGATATTTTTAACATGCTATACCATGGCTTTTTGATCAGAGTATACTATTGCATGTTTTTTCATCCTAAAATCAGAAAAAAAAATTTACACTACAATCTGTAATTTTGGTCATAGTATACTATGATGTTTTTTTTCCAGACTAAAATAGGATTTTTTTTTTCAGGTTTAAATATGATATTTTTAACATGATATACCATGGCATTAAGATCAGACTATACTATGGCATGTTTTTTCATCCTAAAATCAGAAAAAAAATTTTACACTAAAATCTGACATTTTGGTCATAGTATACTATGACGTTTTTTTTCCAGACTAAAATTTGAAATTTTTATTCAGGCTTAAATAGGACATTTTAAACAGACTATAAGATGGCATTTTGATCAGACTATACTATTACATGTTTTTTCATCCTAAAATCAGAGATTTTTTTTTTACACTAAAATCTGAAATTTTGGTCATAGTATACTATGACGTTTTTTTTCCAGACTAAAATATGATTTTTTTATTTTCCGCTAAAATTTGACATTTTTAACATGCTACACTATGGCATTATGATCAGACTATACTATGGCATGTTTTTTCATCCTAAAATAAGAAATTTTTTTTTTCACTAAAATTTGAAATTTTGGTCATAGTATTCTATGACGTTTTTTCCCCAGATTAAAATATGATTTTTTTATTTTCTGCTAAAATATGACAAATTTAACATGCTTCACTATGGCATTATGATCAGAGTATACTATGGCATGTTTTTTCATCTTAAAATCAGAAAAAAAAAATTTACACTAAATTCTGACATTTTGGTCATAGTATACTATGACGTTTTTTTTCCCAGACTAAATATGATTTTTTTTTTCCAGACTAAAATTTGACGTTTTCAACATACTATACTATGGCATTTTCACTAAAGTATACCATTGCATGTTTTCACATCCTGAAACCAGTGGTGTACATAGGTGGCACAGTGGTGCAGTGGTTAGCACTGTTGCCTCACAAACCGAAGGTCATGGGTTCTAATCCCTGTCAGGGAATTTCTTGTTAAAGGGGGGACATGAGCTGCTTGGCAGAAGTCTGAGCTCTCTGGGTGCCTTTCTAGTTCATCCTAAAATCAGAGATTTTTTTTTTCACTAAAATATGAAACCTTGGTCATAGTATATTTCCAGACTAAAATATGAAAAAAAATGTTCAGGCTAAAATGTGATATTTTTAACATGCTATACCATGGCTTTTTGATCAGAGTATACTATTGCATGTTTTTTCATCCTAAAATCAGAAAAAAAAATTTACACTACAATCTGTAATTTTGGTCATAGTATACTATGATGTTTTTTTTTCCAGACTAAAATATGATTTTTTTTTTCAGGTTTAAATATGATATTTTTAACATGCTATACCATGGCATTATGATCAGACTATACTATGGCATGTTTTTTCATCCTAAAATCAGAAAAAAAAATTTTACACTAAATTCTGACATTTTGGTCATAGTATACTATGACTTTTTTTTTTCCAGATTAAAATTTGAAATTTTTATTCAGGCTTAAATAGGACATTTTAAACAGACTATAAGATGGCATTTTGATCAGACTATACTATTACATGTTTTTTCATCCTAAAATCAGAGATTTTTTTTTTACACTAAAATCTGACATTTTGGTCATAGTATACTATGACGTTTTTTTTCCAGACTAAAATATGATTTTTTTATTTTCCGCTAAAATTTGACATTTTTAACATGCTACACTATGGCATTATGATCAGACTATACTATGGCATGTTTTTTCATCCTAAAATAAGAATTTCTTTTTTTCACTAAAATTTGAAATTTTGGTCATAGTATACTATGACGTTTTTTCCCCAGACTAAAATATGATTTTTTTATTTTCTGCTAAAATATGACAAATTTAACATGCTTCACTATGGCATTATGATCAGACTATACTATGGCATGTTTTTTCATCCGAAAATCAGAAATTATGTTTCACACTAAAATTTGAAATTTTGGTCATAGTATACTATGACGTTTTTTTCCCAGACTAAATATGATTTTTTTTTTCCAGACTAAAATTCGACGTTTTCAACATACTATACTATGGCATTTTCACTAAAGTATACCATTGCATGTTTTTACATCCTGAAACCAGTGGTGTACATAGGTGGCACAGTGGTGCAGTGGTTAGCACTGTTGCCTCACAAACCGAAGGTCATGGGTTCTAATCCCTGTCAGGGAATTTCTTGTTAAAGGGGGGACATGAGCTGCTTGGCAGAAGTCTGAGCTCTCTGGGTGCCTTTCTAGTTCATCCTAAAATCAGAGATTTTTTTTTTCACTAAAATATGAAACCTTGGTCATAGTATATTTCCAGACTAAAATATGAAAAAAAATGTTCAGGCTAAAATGTGATATTTTTAACATGCTATACCATGGCTTTTTGATCAGAGTATACTATTGCATGTTTTTTCATCCTAAAATCAGAAAAAAAAATTTACACTACAATCTGTAATTTTGGTCATAGTATACTATGATGTTTTTTTTTCCAGACTAAAATATGATTTTTTTTTTCAGGCTAAAATATGATATTTTTAACATGCTATACCATGGCATTATGATCAGACTATACTATGGCATGTTTTTTCATCCTAAAATCAGAAAAAAAAATTTTACACTAAATTCTGACATTTTGGTCATAGTATACTATGACTTTTTTTTTTCCAGATTAAAATTTGAAATTTTTATTCAGGCTTAAATAGGACATTTTAAACAGACTATAAGATGGCATTTTGATCAGACTATACTATTACATGTTTTTTCATCCTAAAATCAGAGATTTTTTTTTACACTAAAATCTGACATTTTGGTCATAGTATACTATGACGTTTTTTTTCCAGACTAAAATATGATTTTTTTTATTTTCCGCTAAAATTTGACATTTTTAACATGCTACACTATGGCATTATGATCAGACTATACTATGGCATGTTTTTTCATCCTAAAATAAGAATTTCTTTTTTTCACTAAAATTTGAAATTTTGGTCATAGTATACTATGACGTTTTTTCCCCAGACTAAAATATGATTTTTTTATTTTCTGCTAAAATATGACAAATTTAACATGCTTCACTATGGCATTATGATCAGACTATACTATGGCATGTTTTTTCATCCGAAAATCAGAAATTATGTTTCACACTAAAATTTGAAATTTTGGTCATAGTATACTATGACGTTTTTTTCCCAGACTAAATATGATTTTTTTTTTCCAGACTAAAATTCGACGTTTTCAACATACTATACTATGGCATTTTCACTAAAGTATACCATTGCATGTTTTTACATCCTGAAACCAGTGGTGTACATAGGTGGCACAGTGGTGCAGTGGTTAGCACTGTTGCCTCACAAACCGAAGGTCATGGGTCCTAATCCCTGTCAGGGAATTTCTTGTTAAAGGGGGGACATGAGCTGCTTGGCGGAAGTCTGAGCTCTCTGGGTGCCTTTCTAGTTCATCCTAAAATCAGAGATTTTTTTTTTCACTAAAATATGAAACTTTGGTCATAGTATATTTCCAGACTTAAATATGAAAAAAAATGTTCAGGCTAAAATGTGATATTTTTAACATGCTATACCATGGCTTTTTGATCAGAGTATACTATTGCATGTTTTTTCATCCTAAAATCAGATAAAAAAATTTACACTAAAATCTGACATTTTGGTCATAGTATACTATGATGTTTTTTTTTCCAGACTAAAATATGATTTTTTTTTTCAGGCTAAGATGTGATATTTTTAACATGCTATACCATGGCATTATGATCAGACTATACTATTGCATGTTTTTTCATCCTAAAATCAGAAATTATTTTTTACACTAAAATCTGACATTTTGGTCATAGTATACTATGACGTTTTTTTTCCCAGACTAAAATATTATTATTTTTATTTCTGCTAAAATATGACATTTTTAACATGCTACACTATGGCGTTATGATCAGACTATACTATGGCATATTTTTTCATCCTAAAATCAGAAATTATGTTTCACAATAAAATTTGAAATTTTGGTCATAGTATACTATGACGTTTTTTCCAGACTAAAATATGATTATTTTTTTTCAGGCCAAAACATGATATTTTTAACATGCTATACCATGGCATTATGATCAGACTATACTATGGCATGTTTTTTCATCCTAAAATCAGAAAAAAAATTTTTACACTAAATTCTGTTATTTTGGTCATAGTATACTATGACGTTTTTTTTCCAGACTAAAATATGATTATTTTTATTTCTGCTAAAATATGACATTTTTAACATGCTACACTATGGCATTATGATCAGACTATACTATTACATGTTTTTTCATCCTGAAATCAGAGATTTTTTTTTTCACTAAAATTTGAAATTTTGGTCATAGTATACTATGATGTTTTTTTTCCAGACTAAAATATGATTTTTTTATTTTCCACTAAAATTTGACATTTTTAACATGCTACACTATGGCATTATGATCAGACTATACTATGGCATCTGTTTTCATCCTAAAATAAGAATTTTTTTTTCACACTAAAATTTGAAATTTTGGTCATAGTATACTATGACATTTTTTTTTCCAGACTAAAATTTTTTCTATTGCTATGCTATGGCAAAAAATTTTTTTTGATTTTGTAAAAATTATTAAATTTGTAAAAAAGTATGAAAAAACACAAATCTGTTGAATTTGAAATCAATCTCTTACCACCTGAATGCGTCATTATCAAACACACACTGACCTTTCTTTTCTATTTCTGCTTTTTTGCTGATATCAAGTTTCTCCAGAGCCTGAGACAGAGAGGCCGACACTTTGAGGGGCAGTTTGATCCGTGGCTCGTCCGAACTGTATACAAAGAAAATAAAAAACACGCAAAAAATGTAACACAAACAGAGAAAAGTAGAAGAAGAAGGAGAAGAAGAAAAACTTTATTTATCTCTAAAGAGCAAGTCAATTGTCTGTAGCCTCATTTGTCAAAGTAATTATTGTGGATTTAAAGATAATGGGAAAGTTGAAAGTTGTGTGAAATTAATCATAATTTTACTGAGAGGTTAGCTCTCAAATGATGATTTCTGAGACTGCTTATATTTTTGCTGGTTTCCAGGAATGCTTTGTGTGTCCTTGTACAAACCTGGACATAAAAAATCATCAATATCTAAATTTAAGTAACAAGATCCTGTACCGGACACACAGATACACAAAAAATCACACTAACCTGGGTCTCTCCTTCTGGAGCGTCTCAGCAGACTTGGGTCCCTGGTAGATGATCTCGGGACCGTTGGCGTGTTTGACTTCTGCCTTGTCTGAAATCACCTCCGGCCGCAGGGGCTCCTGAGGTTTCTCGTTGCTATGGCGACCGCGAGTGCAACCCTGAAATCAAAATATTTCTTTTCTAACATGCTGAAAAGTGATAGCTGTCGGTTCAGTCAGGACCGTTTTAGTCAAAAATGGTTTGTTTTGTAACGGTCACTGTGGATTTATTAGTGTAAGACAAATTATTTACTAAACTTTTACATTGGTGTTTTACTTTATTGGCACTTTGTACGTTTGACGTATTACATTTGCCAAAAAAAAACCATCTTACTTACCCAAGAACATTCAACAACAGAGTATTAGGGCCACATTAAGAAAAAACTTTAGACCTCAGAATTACTTACAAGAATAAGTCATGGTCAAATAATTACTTATAAGAATAATCATAATAAAATCATTTCTTACAGGAATAAAGTTGTAATAAAGTAATTACTTAGGAGAATAAAGTCGTAATAAAGAAATTACTTTCATATGATGGAGCATTAGGGCCACATTAAGAAAAGAAAAAAATTTAGACCTCGGAATTACTTACGATTATTTTGTCTTATTATCTTATCTTATTTTACAACGACTTTTATTCTTGTAAGAAATTATTTTATTACGACTTTATTCTCATAAGTAATTATTTTACCACAACTTTATTCCGATAAGTATTGATATTATTACGACTTTTTTTTCTCGTAATTATTTAATTACAACATTATTCCTGTAAGAAATGATATTATTATGACTTTATTCTCAAAAGTAATAATTTCATTACTACTTTATTCTTAGGAGTAATTATATTACTATAACTTTATTCCCGTAAGTAATGATTTTATTACGACTTTTTTTTCATGAGTAATTATTTTATTACGACTTTATTCCTGTCAGAAATTATTCTATTGCGACTTAATCCCAAAAGTAATAATTTCATTACAATTTTATTCCCGTAAGTAATTAATTTAATACGACTTAATTCTCATTAGTAATTCCGAGGTCTAAATTTTTACTTTTCTTAACGTTGCCCTAATACTCCTTACTAATACTCTTACTCTTTACTGATATTAAAGAAGTTCTGACTGCTGCTTTTTATGATTAGACTTTTTTTAATAAGGAATAAAAGAGCAGGTTTGTGTTCGACCCTGTACTTTTACCTTGATGGAGAGAAACTCTGAGAAGTCTGTTGTCCTTTTCCTACAGCACGACCAACCCTGAAACGAAACAAGCTCAAACATTTGATTTTCTTTTACCGGCTGAATAAAAGTCTTCGTTGGTTAACTTTTTCCACTTTTTATCGTTACCTTCAGAGCGTCGTGGAAGATGGGGACACCTGGGTGAAAGATGCAGGAGTCTTTGGAGGAGAAACGAAAGAAGCTGTGAGTCTGAATGTGGGACTTTAACTACGAGTCAGAGGAGGGGACCAGCTGTTCGGGGTGGGGGGTCACCGCGTCCCATAAAAGGAAGCCGGCTTCCAGGAAGATAGATACGGACACATGGTTCTCTACACATGCTATGCTAAGCTAAACCCAAAGCTACAACCACTTTAGTACCACCTCACACCAAAACAGACACGTTCAGATTTTATTTCCTGTTCAGAAGTTAAAAAATCATTTAAATCATGTTTCATCTTTTAACATTAAAAGACTGATTTTAAATCTCAGGTTGCACAACATGTTTGGAGAAAAGATGCTCAAAAATTTGGGCCCAAAAATTCTAGTTTCTTACTTCTCAATCACCACAGGGCTTTCAAAATTTTGTTGAAGCAAAAAAGTTTCAAAATTTTTGAAAATGAAAGCAAATTTTTCTGTAAACTTAAGTACAAATAGTCCAAATTTCATGCGTTTTTAAAAAGTTATAGGTCTTCAAAGTTTGTTTCAGCTAAAGACAAAAAAAAAAAAAGAAAAAGTTGAAGCTAATATCTTAAGTTTCAGAAAAAAGCAGGTAATTCTGAAACTTAAGTCTTTGGCAAAAACATAACTTTGATTATTATTGATTTGAGCCTGTATGTCATGCATTTTTTCAGTATAACCGATCTTTTTTATGCTTTTTTTTTATCACTGAAACTCAGTAAATTAAACCTCATCTGTGAGAATCAAAGCAAACATTTCCCCTCCGGCACTGATTTAACATTTAAAAACAGTTTTTTTTTACCTCCACTGAAGCTAAATGACCTCAACGACAACATTATTCATCAGCCAGACCCCGACGGGACTGATTATTTTAATTAAAACCACAGAAACAAATCAGGAACTCACCGTCTTTATTCTTGTCAGCATCGTATGAGAGTCCGCAGCCTTTGTTGTAGCAGAGCAGAGCCATTATGGCCTCAAAGTTTGAGTATAGTCCTCTGAACTCTTTAGGTATGTTCCTGCAGGGGTCTGGTGGGCTCTCCTGGTCTTTAAGTCGAGGTTGGACCTCTAGAAGTTTCTCTCGCTGGGGCAGAGAGATCCAGAAGCAGAGGAGGTCTCTGTCGCTGTGACTCTGGTTTGGGCCTAGCTGAATGAAAGATAAAAATAGTCCCTCACCTCCCTCCTCCTCCTCCTCCTCCTCCTCCTCTTTCTCTCAGTTTACAGCTGTCAAAACTTATCTGGCGGTGGGGGGTCGACGTTCCTCCTGCTGAGCGCCGCCTGTCACCCCGACAGGCCTGCAGTGACCGGGGAGGGCTGAAAACTGATAACTTCTGGATTTCTGGCATTTTATCTCCCCGGATCCTCTTTAGGCCCGTGGGTTTATTTGTCCTGGAGAAACTCTCCTTTGACTCTTTTAGACCTGATAAATATTCAGACCAGAGAAAGTTTTAAATCCGGCTTTTATGGCGCCAAGTTGGTAAATGACTTTGGACTAAGATGCTCAAATAAAGGGGAATAACAGCAACAGTCAAATAGTGAACCAACCATGACGATAAAACAATGATCTACACTGAAAAAAAGGAACTGAAAGAAAGGAAAACAGGAATATCAATCTTGTCAAGCATGTTTTGGATTAGAAAAATTATCTGATTTTAAGAGAAAATTGCGAACTTTATCTCGATAAGATATTCCAGCTAATTTTGAGATAGAATAGTGGCGTAGAAAAATGTTTTTTGATAAAATCCAGCAGAGCAACAAGATCATTCGTCTCATTTTAAGAGTAAAGGTCCTTTCACACCAAGAGCATTTTTGTCGTGCGATTATTTCAGACGTCAATATTTTTTTTATACGGGGTTCATGTTTTCTATGATTGACACTTGATACAGCCTATAGGCGTACGAAGATTGCGTAGCTCACCCGGGGGGATACGCTGTTTGAGCTGAGCGTCATCACAGCGACTCGCGGCAACCCTCCCGCCGAGTGCGTACAACGCTACTGCGCAACGTTGGTTTCAGAAAGTGGAGAAAAACGCAGAATTACAGAGAGATTTTTGGCTTCAAATCTGTATAGTGGCAGAAGGCGGAACTAAGTTGTCCAAAGTATCTACAGTCTATGTTTTGTTCTTGATGCTAAATCAAAATTGACATATCAGGACTGATTCCCTACTACAGTTTGACTTAAGTGTAGTTTTTTTTTAAATTATCTTTATAAAACCGATATTCTTGTCAGGACTTAGTCAGGACCAAGAAATGATGATTATAGTCGTTTCACACCGGGAGTGTTTTTTTCGTGCAATTATTTCGGATGTCAATACAAGCGTTCACATCAGCTACGTTTTCCTGTCCTGCGATATTGCGGCATTTATTTTTTCGGATCATGGTCAAATTCTCTAAAGTTTCGCATACTGTGTGTCCACTTCTGACCAATCAGATTGCTTGTTGTTGCGACGTCTGATTCACCGGTATATCCAACATGGCCGACCGGCTGATTGTTTACGCGTCGGAGAACAGAGTGATTTTTGATAAAAGACACAAATATTACAAAGATAACGACCTGAAGGACAACTTGTGGAGAGTCATAGCGTCGGATTTCTCATATGACGATGGTTTGTGTGCTTTAACAGTTTGCTAAACGTCTTTGTTTTAACTTTCATCTGTGCTAAGTAACTTTAGCTCGTAAGCTAACCTGTTCAGATACAACATACCATATGTATTTTCACTGTCACAGCACCATTAGGTCTCGGTTGTTACCTTACGTTTATAGATTATAGTTTAATGTACTTATCTGGTTCTGGCCCTGACTCAGTACATGCTATCATGACAGACAGACATCTCAACACTAGAGTCTAATCAGAACTGAAAATCAGTCCGTCTGCTGTTGTGTTAGTCTTCTCGCTTCCACCCGGGACGCGTCTTTTCCCCCGGAAAGTCGCAAAATCGCATCACCGTTGACCTTAAGTCAGGACCAAGAAATTATGATTAATTTTCATTTCTATCCTTTTAAATCTGCATATTTCTTCATGTTTAAACAGTGAAACAATCAAATGAGGTTTCAAACTGAATATTTATGTATTATTCTATAGCTTAGCCGAAAACACCAAAGTCATGAAGTTGAACGGAGGGCTAAGAAGCTGAAGTTTGTTTCAACACTCGTGGTCATGTGATTAAAAACACGTCCTTTCCTGTTACAGTAAATAAAAACATCCTCCACTCGCTGTAATTGCAGGAAAGCCTCTCCAGACAATAACCACAATCAAATATGGCGCCTGTTTACGTTTACATATATGTATTATTACCGGTAGAGTGCGTCTATCCCTCTTTGTTGCTCCGTGTTAACTTCTGCTCTTTGTTCAGAAACTACAAAGCTCGGCGCTCCCACAGCGAGGCGGTTTTAGAGCCGCTTCCCACCTCCAGACTCCCGCTGAGCTCTGAATAATGAAACTGTTTGTGTTCATTTGTTCCACAATCACATCAAAAATCTCTCACGGTCACCGGGTGGTGATGTATTTGATTGTATTTCAGGGTTTTTGTGCCTAAACAGCCCTCGGTAAGAAATCTATCACTCAAATTGCACCTTGTCTGACAAACAGCGGCGTTTTGTCTTCGGTAAATAATTCATTGTTGAACCACCTGCAGACGCCGCTCGGTAATTTATCTCCGCGAGTCCAGGATGAAAGATATTTCAGCGCAAAAACTCAATTTATTAAAACACCGCCTGCTTGTCTCTAAATAATACTCCTCTCTACCTTAAAAGGCCGATCGACATCGGCTCTCAGGAGAGAGAAAACGTGGTGAAGGGGATAATTTTGGGGAAATTAGCAGCTAAAAAGAAACACCTCAAACTTTAAAGCTTCCAATGATTGATTTCTGTTTGTTTATTGTACTGTCGCACACATGTACTTAGTTTTCTCCCAGAGTTTTAATAGAAAATGGATTTTACTTCCATCTTTACTGAGAATAATCAGACTGTTAGCTAAAATCAGGAAAGCTGCACTTAATATGAGCAAGCAGAGATATTTAAGGTTAAAAATAAATACAAGAAAGAAGAAGGGACTGGAAATCTGCTTTTTGTGGACCCTGGAGGGGCGAAGTAAATCTTCAAATCTTCATATTTTGGGTTCAATTGCAGATATTTCAGAATTACAGTCGGACTTTGTCGTCAAACACCTTCACTCACTTTCATAGCTGCTAGTTTGGACAAATCTACACTTTTGTGCAACTTTGAGTCAATTTCATTTTCTGCTCTTAATATGAAGCACTTATCTCTTATAGAAATAATCACCTTTTAGAGTTTTGTTTGTTTTGTTTTGTTTTATTTTGGATCCACCGTTAGTTACAACAAAATATGCACTCCTCTTCCTGAGGTCCTTATCTTCTTTTCCATTTTTATTTTGAACTCAGACATGTACTTACAGATATCACACTTACATAACACTCATTCTACATTTCATTCATACAGTAGCTCTTATTTTCTGTTGCTTGTTGAAAAATAAACCAATACATAATTTAGATGAAGAAAGAAAAGTGAAAAGACAAAAAAGAAAAAAAGTTATTTTAGGGATAACAAGAAAACGTAATCCATCAGAGAGAAGAGATGAACTTATTTCATTCATGGTACTTCATATGTAAACAAATACACCTTTAATTGTTTGTTAAAGCAACTTCTGTTAATGTCTGAAATTAAAAACTTAGGCAACAAATACTCTTCTGTAGTGGACAGTCCTTTTCATTGCCTCTGTTCTGCACAGAGGTAGCCGGCGCCTGCCCTCTGATGCCTGCCTAGTACCAAGCTGATATTCTGGGACTATGTTTACAATAATACTTTTTAGGAAAGATACCAATAGGTAATGCAGTGTGGTGGTACCGTAGAGTTCCCATCAAAACTGCATTGATTTTACTGCAGTGAACATCAGCTGGTTTGTTTACACATGATCCACAGTCAAGGTAAATGTTTCTATTATCTTAGAGTCATTCCTGCGGCTCTGTATGTTTATCCAATGTGTTTGAGTAAATCTTTGAATTTTGTAATTTTTCAGAAAAAATTTTTTTACTGTTCCTTTTTTTTTTAAAGGCTGTTTTACTGCCACTGAGGCTAAAATAACCAAGTTATGAAAGTGTGGAGCTCAACTAATGTCCAAACATGACCCAGTTTATACACAAAAACATGGTTCTCAACAGGTACAGGGAGGAAGAAGAGCTTTAACCATCGGGTGTTTTCATAAATGATTCATGTACTTATTTACTCTGTTTATGATCTATTTTTTGTTTATATAATGTAAACATGTTGGAGACTGACTGTTTGTTGAGTAGCAGAGAAAGGGTAGGTTTAAAAAAAGTATAATGCTTATCCTCCTCCTTTTCGGACATGTTGGGTTCACATTATTAATAGTAGTATTTTTTATTTTTTGTTTTAAATATTGTTGTTGTTTTGAATATTCTCATTGGTTTTGTTTGTTTGTTTTCAGTTTACTCTCTTGTGTTGCACATATTTGAAAAAATCCATATAAATGAATAAAAAATAGTAAATAATTCTGTTTTTAGTGACCTTGAGCTTAAAAAAAAGTACAGATTTTTTTATTAAATTCAGCGGGAAAGAAAAACTTTAAAGGACAATTATAAATTATATTATATATAATAATTATATATGCAATAATTATATTATTATTATTAATATATAATTATATTATTATAAATAAAACGTCCACTTGGACTTAATATGTCTGATAGAAAACTCTCCAGACTCATTATATTAGTTGTACAAATGTGAACCAGTAATGGATTTCAGTAACTTTCATAATTTGGTAAAGAAACATAAATCTGTATTTGATGTTTTAAACTCGTGTCGAGATCTCACTCACAGAGCGGCGAGATGAGAAAACAGACTCTTGGCGCCCGCAGCGCTGCAATTAAAAACCCGAAGCTGCTCCTTCAAGACCTTCAAACTCTCTCATGTTCGACTTTCAAGCAGATCTTTAAGCTCTGCGAACTTCCCTGACAGTTTTGAAAATCAGACGCAGACGCTCGTTTAGGAATGGAAAATGACTTTTTATTTCTTCCAAAAAAAGAGAGAGAGAGAGAGAAAACAGATCCCTAGAATAAACAAATAAACTGCTGTAAAATAAAAGCCTGTGATTTGTTTGTCGACTGTAACATTTGTTTGCCTTTCCATGCTCGATACAATCCATATAATTCTGCTTTAAATAAATAGAAAATAAAATGTACAAAGAGAGATCGGGGGAGGAGACAGAAGAGAGAGAGAGAGAGAGAGAGACAGATTAAAAGGTGTCGTCTGCTCAAAAAACATTTGGCATCAGTGAGAATTCATGGCTGATCCTGATGAACAGGGAGGTCTGCAGCCCTCGAAATCTGCATCGTCTGTCTGAGTTTCCCGTCCCCGCTGAGAAATAATCAAACCTTTATACTGCTGTAGGAACGCTAATATCATCCATGTTCAGAAAAATAAAGAGTAAATGCAAAATAACGCTGTCGTTGCATGTCATGAGTATGTCTTTAAGCTCTGTGTGAGGTGTGTGGATGTGTGTGTGTTTCTCTATATACACAATAGTGAGGCAGCAATCCGAGGGTTCTTACCAAAAAACACAGATGTAGAAAAAACAGAACGTGCACGAGAGAATCTTTGATTCGACACACCGACTCACCGACGAAAACAAGGAGATTTATCCGTTTGACAGCCTCTACTCTGAATCCACCTCCTCTGTCACCGCGGCGGTTTGGTGGCGCCAAAACAGCGAAAGGACAAATCTGTGCTGCGAGTAACAAATGTGACATCTTTGGGAGAGGTAACACGATCGAAGTTTGGCGCTCCGTTTTTGCTACAGTGGCTCATTCATCGACGGCGCGAACATCAAGACCGATGAAGCGGCTGTCACGGACGGCGAGAGAAGTTTGACCCGTCGCGGCCTTCGCCGTTTCCCCGGGCGCCTGACAGACGATTCAAAAACAGGGGGGACTACAAGAGGAGCGAATTTATCTTCATCATCACCATTACTGTCATGCGTTTTTTTGGAGAAAACAGGACAACGAACATCGACATCTTTACAACCATGCACTCACCAAAACCCCAGAAAGAGAAAGAGAGAGAGAGAGAGAGGAGTCCGCTCTCTGAATGTTTGATACACTTGGCCTTAGCAGAGATCACGTTAATATGACATCAGGATTGATCTGTGTGTCCGTCTCCGCCTCGATTCATGCTACAACAATGCAGAGAGAAGAAGTAGCAGCTTTGAAAGGTCGCCCGGTCTGATCCCAAAAAAGAAACTGCGGTCGTCTTGGGAAATTCCCAGCTGACGGGAAAAAAAAAGAAGTCTGATTTTGAGGAAAAGGGCGTGCATGCTCGGCGGAAAGAAAAAAACCCTCCCTGGGTACAAATCCTGACAAAATTACCGACAAGAGAAAGCTGTGATAACTACCGCGATAAAGAGAGAGGGACACGAGGCGGTAACATTTACGGGGACTCCGCAGAGACCACAGCTGCCTCTCCAAACCATCCGAGACAAAAGACGAAGAAGACCTCGTTGCAACAGGCGGGACGGGATTCCATGCAGAGAAAAAGAGGAAAAAAACAACAAAAAATGACCAAGAAGAACCAAAAATGTGGATTTGTTGGCAATAAAAGCAGCCGAACATCTTCCATTCTGTCCGATTTCAGGTAAAAACATCCGAGAGCCGAAACTACAAACAGCAGGAATGATATGAGTCACCGCTGAGTCAAGGCCGAACACGACCCGACTCTGGACCGCCGCCTGGGTCGATGGCGTCCCTTTTCTGAAGTGCCAGTACATCACGAGAGATTAGAGACAGTGAGACAGCTGTCCCGGAAAATAAAGAGCCATAATTAGAACTTGCTTTTGGAGCCAAATCACCAGGCGCCCATTAAGGAAATGGTTTCAGGAGTTTGAACTCAAAAGCATTAAAGTACTCGAGTTTGAGGCTCTGGAGAGGAGGAGGATTTCTAGGATTGAAGAGTGCAACAGAGTTCTTGTTCACGACAACATTATCTACGAATCAGGAGGACTTTTATTTGGTGAAAAAATAAGCGCCATAATTAGCTTTTGGTACTTTCAAGGTTCCTGGTGGATTAAAATTGATAAAATATCCACCGTAAAATGCTGGTTTGGTTGGGTGAATTAAGCGCCAATTTTACCAACTTTTAGCAAAATTCTGGTTCAACTAAAGGTTGAACTCGTCAAAGAACTAGTAGGGTGTCTTTAGTGGCCAACAAAGTCAGATCTCCTGAAACAAACCCTGATATCCAAACTATCTGATTCGATTTTGGTTTAAATGAGTCATGATCTGAAGGTTTAGGAGGAATTTAATACCACTTCAAGATGACTTTAGGCCATACGACCAAGAAACCTGGATATTTGAGCTATCTGATTGGTCCTCCTGGTTAAATGTTAGGAAACCAAAAGTAAAAACATAAGTGACCTTCTGGGCTTTGGGGGGAAGGACTTTTGGCAAGGATGAGGCCATAGTTGTATGTCCATCCGATGACCAACAAAGGTCTCCCACTTTCCCCTTTTAAAAGTTCTTGATATTGGAGCAGTTTGATTGGCTGTCTTTGATAAGACGGTTGGAAACCAAAAGTAATAATCATTGACGATCTTCTTTGAATTTGTAGGTTTTCTTGGTTCCTTCAGTACTTTTCATAAAATTGACTAAATACCCTTGATCGGAAGCTTTGTGGAGGTCAAGTTTCCTGAACTCGGCAAGTATCAACATTTAGCTAATCTATAAACCATTGGCTGTTGTCTGATATTGTTTTAGTCTTTGGGGGCTACTGCAAACTTTTTGGATGATTTTTCAGAATACCGACAATTCCGTCCTTTATCCGAGAGGTGTGGATGGATTCCGACCAAATCGCTTGCTCCAGTTTCGATCCCTAACTTTTGAACCATCATCAAACGATAACCAAGAGTTCCAAGATTGCACCACAGCCGATGCACTCAATTGGACACCCAGAACCTAACCCTTGACTACCTGTCTGTAGAGACCAACATTTCGGCCCATTTCAAAGCCCTTGCTGGACCAGTTATGCTAACAAAGTCACTAGAAACCTGAAAATCCAAACTTTGGAATTTGCAGTCTAGGTGCAACAGACCTTTCGAAGACATTTTCAGGCTGCTGACATCATAAATAGTGGTAAAAATGGTGGATGTTGGCAGTGAAGGGGGGAAAATGTCGAGGAACTTATCTACCAGACACTGGAGCGATGCTAACAGCGAGAAGAAAGTTAGCACTCTTTAGCTAGCGGAAAGCGAACCACAAAGCCTTGAGCCTGAGGGCCTCTGAAAGGTTTCGTCTACAGCTAAAAGACAGAGACATCGAGAGAGAGATAATAGAGCTTTAGTTACGAGACGCCGGCAGAGGTGAGGACGAGGCGGGGAACCTACCGCGGGAGGATACTATGACGAGAGGCTAGCTAACACAAGACCGCGACAAGAAGCATCTAAGAGCAATATCTATCCAACAGCGACAGTGATGGGTGGGTGGGTGCAGACGATCTGGACAGAAACTGGTTATTAGTACTATTTTTTACATATCTACACACACCGAACAGTGACGAAGCAAGCTAAAAAGCATTCTAGAGAAAGACAGAGTCGAGAAGCGAGATTCTAGAGATATTTGTTGGACTATCGATGATGATCGGGGATAAAGACACTGGACCAGGACCGGGATGGGACTACAAAAAAGTTTCAAGTTGTTAGAATGGCAGGAAAATAAGATTTCGTTACCTGCCACAGTGGCTGGTAGATTAGACAAACTTCTTGTAAAAACTCAAATAATTTCTACAAACTTCAAATCTTTTTGTCAACTATTTTTCCACGCCAGAAAAACCGGCGACAGCTCTTTAACGGCAGGATAGTCACTTCAGTGCAAAATTTTTGCATGTGCATTTTGCAACAAAATTTGATTTTTTACAAAACAAAACAAGCACATTTTTTTTGTGTCAAAGTCACTGGCTCAAATTTGGCTCGAAATTTGACACAATTTGACCCTCAGAAAAATAGCCCTCAATGAAAAACAAACACATTGATGTGTAAGCACACACGTGAACACACGATAAAAATGCATATACGCACACTTACACCAACAGTCAAACTCATGGCGGTGGATGCTTTGGCTGAGGAATGGCCATGACCTCTTACACATGTCGAATTTGATCCCCAAGAATGATCCTAGAACCAACGGAGCGAGGGCGACGCCAAAAGTTCAGTGTCGTTTGGCTCCCCTGTGCAGACGTGGTCGCACTCGAAGCCTCTCTCTTTGATTCAGTGCAATTTA